TGTAAATGGATACTTTTCTAGCATGGTTTTTATTTAATTAAATCAGCATTAGCTCAGTCCTGCAAGGACTATTTGCATGCTAAGAAAATATTTCTAAAACCTATTATCTCACCTCGCAAGCGAGAGACCTGGGATTGTTCCCGGCAGGGTGAAATGTTGGGCAAGCTTCCTTCCTCCACACATCTCTGTTTACGTAGCAGTAAGTAGGAACCAGGTTGTTAGTTCATTGGCAGATCGCATTTCCAGTGGTAATAATTCCCTTAAAAAAATAATAAAAATAAATTTGTCACTTCAATCCATGATTGTTTGTGGGACACTGCTGTGCACAATTGGCTGCCACGCTTCACCCACAAAGTTGAAGACGAGATAAGGCTCTATATCAAATACAAGGATTATTAATATTATATTTTTAATAATGCAAACAAATATTTGCAATAATTCTGGAAATATAATTTTCTATTCCACTTCCACCTTAATTTTGCCATCTATTTATTTTACATCGTTATATTTAAGTGGAAAACTTTACCTTAATAGGTATCGATTATTATTCTTGTTGACTGACCATTGCTTTTTCCTTCTCATGGTTTAGTGAACACAGAAATATCCAACACAGAATACAAATTACACTTGATATGCTCAGGTTTATTGCAGTACAGTCTTTGGTTTTGAGTTACACATAGAATTAAGAGACAAATTCAATGTTTAGCCATTTTAAATTTGAATACTGAAATTTTATATTAAGGAGGTTGGGGGTTTTATGACATTTGATAGTCCTTTCTTTAGCATCCCAACTTTTAAAGTTGCAAAAAAAATCAAGAAAATACAGGAAGCAGTGACCTAAACTGAATTAAATTACATCAATGTGCTATTTTGATTACAAAAAGCAAGGTCTATAGTGCGCGAATATTGACAAAAAAGACTAGAAGAGGAGCCAACTTAAATCAAGTAACAACAGCCACAACAACAAAATTTCATTTACATAGCGCCTTTTACGTCGGGAGGACGTCCCAAGGTGCTGGACAGAGTTTCGGACCTGAGCTGAAGGTGGGGGAGGGGGCAGGGCAGGGGAGAAGCAGGGAGATCGAAAGCACGGTTGAAGAGGAGGGTCTTAAGGTGGCTCTTGAAGGTGGCGAGGGAGGGGGCGAGACGGAGGAACTGTGGGATGGAGTTCCAGCGGGTGGGTGCAGAGTGGCGGGAAGCCAGCTCGCCGATAGTGGGGCGAGCAAGGTGGGGGACGTGAAGCAAGCTGGAGCCCGCTGAGCGGAGGGAGCGAACAGAATGGTAGGGGGTTAGGAGGTCAGAGAGGGAGGGGAAAGCAAGACCATGGAGGACTTTGAAGGTGAGGACCAGGACCTTGAACTGTATTCTCTGTGTGATGAAAAGCCAGTGGTGTTGGGCAATGATGGGGGTGATAAAGTCACGGAGCCTAGTGCGGGAGAGGGGAGAGGACACAGACTGCAGAGTTCTGGATGATCTGCAGCCTGTGGAGGAAGGATGTGGGGAGGCCGACAAGCAGTGAGTTTGCATAGTCGAACCTTGGTGTAATGAAAGCGTGTATGAGGGTTTCAGTGGCCTGCGGTGTGAGAGAGTCGGAGTCGGGCGACCTTGCAAAGGTGGGGGAAGGCAGAGCGGGTCATGATGCAGATTTGGGGTAGAAAGGATAGTTGAGGGACAAACAAAACCCCAAGGTTCTGGACTGGCTTAGCAAGGTGCAGTGTGCAACCATGGATGGTGATGCTGTCAGCGCCTGAGGTGAGGAGGCGCTGACGGGAGCTAAACAGGAGAGCCTCGGTCTTGTTGACGTTCAACTGAAGAAAGTTAGCTCTCATCCAGGACTTGATGTCTGACAGACATTCTGTCAGCACAGCAGTGGTCTTGGAGTCAAGGGTGGAGGCAGAGAGGTAGAGTTGGGTGTCATCCACATACATGTGGAAGTTGACCCCATGTCTGCGGATGATGTCACCAAGAGGGAGCATATAGATGTTGAAGAGGAGGAGACCAAGGACAGAGCCCTGAGGAACGCCGGACGAGATGGTCCGGAGGCTACAGGAGAATAATAATAATAATCCTTGCATTTGATATAGCGCTTTTCACGTCTTCTAGACATCCCAAAGCGCTTCACAGAATATACTGTAAAGTGAATTGACTGTATATTTGTGGGCGAACACGGCAGCCAATTGCGCACAGCAGTGTCCCACAAACCGTCATGGATTGAAAATGACCAATTTATTATTGTTTTTTTTTTTGAGGGATTATTATTAGGTGTGTGGAGTAAAGAAACTTGCCCAAGGTTTCGCCCTCTGCCTGGAATTGAACTCAGGTCTCTCGCTTGCAAAGCGAGTGCTCTAACTACTGAGCTACAGGACTCCGAAGCTATTTGAGGAGATGAAGTGCAGGCGGTGTGAGAGGTATGATCTGAACCAATCAAGGACAGCACCGTGGAGGTTGAGGTGAGAGGAGAGGCGGTGGATGAGGATAGAGTGGTCGACAGTGTCAAAGACAGCAGAGAGGTCAAGGAAGACGAGGAGGCAGAGGGAGCCCTGGTCACAGATGGACAGAATGTCATTTGTCACTTTGACCAGGGCTGCTTCTGCGCTGTGGGCGGCACAGAAGCCCGATTGGAGGGGTTTGAGAAGGAAATGGCAGGAGAGGAAGGAGCGAAGCTGAGAAATAACAACTCATTCTAGGACCTTGGAGAGGAAGGGGAGGTTGGAGATGGGGCAGTAGTTGGGAGAGTAAAGAAGGGTCGAGGGAGTTTTTTTTAAAGATTGGAATGATGACAGCGGTTTTTAAATGGGTGGGAACAGTATCAGAGGACAGGGAGAGATTAACAATGTCAGTGAGTAGAGGGGCAAGGAGGTGGAGCTGGGAAGTAAGGTGAGGGGTAGGAGATGGGGTCAAGGGAGCAGGTGGTGGATTTCATACAGGTTATGGTGATGATGACAGACGAGGGGGAGATGGGTTCAAAGCTGTGGAGGGAGGAGGAGATGGGGAAGGGATAGTAGTTGCAGTGGCAGAGGCAGCTGAGCCGATACCCTCGAATTTGGATTTGAGGAAGTCCAACGTCGCTTCGCAGTTGGCATTTGAGGTGAGGATGGGTGAGGCATGAAAGGGTGGGCGAAGGAGTCGGTTCGTGATGGAGAAGAGGAGCCTAGAGATGTTCTTAGCCTCAAAGATTGTCTTGGAGTAGAACAACAATTTAGCGGAGGCGAGGGCGGAGCGGTAAGATTTGACATGGTCCAGCCAAATCTGCCGGTGGACAGTTAGGTTTGATTTAAGCCAGGTGCGCTCAGCGGGACAGACCTGGACTTTAAGGGAGAAGAGGTGGCTGGTGTACCAAGGTGATTTGCATGAGTAGGAGACGGTTCAGGAAGAGAGGGCAGCGAGGGAATCAAGAGTGGAGGAGAGGGAGCTGTGGAGAAGGGTGACCGATGAGGGTAGGTCAGTGTGGGAGGACGCCCAGAGGAGAAGGAGTCAAATGACTCCAAGGCAGCCGAGAGGAAGGTGGGGGAGATTTTTTAGTAAAGTAGTAAAGGTTAGGTGATGCTTACCTTGAGTTTAATAATAATAATAATAATAATCCTTGCATTTGATATAGCGCTTTTCACGTTGGGAGGAAGTCCCAAAGCGCTTCACAGAATACACTGTAAAGTGAATTGACTGTATATTTCTGGGCGAACGCGGCAGCCAATTGCGCACAGCAATGTCCCACAAACAGTCGTAGATTGAAAATGACCAATTTATTATTATTATTTTTTTTTTGGAGGGATTATTATTAGGCGTGTGGAGTAAGGAAACTTGCCCAAGGTTTCGCCCTGACTGGAATTGAACTCAGGTCTCTCACTTGCAAAGCGAGTGCTCTAACCACTGAGCTACAGGACTCCACATGTATGCTATGTATTGTAGAAGGAAAGAAAGAGGTAAAAGCTTCCACAATCCTGAGGTCTTAAGAAGAGTCAAACAAAATAGATGTCTGCTTGGCACAAGAGGAAATCTGACCCTGATATTAACAAGATGGCTTAGAAGTGACAGCTGGTGAAAATGATGCACACACATTGATCTTACTCACCAATAATATTTGAAGTCTGTAAAACACGGATTAAAACTCTGCAAAGACCTTTACTCCTTTACAGTTCAGATAATAAACAGGATTTTGGTCATGAATTACTGTATTCATTTCACTCGCGAGAGCATCTTCACAATTCACTTGCATCGGTAGCTATCATGAATCATGGTTACTTTACACTTATGAAATATTCCCTGTCAGGAATTCCGACATTAAGTCCTGGACGAGGGCCAACTTTCTCCAACTCAACGTCAGCAAGACTGAGGCCCTCCTGATTGGCTCACGCCAGCGCCTCCGCACCTCGGGCGCTGGCAGCATCAGCCTCCACAGCTGCACACTCAACCTCACTAAGCCAGTCAGGAACCTGGGTGTCTTGTTGGAGCCTGAACTGTCCTTTCTCCCCCACATCCGCGCCATGACCGGCACTGCCTACCACCACCTCCGCAACATTGCCAGACCCCGCCACTGCCTCACCCCTCAGGCTGCCAAAACCCTCACCCACACATTCGTCACATCAAGGTTCGATTGTGGAAACTCCCTCCTCAGCCTTCCCAGGTTGTTGTCACAGTGCGTGACAGAAGGCTTTGGGCGGTGCCTCCTGTGATTGCCGCTATATCAAATCAAGGATTATTATTTATTATTATTATGCCTATAAATTTAAAAAAATTAAAAACAATTAGTTTAAACCTGCAGAACGCGTGTTTTTTCCTTTGAAGACTTTTTCTTACAGCATTTAAAAAGCACAGACCTACAGTGGTCAGGTTGCGATCCCCCAGAGCGGCCATCACTGGTATTGGGGGGTTTCGGGCGGGTGGACTGGAGCTACAAACGGGGGTTGATTTCGTGGCCGGAATTCGCGGGGGTGAGGCTTCCCTCGTTACCACGGCCACCGGGCACAGCCAATGGGATGTGGAGTTCCGTGAGTCACGTGACGGGAATCGGGGAGGAAGATGGCGGTGTGGCGGTTGGTTGCGCGCGGATCGGAGTGAAGCGGCGCGAGAGTGAGAGGCGATGAGCGCGGGGCAGCCCCGCGGCTTCGACCTGCAATCCGAGAGCGAGAATGACAACGACACAGACAGCGGAGAGACTGAGTAATAATAATAATAATAACAATAATTATTAACAATAGCAATCCTTACATCTAATGTAGCGCCTTATCACGTCGTCGAGACGTCTGACAGCGCTTCACAGCTTATACTGTAAAGTGAATTGACTATATATTTGTGGGGGAAACACAAGTAAGAAAGAGGAAAATGTAGTCTTGAGTAATGATAATAATAATAAATGCTGGTGATAAATAAGTAAGAGAGAGAGACAGTAGGGAGTTCGAGAGAGAGAAATGCGGAAAGGAATAATAATACATAATTAATAATAAATATACAGTAGCAATAATAAATAACTACAACAGAGAGACAGCGGGGATTTTTTTGGTCAGCCGGGTGTCTGACACATGCGGAAACCCATCACTGCGCTTAAGAGTATCCAAACCAACCTGAGATTTCCATGTGTCCCACCTACACATGGAAATCCCAGAGATAGGTTGTTGGAATGGAATTCTCTCTCTCCCTGGAGGGACCATCCTGTTTACCTAATTCTGGAGAGGATCAGATGCAGGTCGGCAAGAGCCAAGGCTTGGGGACCCCAGAGTGTGCGTTGGGGTAACTACTGGAGTCTAACCTGCTCAAACCACATACATATTGCTGTCGGGTAAGCTTTCCTGCTGCTTGTCCAGCTTGGACCACCATACCCGTAAAGAGAGAGACAGCAGGGAGTCTGAGTGAGAAAGCGTGTGTTTGGGGGAGAGTGTGTGGGAGTCGAAGAGACGGTTGCTGGGCGGGTGGAGGGTTGAGATGTCGATCTCAGACATCTGATGATCAGTGTATTTAGAATATGTAAATTTCTAAATCTATTGACCTAAGTAAAATTTCTCTAAACCGCAGCACCCTCATACCTTTCTGGGAGAGGGCGAGGAATGAGGAGGTGATGGTGGTGGTGAAGAAGAGAGAAGAAACCGTTCTGGCTCATTAATAATCAATAATAATAATAATAATAATCCTTGCATTTGATATAGCACCCTATTATCGTTGAGACGTCCCAAAGCACTTCACAGAATATATTGTAAAGTGGATTGATTGTATTTTGTGGGTGAATTGAGTGGAAAAAATACTGTATACTGTAGTACATTTTCAGGATTATATACTTTGTTCTGTATAAATTTATAGTAAGGAGCTAAATTGCAGATGTGCACAAAGTGTCAGGTTAGTTTTGTGCCAGTGCAAGCTGACATTTTGGGCCCAAATGTAGTGAGGTAACATTTGAGCAGTATACTTAATTCACTCCTGACCTTGTTATTTTTAAAAAGTGTGTGTGTATATTTTTAGTAATATCTAAAATTATTTTAATCCACTCATTCCTGTTTTTGGAAAATTGTTCAGTTGGTATGAGTCATCAGTCGCTGGGAAGTAAAGTGGATTGCAATGCAGGACTATGGCACAGGGAACCTTGGAAAAGCAAGTTTGCAGAAAAGTTTAGGAGCATGTGTAATTCAGAAGTGAGAAGGGGAATGGAGTCCCTTGTGCATATTGTCCAGGCAGCTGTCTTTTACTTCCATTGTATGTGTTTTTCATCATAAACCTTATCAAAATAATTTTTGTGAAAGTCAACAAGTTTCTGAAATTAGATGAAATCATCCTTTGTCTCCTCCAAACTCAATTTTCCTAATACCTACTCACCAGCCTCCCGGTTCCACTTCCTTCCCACCTCTCCCCCGCCCCCTACCCCCCATTCTCTCTCACACTAGGACCCATAAGCCCATCATCATCTGGCTCCCTATCTACCAACAGATCAATTTTTAAGATTCTCTTCCTTGTCTTCAAATGCCTCTATAGCCTTGCCCTAGCCTACTTCTGCAGTCTCCTGCATTCCTACTCCCCTAGCCTCTCCCTTTGCTTCACCAATTTTGCTTGTTTCATGCCTCCCTTGCTGTTCCGGCTTACCATAGGTGGGGAAGCTTTCAGCTACTTTGCACCCACCCTCTGGAACTCCCTTCTGAAATCCTTCCTCCATGCACCTTCCCACTCTGCTTTTAAAAACCTGTCTTTAAAAATCTTGGCTGTCTAAAAACCTTGACTATGCTTTCAGGTGCCTTCATCTGCTTCCCCCAGCTCCCTCCCCGCTCCCATTCCTTGTTTTATATAGTGCTTTCAGATGTTCAGTTGCAAATTATTGTTGTTAGAAAGCACCATGGTATTCACTAAAGCTCTGCGGGAAATACAGTAAACTTTATTTCAAAAATAATCTTTATTATCAAATCCACTGCTCTTTCATGTAACAGTTCATTTCTTTGAAAGTTGATAACCCTTTTCATACTTGAGATGGGAATGAGACAAAATATGAGCCTGTAATCTTATGCAGAGCATGCTTCAGATAATAAATGCTTATATCTCTTATCTCATCCATCAACAAGCTGTTCCCAACTGTTCACAGCGGCTGCTGGCAACAGTGGGAGTGAGCAACAGAGATGCATTCACACAGAACAAATTAAAGGATGGCAATTGTTGAACAATCCTTTTTTCTCATGATGGTGATCATGATGCTATGGTTTGACAAAATTAGCCTCTGTGAAGGATGGTGTTTGTTGACTATAGTGTTGCTAAGGGAAAGCTGACTGAAGCTCAGACAGACATTTATTTTTCTTTCTCTCCTGGCTACGGACAGCTCAGAGCATTATGCAGCTATTATGAGCCAGAACAGAAACACTGTACAACTCCATGAGGCTAGGTCTCAGCTACCCAGCAGGAGGGCTTTGGTGTCCTCCTCATCTTCCTCTTCATTCACCTCTGTGGCCTTTTTGCTTTTTTCCAGCGAGCTTGAACCTGAATGGCTGGATGACGTGCAGAACAATGGTGAGCTGTTCTACCTAGAGCTCAGCGAAGGCGAGGAGGATTCATTGATCCAGGCTATTTCAACTCCAGAGTCTCTGGCCAATCGTGTCCGATTCAGTGACAAGGTGGCAGAGATTATTGCTGATAAATCCAAGGAGGCTGGAAAACGGCAACACAGGCTTAAAAAACTGACAGATATTTTAAAAAAGAAAAAGCTGTTGTACACGCATTCTTGTAATAAAAGCATTGGCAGCAAAGCAAATGACGAGGGCAGCAGTCTGTCGCCAGGACCTCCATCAATATTAAAACACCAAACGAACTCCAGAACTGGTGTCTCAGTTCAGATATCGTATAAGGATGTATTTGTTTACATCAATCCAAATAAACAACGCGAGAGTTCACAGGATCAAGGGAGAAAGTTGTTAGAAGCATTGGTGGGCATTATTCATCAACCTTCAAGGAGAAATGTCACTGCAACAGGAAGGCAATCAGACAAGCCAATAACCACCAAAGTGACCAGTGAGGAAAGGCTTGTGGTACATGGTCTGCTTCATAGAAGTATTGCAATAAGGTGTGGTCAGATATTGATAGGTAAGTGAAAGCATTTGGGATGCATCTTTGTTGTATTATTATAATATTGTTCAGTTAATAATCACAGTAGTTCTGTGTTGATGATGATGATAATCCTTATATTCAAGATAGCGCCTTTCACATTAGGAGAACATCTCAAAGCGCTTCACTGGAGACTGTAAAGTCGAGTGACTATTTTGTGGGCGGCACTTTTATGTAATAGCTTGTATCAATTGCTTGTGAATTCTTTTTGAGTTACAGCAATATGCTGTTGCTGGTATTTTATTAATTCCTAATGGGATTGCCTTACTGTATTCCAAGCTGAGCTTATCTGTTTTGCAGTGCGGTTCCATTATTTCAACATTGTTTTTTTCTAAGTGACAGCAGAAAATGTAACAAAGTATCAAAAATGAATTGATTCTATTATATGCTGTGTATGTTCATTAAGTTTGCTTTCTGCTCCCCTTTAAATGAATTTCTTGGAGTAGGATAGTTTGTAGTTGACAATTTTTCTAATCTTTCTCCTTGCCATGAAACAATGTGACAAACAGCCCTGCCAAGATGAGAAACTTCTCTATAAATACAAGTACAGTAATTTAAAACTTAAGGCACTATATCAAATGCCAGCATTATGGTTAGGTGAATTGAGTACCGTGCCAAATAGGATTGTATGAATGTTCAAGACGAACCCATGAACTGAACTATTGTAAAAACAGTTTAGAATCAGGAGTCACATAGCTTAGTGGTTAAAGCACTTGCCTCGCAAGCGAGAGGACCTGGATTCAATTCCCAGGCAGGGCGAAGCATTGGGCATGTTTCTTTACTGTTTACCTAGCAGTACGTAGGAATCTGGCTGTTAATCAATTGGCAGATCACTTCCCCGGGCGGTAATAATCCCTTCAAAAAAAATAATAATAGTTTGGTCACTCAATCCACAACTGTTTGTGGGATTCTGCTGTCTGCGTTTCGCCCACAAAACATAGTCAATTCACTTTACAGTATATCCTGTGAAGCGCTTTGAGACTTCCAGAAGACATGGTAAGGTGCTAAATGAAATGCAATGATTATTATTATTATATAATGTTACTTTGTCCTTTCCAGCATTCCTTTTTACTTGTATATAATAATAATAATAATCCTTGCATTTCTATAGCGCTTTTCAAGTCTTCTAGATGTCTCAAAGCGCTTCACAGAATAGATTGTAAAGTGAATTGACTATATATTTGTGGGCGAAATGCAGCAGCCAATTGCGCACAGCAGTGTCCCACAAACAGTCATGGATTGAAATGACCAATTTATTATTGTTTCTTTTTGAGGAATTATTATTAGGCGTGTGGAGTAAGGAAACTTGCCCAAGGTTTCGCCCTGCCTGGAATCGAACCCAGGGCTCTCGCTTGCAAAGCGAGTGTTCTAACCACTGAGCTACAGGACGAGTGTCTTATGGTGTATTATTGTATACAGAATTTATTTGAAGTACCTTAAATAAGTTTTTTTTAAATAAAGATGAGTAAGTGGGACACTCAGCTGTTTTTGTAATGTACTGGGATTGAATGTCCTGTTCAGTGTATTAAGAAGAATGTCTCAGATATGATTCACAAGTACTGCGTATGGTCTCTGTCTGGGTTACCATCTTACTATTTATTGAGGTGCCCTCAACTCCTTCATGGTCAATTATGGTGCTAAGTAGTAAGAAGCAAAGGCAGCAGTTGTTCAAACAACATTGTCTTTATTGACTTCAAATTGTCATTTTAAATACCTTAGTTTTAATGTAAAATCTGTTACTTTCCTTTTTTAAAAAATATTATTCAGTAGCCTTTGTATGAATAGTATCAATATTTTGTGGTAATTTGTGGTTTTTATTTTGTGTTCTTTAAAAGGAATATATTTTTAACCCAAATACTGTTGACTGGCAAGAGCTTAAGCACACAACCTATCTCTGCCAATTGATTTAGTAGCTTGGAGGCACTGGAGAGTGGTTTCTGTAGATTCTCCATATTCAATCGCATGTGCTACACATCCTCTATGAGGCCTGAAGTTTATGTTTTACAGTTGCTCTTGTTTGGGAAAATAATTAAGGAATATAACTTATATTTCACAATTTGAACTTTTCTAATTACTATAAATACTAACATTTTGATTTCTGTCCATCAGGTGATGTTCTTCTTGCTGTAAATGATGTGGAAGTAACCACTGAGAACATTGAGCAAGTCTTGTCCTGTATACCAGGTCCAATGCAGGTACTGTATGTTTAAAAATTTCTTTGGACATTATTATTCTAATAATAATAATCCTTACATTTGGTAAAGTGCCTTGCACATTTGGGAGGATGTAGCAAAGCGCTTCACAGGATTTACTGTAAATTCTAGTGACTATTTGTAAGAACACGGCAGACAATTTGTGCACAGCAGTGTCCCATAAACAACCATGAAGTGAATAACTATTTTTATCTGGGGATTGTTGGCTAAAGCACCAGGAGAAATTCCCTTCCCATTTTGAATAGTGCCTCGGGATATTTACCATCTACCTGAACAGGCTGCCAAGACCTTGGTTTAAGGATGGCACCTCTAACAATGCAGCCATCCCCCAGCATTGCATTGAAGTGTTACCTGTGACTTCAAAGTCTCAACATGGGCCTTGAACCAAGAAAATTCTTACTCAGAAGCGAGATTACTACCAATTGAGTAAGGCTGACAGTATTGTATTTTTTGGTCAATGATACTCTGTCCCAATATATTTGGAGAATGCCAGTTTGTTTCTGCATATAAATATTTTCTGATCTGTTTATTCCCTTTTTATGAAATTGTTATATACTTTGACAAACAATTATTTTATTGTTTTATTTAATGGGGTCCTGACTGTTTAGTTTTAGTGTAATCTATAAAATGCTTCTTTTCCTAAAAATGAAATTATCCAAACGAAATAGAATAAAATAAAAATCTGAGGGAAATAACATTTTGCAATTAACGCATGCTGTGTTATGATGCACTTGATCCCATTTAGAATGGACACCACTGAATGATTGCCAAAACCCCATAAAGTTTGAACAATTTTCTATTCTTTTCCTAAAGATAACATTTTAAAATTGTTAAGGATGCAAGACAATATTCAGATTGATATCCTTTGAATTTCTTCATACGTTTCCACAAGGCCTTCAATCTCCTTCAGCCTGTATTGGTTGTAGACCTCTCTCTATCTGCCTTATTACATAGAATTACATAGAATATACAGCGCAGTAACAGGCCAGTTGGCCCAACTGGTCTAAGCTGGCATTTATGCTCCAACGTGAGCCTCCTCCCTCCCTCAACTCAGCCTATCAGCATAACCTATTTATTTCTCCCTCATGTACCTATCTAGCTTCCCCTTAAATACATCTATGCTATTCGCCTCAACTATTCCTTGTGGCAGCAAGTTCCACATTCCCACCACTCTCTGGGTAAAGAAGTTTCTTCTGATTTCCCTATTTGATTTATTGGTGACTATTTTATATTTATGGCCCCTAGTTTTGGTCTTCCCGACAAGTGGAAACCTCTCGGCTGGACTACTCTAACAAACTCCCCTCCTCCACTATTCACAGAATTCGGCTCATTCAAAACTCCGCCGTATGCATTCTCACCCGCACCAAATTTCGTACCCCGATTACTCCAGTCCTTGCCAAACTCCACTGGCTCCCTATCACAGAATGGATCGACTTCAAGTTTCTCACTCTAGTGTTTAAATCCCTCCATTCTTTGGCACCCCCTTATCTCTCTAACCTCCTCTCTCCCCACAGCAATATCCGCTGCCTCCTCTCCACTGGGTCCGGCCTCCTCCATGTCCCCCGAACCCTCTGCTCCACCATTAGCAGCCGTGCCTTCAGCCACTACGCTCCGAAACTTTGGAACTCCCTCCCTCAACCCCTTCACCTCCCCCTCCTTTCCCATCTTCAGGTCGCGCCTGAAGACCTTCCTCTTTGACCGCGCCTACAGTCACCTTCCCCCTCCCTCTGGCTCAGCCTCAGGCTCCGCCATTGTTAAGCGCTCTGACTTTGAGACAAGAGTGCTACCAACTGAGCCAGGCTGACATAAATCACTTCCTCTCTCAACACTCACCACGTATTGTTTCCCCACAAATACTGCTGTCCCCCATTTTATTTTTGGTCAAACAATTCAGCACTAAATCAAACATTGCCTATGATTCCCAACATCTGTGAATCTTAACCACAACTTTCCAAAGTATTTTACTAAAACTTGTCCACGTTGCAAATGGGAATAAATGCAAGTTGTTGTTCTTGTAGACTAAGAATTATTGCACATATGACCACACAATAGATTTCCTTCTACATTACAATTCTTGAAAATTTACCAAGCTGTCAGTTTCATTCCTGGATATATTCTTTGAGGTGCTTTGAGTCGTCTCTACGACGTGATAAGGTGCTATATCAAATGCAAGGGTTATTATTATTATTATATTTATGTAGCACTGAATGCTTTTTTAAAATATTATTATTATTATATTTTTTCATAACAACAATTTGCCGCGTTCACCCACAAATATACAGTCAATTCACTTTGCAGTATATTCTGTGAAGTGCTTTGGGACGTCTAGAAGACGTGAAAAGCACTATATCAAACGCAAGGATTATTATTATTAAGTTGATTTGAACTCATATGGTCCAAGTTGACACTCACTCCAATGCAGTGCTGTGGTGGAATGAAACATTAAACTGAGGTCCTGACTGCTTGTTCAGGTGGATGTTGTACATCCCAGGGTACTATTCGAAAAGACAAGGGAGTTTCTCCTGAAGTCCTGGCCAATAATCCCCCAAATAAAAGTGATGAAGTCAATGCTGTTTATGGGACATTGCTGTGTGCAAATTAGCTGTTTAGTTCACCCACAAGCTGCACAGTCCCTTAATTTTACAATATATCGTGTAAAGCACACAATCTGAAAGGCAATATACCAAATGTAAGAATTATTTATTATTAATGTATTTTGATGTATTTATTGGAGAATTCCTTAAAATAAACCATTTTCATTTCTTTGTTGATTGTAAGAAAATGCTAGAGATAAGAGTAATCTTTGTTCTCCTTTACAAAATATTTTGATATTAACATCCCTTCTTGGTGAATCTTTTTATGAATTGCACACTCAACTGTGACATTAATTGTTCGTTTGAACCTTTTAAAGTCATTAATTATTGTGATAGATATTGACTTTTATTTCCCTCTTGCACTCTACTGCATTATCAGAAAGTGTTGTTTCAAATATCTTTCCAAGGCACTTGTACCAGCAAACAAAATAGTTTACCAGTGCCATCTACAATCTTCAATGAAAGCTGAATGACTAGTTATTAGGTGAGTGTGAGCACTCTGTTTGGCTGGTGGATATTTTCTTTCTCACATCTAATCAGCATTCTGTGGTAAAAGGAAATATTTTGTTTTCATCTTGGGGAATTGTTTTAATAGTAAAACTTTCCCTTCCACAATCATTATTGCCGATGCTTGGATGTATTAAATTATCACATTTGGGGGATTAGATGATTGAATTTATGATTATTAATCCAGTGCCATAAGTAAAAATGTTCAGCAGTTGAATCTCCCGTTTTGTTTTTAATCCCACTTACTGTTATTCTGCAATATGTGCATTTTTACAATTATGATAAGAGGTATAATCCAGCCAAAATGGTGCAGTGCTTCAGAGAAATAGATGCCCAATAATAATAATCCTTGCATTTGGCATGGAGTTTTTCACGTCAGGAGGATGTCACAAGAGTGCAGTAACTGCATGTGTTTTGTGGACAAATTTAAGATTCAAGCTTGATTTTCTTTTACTCTGTTCCCCCCGATCCCAATAGAGTAAAAGAATATCAAGCTTGAATCCTAAATTTGAAGCACTAAAACTAAAACAACACTTTCTGACACTACAGTCGAGTGCAAGAGGGAAACGAAAGTCAATATCTCCCACAATAATTAATGCTCAGTGTTCGGTTACCTATGTTACGCAGTGAAGTTTTAGAGGAGGACATATGTTCATATGGAGAGGGAAAATTGAGGAACTTGTAAGTAAGCACATAAAGACCAGGAAGCAGGTCTCCCATGTGACTGCCTTGTTCACCACAGTTGGTGAGTTACTCAGCTAGAATTGTGTGTATGCAGGACCCTGGATTCATAAATCATACAGTACAGAAGGAGGCCAATTGGCCCATCGTGCCTGTGCTGGCTCTTTGGAAGAGCTACCCAATCAGTCCCACTCCCCCTCTCTTTCCCCATACAATGACATTTTTGTCCTTTTCAAGTTTATCTAATTTCCTTTTGAAAGTTGGATTCTCTTAGTTTTAGAGTGCAGAGAAGTTTTGCTTTGATTTGGGGTTGGAGGGATCAGAATTGTTTGTCAGAATTGACCAATCTACCAATTGATGGATAAAATTAAGGCCGATTGATTGACTGAGGGATGATAAGCTTTTGATAGTATTAAATGTGATAACGTAAACTGCTTTTTGAATATTCAATAACTGTTTTAAATCATTTCAAAACTGGCTTGGGTGAAAGGGAGAAGAATTTTATTTCATAAAAGTAAATGTGATCACAGACTGACTTCAGATCATATTTACATTGTACTCTTGGTTTATTCATTAGTAGTTAATTGAGTATTTAAAATTCAGTGTCTGACAGAGTAGCTGGTTTTAGTGCTTTAGCCGAGATGCTCGCTTTGTTTTTCTGTCATGGAGATTGAATACTCTAATGACTAGAGGGTTGGAATTACTGCAGCTTTAATGTGCCATTTCGGGTGTGTATTGTCTATTGATGGCTCAGGAGAAGCTCCTGCATCGGTCTTAATTAAATGTTAGTCTATCGCTCATTAACTATCAGATTGTGAAATTTAAGACCGATTGTGTCTCAACAAATATTGTATTCCAAAGGTCTATTAATTTTTATGAAACCATGACTCATGTCTTGGTTTGGCTGATTTGTGCAATATCATGTGTTGTTTCTAACATAAGTGAAATGAATTGTAACTCATGCCATTTTATTTATCTGAATATGTATATTTTATGAGCAGAATAATTAACCTTGCTATTAATATCAACTATGGTCAATATACAGTAGTTTGTAACTTATTTTTATTTAAAGAATTTTAATCATTTAAATCAACCTATCTTTCAATCCAAGGCAGGAACATTAATATGAATGTTCAATGAATTCTGTCTTTCTCCGCAAATGCCCATCCCTTTCTAACCAACTGTGGTATCTTCGTATCAACAAATGTTGCTTTAACATTGCAACTCAAAAATGCAGTAATAAATTGTCACTGGATGCATTTACATTGCCTTCTTACTTCAGAAGGCTGCGTATAGCAAATGTTTCACATTTGGGCATGTTCACTGTTTCACATTTGCAGATATCTGATTTTAACAAATACTTTTTAAACACATTTTGACTAAATATTCACAGATAGCAAATGCACACTGAAAATTACCTTTGTTATTTTGCATCTAAAGAACATGTTCTATGGAGTTAAGTGAGAGGAAAAGTTGCTTATTTTAATTAAATACATGAATTAGAGGGAAATTGCACATAGTGTATATACTACTGTAGTTTGAGTTTTGGGGGGAATATTAGTAAATAAGGATCCATAAGAAGATTTGTCATTCTGTAATATAGTATAATGCATTTTAGTAGAATCTGCCAGAAAAATATTTGGGCATGTTCAATGAGTACAGTGTTTGCTTTGTGTGTTGTGAATTTGATACTGAAAGGGGTATTATTAAATCTAAACTGACTCACAGCATCTAAGCTTTCTGGTGAAATTGACAATTGCTCAGTAGAACAAAAGCATATCACTTATCAAATTCTATAGCTCTGAAGCTATGAAAAGGTTTTGCTTTTTTTTATTTCTTTTAGGTTTTCATAAAATGTTATAACCATGGCAACACCAAGCAATGGAGTGGTTTTATCACTTGATTTAGAGACCAAACCAAATGTATCTGAATGCTTATATAAAATATGTTGGTAAATGTGATAATAGTTCAGAGAATTACCATATATGTAAATATATTCCCGTGTTAAACTTTTGCGGAATGTCAGATCTTTAATCTTTTCGTGTGGACAAATTTTTGCAAATGACCCACATTGAAAGAAATGAAAATAAGGTTTATACGATCTGAAGAGAAACCAGAGCATACTGTGGAGTCCTGTAGCTCAGTGGTTAGAGCACTCGCTTTGCAAGCGAGAGACCTGAGTTCAATTCCAGGCAGAGGGCGAAACCTTGGGCAAGTTTCCTTACTCCACACAGAGCCTAATAATAATCCCTCCAAAACCAAAAACAATAATAAATTGGTCATTTTCAATCTACGGCTGTTTGTGGGACATTGCTGTGCGCAATTGGCTGCCGCGTTCGCCCACAAATATACAGTCAATTCACTTTACAGTGTGCTCTGTGAAGCGCTTTGGGACGTCCTCCCGACGTGAAAAGCGCTATATCAAATGCAAGGATTATTATAAACTGGGTCGCAGTTTTAAAAAAAGCTTACCAGTGAGAGCGGAAAGTAGCTGGGCTGTGGTGGGCATGTGGCAATCTCACGATAACAATTCAAACCATTCTCGCGAGTCTGGCAAGGTAAGGTTTTCTCACCGATAAGGTTTTTTGCTTTGTAAATTATTATGCGATGATTTATTTTTGCATATATTGTAGCGGTTTTGCAATTTCTGCAGCAATAATTACACATGAAAATATATGGTATATTTTCCACTGCAAATGCAGTGAACAGCTTTTATTGAGGGCATGATTAAATTTGATGGAAGAATCAAATTTGGGAATGCATCAATTTTTTTTTCCTTTTTGATTTCAATTTTCTTTTTAACTGATTTGTAACAGGTAAAACTCACCATTGAAACCTCGAGCACTGAACGATCAGGAGCCAACCTGTCTTTTGAGCACAACACAAAACAAACTACTGTTGTTAATAATCTGATGAAGCTCTTGTGGGGTGAAGATGCCCCCGATTTCCAAATGGGAATTGGCAACATTTCTCACATTATTATGTACTTGAGTTTGAAGATGGACTCTGAAAACTTAAAAGAAGAGGTATGTGCACACATTGTTCTAATATTGAGTTTTGAAAAAGCTCTGAAGACCACTTTATATGCATTAATTGCACAATACACTCTTGCTATTAAAACCACCATTAATTAACTAATATAATAAAATTAATTAGAGTGCACTTGCTGGTGCTTTACTTCCAGGATTTGAGCTGTAAAGTTGGTGGAACCACAGCTAATTTGCTCACTTAGGAATAGAAGAGTTCTAAGCGTTTATGAGCATGTAAAACATGATAATGTTAAAATTTTAATAGTTTCCACCAGCTAGTGTGATTTCTACCAGTTGAAACAAGCCAACCAGTCCAGCAGTACAGGAGACTGTTGAGTTTTTATTTAGAAGGTAACAAGGATGTGTGGTAAGAGTATGTGTTATTCCAAATGGGCAGAAAAACAAACCACTTCGAACAGAGAGCAACTTAGTTTTGCTCTAATTTTGATGTTCTTTTCAATTCGATGAACACACATCTCTGAATTGTTTTCTTAGCCGTAGCATTGTAATCATCTTGGTTGCTGATTTTATGCTTTTGAACTGAAAATGATAGTCTATTATTTGAAATAAACAGTGTTGTGAGAAAGCTGCAAAGTTATGCTGACATTTATAAAAGTGGACAAGAAATGTTCTTATGGTTCCTGAAAATTTGAACAGGAAATCATTGTACAATATCACAGGGACTTGTGTTAATTGCTTTTCCATAGACTAATAATAAATGGAAACGTGAGCACCTAATGTCAAATAATTATGCTTAATTCAATATACAGACTCTTTAAAAAAAACTTCATTAATGCAAAAATGCTTTTACTAATGCACATTAGTTTTTTCGCATCTTAACGGTTTTATCTATAACATTCCCTAACTACTTTGATGCTTACTTAATTGATTTGTTCTTGACTGCTGTAATGCGACATACGTTTTGATGTTCTATAGTTTGTGCTTGGGTTGTGGCCATTCACTGCTAATACATAGAATAATCAAGTGATTGCAAGATGGTAATCTAATTGCAGATTTAGATGACATGAACTGAGAAAATGAAGCACAAGGACTTCATGTATACCATCCGATCTGAGGTTGCACTAGTGCATTGAAATTCTTCCTAGATAGTTCCTAGCACATAGTTTTAAATGTATCATGTATATTTTATTTGTGTCAGTAATTCTGCTTACTCCGCAACCCTTCACCCGCTGCCTCCGTTCGACTGGCTCTGGCCTCCTGCTTGTCCCTCGTGCTCTGCAGTCCACCATTGGCGGCCGCACTTCCAGCCACTATGCCCCGCAACCCTGGAACACTCTTCGTCTATCCCTCTGCCTTGTCATGCCTGAAGACCTTCCTCTTCGACCGTGCCTACAGTCACCTCCCCCTCCCTCCGGCTCGGCGTCGTGCTCCGCCATTGTCAAGCTCTCTGGGATGCTACCCTGCATGAGGGGCACTACATGTATCCAAGTTGTTGTCGTCGTTCTTAAACATAGCTTTGTAAATAGAATGTAGTACTGTAATTCTTATGTGTGAATGTTCCATTCCCCAAGCCTTATTTATGTAGCTAAATGATTTTTTTGCAAAAATATGATCATTGTTGACCTGTGAATTTATAACTGTTAATTCATTACGCTAATTTTACTTTGTTCAATTTCAGGAAACTTGGTTTTATTTGAGCTTATTTGTCCTTTATTGTATGAATGCTAATTGAGAGTTAATTTACAACAACAACTTGTACTTACATTGCGCACTCCACGCAGGGTAGTGTCTCAGAGTGCTTAACAGTGGTGGAGCCTGACTCTGAGCGGGGAAGGTGACCATAACCACAGTCGAAAAGGAAGGTTTTTCAGGCGGGGCTTGAAAAAGGGGAGAGAGGGGGAAAGGCGGAGGGATTGAGGGAGTATTCCAGAGTTTTGGGGGGGTCGTGGCTGAAAGCACAACCTTTACTTGCTTTTAGACAAATATTGTGTCAGCCTTGCAACAGAGCCACTACTTGAAAACATTGATAGATTTTGTGAAGCTTACACTTTCACTGATATTATCCTCAGTGTATCCCAAGCTAAAAGGACCATTGTGCTTTTTTAGTATCATGTTACCAGAAGTCTAAAATGCATCTTTGTGCTTAACAGCATTTAGCTCTGCTTTTGCCAGAGGATTCCATAGTATCTTGCCATAATCCTGCCACAGTTAATGCTAAAGACTTTATCAGATGCATTATTTGTTTTTATTCTAAAATGGGTTTGGGAGAGAAAGTAAAAAGGGAAGATGAACTGTGCAAATATAAAGATAAGTTGCAGGATTTGCCTGTGGTGCTTTCTTTTGGCTTCTTGAAATAAAACTGAATGTTTTATGCTTAAAGAGTGCTTTTGCTGTTGCACTTCCACACTTTATATACAGAACCCACTTGTTTCTTCAGAGCAAGATGACAAAGAAAAGCTTGAACTGAATCACTGCTATCCTGCAGGCTCCCTTGTATTTCCCTTGCTGCCAGGCATTGAGAGTAGAAATACAAGGGAGCCTGCAGGAACTTTGACAAGTTTTGTCTCCAATTCCTCTGGGAAAGTGTAGCTACTCCTCTGAAGTACCTTATTTCTGTAACTGCAGATATAACTGGCTTTTTATACATAATGTTTTTTAATCAAGAAGCTGATCAAAAATGAGGTAGGATATAGGAAGCTCCATGAGATAATCTGTGTGTATTATTAGTGTCCCCTTTTCAAATAACCTAGCACCCTGATTTGATTTCCAAGCAGGGCAAAACCTGAGGCAAGTTTCCTTACTCCACACGTCTCTGTTAACCTAGCAGTAAGTAGGCATCTGGTTGTCAGTGGTCTTTCAAAACTACTGCTTACAATATGTCGATAGAATGCAAATATTTAGAATGTAAATATAATGCAAAATAGTTGCCAAGAAATGGGTAAAGAAGCCCAATGAGGGGACTGAATACTTTCTTTAAAGTTGCTAATAATTTCATCAATTAATATTATCAATTACCAAAATAACCAAGCGAACGCAGATTTAAAACTGTTTGGATTATAGAATTTTACTTGAATGTATTCAGTCCTTAAAAAGAACCCTGATTAGTAAGCATTGCATGTTTTAAAAAAAAATTTAATGTCTGACCTGTGCGGAAAACCCATCACCATGCTTAAGAATATCCAAGTCAGACTGAAAGTTCCATGTATCCCACCTACACATGGAAATTCCAATGTATTGGTGTGGAATCCATGCTCTTTCCCTGGATGAGTGCATCCTGCTAACCTAAATCTAGAGATTATTGGGCATATGCTGGTAAGGTTTGGGGACCCCATTGTGTGCATTGGACTACTGCTGGAGTCTTACTACCAAAAACTGCACAGCTTGTTATTGAAAGCACTGTCTGATAACCTTTTCCATTGCTTTGCCAACTAGGAAACTTTTGAGTTACAAAATGTTTAAAAAATCATTGCTCTTTCCTCACCAAGTGAATGTATTGTGCAAGCACCGAAGATGTTATTCCATCATTTCAAAACTGAAGACAAGGCTTCAATTTTCTTTGTTTTAGTTTAATCAGAGATTGAGCCAAAAATCTCGGTGTATTAACTCTTCATAGTGTTTTGGGTTGTCATAGAAACACAAGTATTTTATGAACTTGGGTTTTAAAACAATTATTTCAAGAATAATGATGAATTGACTTTGAATCACAATATTATAAGTGTTAATGAAAGGTAAGCAAAGTAGTGGTGAAAACATCAGTTGTAATTGTATTGTTTCTAACCACATGCTAAATTAAATTCCAGGCTGATTGACATTTATGGCAAAATTAGAACCTTCCGAGATGATCCTTGCCTTTCCATTCCACTGTTTTGTGCCATAGTAACCCAAAACGCTTTAACAAAGCAGTATGATTGTAGCAATCTTAATTATGGCCCAGAAGGGTAATGCATGGAAGCTTGACATTTAAAATGTTTCATAAAGTATCTAATTGTAATGAGCTGCTATTGTAGAAGTTGCATAAAGTTACAACATCAAGACCTTGTAATGAGTAATTGTTCTCTTAGCTTTTTTCACAACACTCTTGTTATCGTCACCATTCTTTATTTTGCTTCAATGTCTGCAACTTACTACTTTTCATTAAGTATCCTTTTATTTTTAATCTAACGAAAACTCGAAAACTTCACTGCTCAAGGCACATCATGAAACAAGGTGGGTTATGAATGTACAAAACAAAAAGCAAATTTAGTGCTCACATTTAATATAAACTATTTTTTATCCATTTGAATGCACAGTATTTGGAACACTTTTATCATAGCATCTGTAAAAATCACATGAATTTGAGTTTAATTAAATTGTTAGGAGTATTAAAAAGGTCCTAAGATCTCTGGTCTGTGCTGTTAGTTGCTTATGTGGAAATAAGTGGGGACGTCTTGGGACATCGTCCTGACTTGAAATATGCAATACAAATGTAATTTTATTGTTGTTGAGGTAAAGGGTAAGCAGCATTCACATCCAATCTGTACTCAATGCTGAAAGAACCAGAGATGCTGGAAGGGGCTGTGTTGTTTTCCTCTACTGCTGCAGTTTGTATTTTTTCCCCTTCCTGTTAGTGAAACTGGTCTGCTAGAAAATCAAAGCTTTTAAACAACTCACATTTTTATGATAGCATGATAACATTTCCTGATCTGATAGTTTTGAGCTTGTTACTAATGATCAGCACTGAAAAAATGTTTCAGCTATTCGGTCCAGATTAAATGTGAGCACTAAATTTGCTTTTTGTTTCGCACGTTCATATCTCACATTCTCCACAGTTTTTTTTTAAAAAAGCACAAATTGATTGCAGATAGTGATGTACATGCTGCTGAGTTCCCTGCAGTAATGAAGTTAAACTTTTTATTGTTGTCCACAGCAAGAAATTCTATACCAGTATCCAACAACTGATGCATCCCAAAAATTAAAGAGTGTTCGGGGAATATTTCTTACCCTCTGTGACATGCTGGAAAATGTAACTGGGGGACAAATTATCAGGTGATTTATAACAATACCTATTCCTTAGATTGAAGTACCTCTGACCTGTTGGCTGCTATTGTTGAAATGTAATCATTGTTTTAAAGGTTAATTATCTGAAGTGCACATGCTGATCTTGAGGGAAGCATTTGCTGCTGTTTTTGTAGTCTTACAAATAAATCATTCAAAATTGTGAATGTAAGAGTGATTCAATATGTTACCTTCATAAAAGTGAGTTTTATTTCTAATTTGTTACCTCCTGATTTATCAAGATATAAATGAGATTTCAATAAATATTTGGGTTAATTTGAAAATGTAATGCATTATTCAGTTGACTACAATTTAATGTATCATAATTGTTCATGAGTATTTCATACATATTGAAATTGATGTACAGAATGTACCGTGTTTGGTGTATTACAGTTTAACAGGTTCTTTACAAATGTACTGAATCTGATTGGAAAGACCAAGGTTGGGATTGTTTTTCATCCTCTGTTTTGTACACTTTGTGAAAGTATATGTCACACTGGAATGTGACAAACCTCCATCTTAGGCTATGGAGTTAAATATTTCAGTTTTAATTATATGATTTAAATATAATTTTTTATTTATTAAAATTGTTAATCAAACTGAAAAATTAATGGTATAATTATTTTAGTTCCAACAATCTGGGTTAAGAATATAAAGTATTTTAATTAAGTATTAGCCTGTCTGACTTTACATTGTTGCTGATAGAGCACAGAGTATACATTATTGATCATGTTTTGAAAAAACATAATTTTGAGGCATAGTTTCCTCATTATGTGAAGCATTGTGTAGTACTTAGATCTAAGGTCACAGTTTTAATTTGATTAAAAATCATGAGACAAAGAATTGGAGATTTCAGCGAAGAGGAGGTTATTTGGACCACTGTGTCTGGCATTCTATCTAATCCTATTTCCCTGCTCTTTTCCCATACTTTTTTTTAATCTTTCTCAAATGTTTATCTATTTGCTTTTTAACTTTGCTTCAATAGCCACTTGTTGTAATACTTTCCACATCCCACAACTTTGTCTCAAAGCAAAATCTTCTAATGTCTCATTCATGCTTCTAATAATAATCTTGAGTTTATGTCACCTTGTTGCCAATTCACCAACAATGGATCAAATCAATCATTATTTATCCTCTCACAATTTTTGAACACTTTTAATGGATTCCTCTTCCCATTTAATTTTCTCTATGTGAGCCCCAGTTTAAGATTTAAGATTAGGATCCTGGCAAACAACCTTCCAGGTGAAATTGCTCATTCACCTGTCTGCCTGTTCAGTTGGATGTTAGAGATCCCATAGCAGTATTCAAAAAGAAAAAGGAGTTTCTCTTAGTGTTCTCACCATCACACAAAAACTGACAATTCACATCATGTTTATGGGACATTACTGTGTGCAAATTGGCTCCCAAGTTCACCGACAAATATAGTCACGACACACAATAGAAACTTTGTGAAGTGTTTTGAGACATTCTCGATGTTAAAAGCAATATATCAAATGCAACAGTTATTATAAATGTACACCGTTTCATTCATGTGTGAATCTTTGTGCACCTCTCCATATGATATTCTTTTAACAATAAGGTTTCAAAACACAGAACTATCGCGGTCTATTGTCTTGTACAGATTCAGTATGATTTTTTGGTATTCATTACCCAATGTATAAACCTAAAGTTCCATTTTCCTTTTATGGCTATTTCCATCTACAATTATACTTAAATATCTAACTACATCCCCATCTCCATGGTCCACCACTCTGGGTAATTAAAGCCCTAGAATTAAACTTATACTTTGCACTGATTCTATAGTATTAAAATATAAATGTAAAAATGATCAATGGAATTCTTAATACTTTAATGCAAAGTCCTCATTTATAAGTCGTTATCCAGGCACTCTTCAACATGATACAGTAATTAATTTGCACAGAGGGGACATTAACTAGTTAATTGGTGTAGGAAATCACATAATTATATCCCCCAAATTTTTGTTTCCATAAAAGGTATCATAATCATATGTAATATATTGTGTGCCTTTTTCTGTTTTTTCTTGCTACTGAGCCTAATGTGCAGTGATTTGTAGCCGGATTCCTTAGAAAGTATATGGGAACTCTTGCTCATAAGAAGTCTGCTTTCTAGTGCTATACTTTGGAGAGTCAGCATGATGTGAGACACCCTTCAGGTTGCTGAAAGATGTCCCACTCTCATTTCTCACTCAGGAAACCCATTAGAAATTGCTGCAAATTAGACCTGAACATTGTACATCAAATTTGACAGAAAATGTCCTTATTTTTCACAGAAAATTTTAAAACCTCTTCTGCAGCATCAACTGCATTCTATTTACTTAATTGTGGCAGGATAGACAAAAAAAGTAGAAGAAAATGATGGAAGACGTAAATCTGAACACAGATAACACTTCAGTGAAGGGCTTCAATTAAAATACTGCAAATCTTTCATGGCCTACATTATAATTAAATTGCAAGTTCTTGAGAAGAATAGAAGGTGGAAGTTTTGGAGCTTCCGATTGTATATCATTTTGAATTTTTATGCTTGTGGTTTATAAGATCTTATGATAAATTGCAGCCTTTAATCACGCCATTATAGTTTGTAATTTTCTTTCTTCTTTCTAGTTCATCATTGCAGCTGAATGGAAAACTTATTCATGTAGGTTATTGGAAGGAAGGTAGCAACCTGCTGCTTGTGGGACTCCCTGCTGAAAGGTAAGAAAGGATTTCTGCTGGTGTAATAGAAAATCCTGTAAATAAATTTATCTTGATTCAATTTGGCCTATACCAGTGAATTAAATGTTTCTTTTTCCATTTTTGAGGGCCAAAATATACTTAATGAAAATTAATTGCTACAACTCAATTTAGAATATAAGTTACATTGTGTAATTCAGTTGGGTGTACAGCACTGGGAGGCATTAGGAATAGTCGTAGAATATGTTGCATTTGTCATTTTTAGGGCTTGTCTTGCTTACAATATTGTGAATTTTTAAGCTCTGGTTGTTTTTTTTCTGCCTAATATATTGACTATGTGTGTGCATTCTTCAAAGGGTTCCTCTTCCACAGCTTAGGAACATGATCAACAATGTTGTGCGAATCCTGCAGTTTATGTATAGCTCATTAGACAGGCAAGTACAAACAAATCCTAATCGCACTGAAGCAATATATTTTAATTCACATTGTAAAGGGCAATTTACTTCTGCATGCAATAGGTCAAACTGAGCTGTGCTTCCCTTTCACAGTGTAAATTAAAAAGGGTAGTACACATTATCTTTCTTTTCTTTCTTTTGTTGTCATTTTTAACATTGATCATTGTGTTCTTCAATGTAACAGAATGTCATAAAGCACAGAATGAGTAAATCCTATTTGATCTATCAAGGCCCCCCATCCCCCCATACTACACAGAATGTACCCTATTGTTGACTTCTCCCACTTTCTCTATATTTCCTGGGGGGAAAGAATTGTATAGCTGCTTTGAATTGCAGTGTAATCCAGCACACGTTTTAGAATATCCATCCTTCCCTATACAACACGTGTATCCTTTCCTCCACCAGCCTTTCTCCCAATACATCCCGGCAGCATAGAAATAATCATCTCCTATGTAATATTTCTTCAAATCTTCTGCACTTTCAAGCAGATACTTCTCCAATTTTCTTTTGAAAGGGTTAATCAATAACATAATTTTCTTCTTTTGCAAGTAGATTTTTTTAAAAAATTGATATATCTGCTCCTTAAGAGAGATTTTTTTCTTCCTATTCCAGGCAAAAAACAGTCATTTGGTGGCCCTATTAAGTTGGTGCCTACCAACTGGAAAAGACTTGTGCTAAAATCTTCACTAATACAGCGATTTTAGTTGTTTGACTATTCGGATTGCAAATTCTGTTTAAAAGGATTTGGCAAACCTTTTCAGTGTGAGACAATTGTTTCTCCCCTATAACCAATATGACTGATGCAAAACTGACCATTTGGTGGAAAATGTTACACGGTAAAAGCGTAAAGTTCCTGAACTAATAGTTAGACTTCTTATGGTTGAGTTTGATAGTTTTTATTATTAATATTTACATGCTATGTTTGTACCTAATTTTAAATCATAATATTACTGGCTTAACATTGATTTTCTCACTAAATCTCTGGCATTCCTTCAGTGCTTTCTGTCATTCAGAGAATGTTCCTCGACTGGATCATTTTTTTAAGCTATATTTCCAGCGGGCCATTCAGCCTGCAAAACTGAACTGCAGTGCCAGTGCCCAGTATTACGATGGCTACAGTGCATTGTTTTTAGATGGTATTCCTGGAGTCCGCTGGCTAACATTACCACAGGATATCAAGGTAAAGCTACTTTCAAGAATGTACACCATTAGTGAAAATAAATGTTATTCTAATCTAGTGGAGATTACTATGTACTTCATTTTTAGGGCTGGGAGCTACCTGCAAATGAATGAGTCCCAAACTAATAATCTCACAAAATATTTTAACCTATAACTTGGTAAAAAGAAAAATGCTGCAAAGGCATTTTAAATAAGTACTAGGGAATGTTAAACTGACACTTTGACAAATGTAGCACAGTAGCCTTTTGAAGGAAACGTGCTTCTGTTAAAATCATTTGAATGGTCAGAATTGCTTTTCCTAATTACTGATAACTTTTGCTCATTGCCCTTATGAATTGGTACATTTCTAGCAGCCATCTTGAATATGCTGATTACAGAAACTGCATTTTACACTTTCTTTGTGATGGAACTGTTTCATAATCATAAATATTTGTGTTGAATTAAAAGTTGTAAGGAGTGACTCAGGACTGTTATACAATTCATCTTCAGGAGAGCCGAACCTTTCATTATCTAAGATCCTCGACTCATTTGCTGTTTGTGACTTCATTCAATTGCCCAACTGAGATGTAGAAAAACACTTCCCAATTTCTCAGATGTTTAAGATTCATGTTTTCAACTAGTTTAATAGATTATTTTTTGGCAGTGAAGTCTCCAGATTATTTGTGATTCAAATATGGATCGTCTTTATTCAACCTTGCATCTGTTTTTAAATTTCTATTTCAGGTAGACATCGATACCACATTGAGTGATCTGGAATCTGCAGACTTTGGAGAACTGGTATTGACCTTAGCATTACTAATAACATTTTAATATTTGTAAAATCTAAATACTAATTTAGGCAGTTTGTTACTGTTTTTTTATTCGATATAAAACAAATACTCATGATTGTATTCAGGATTTGGTAAAACATTTTGGCCAAACAAGAAAAAATGCTTGGAGTATGATTACTTAATTAGCAAATATATTGTTTAAGGCAGAAATATTTTACTGTAAGTTTTTTTTATTCATTGAATAAGAACTTTTTCAAGCGCGTAGGGGATATTAGCAAAAGTAAAGAAAAATGAAGAGTGGGCGAAGTTCTGGAAACCATAACATGGAATTGAATTTGTGACCCTTTAAAAAAGCAAAACTTTAATTGGTTTCTGAGAAAATTTATAAAGTATATTTTAAATTCTGCAGTTCATTTTGTGTATATGGAGTTTCAGAAATCATTTCATAAAGTGGCATATAGGAAACAATTAAGGTGCCTGGTAATAAAGATGCATTAGTGACTTGGATACAGGAATGGCTTAAAGAAAGAAGGCTAAGTGTAGGAATAAATAGATACTTCTTGGATGGATGTAGTTGATGGCATGGCCAAGGAATCCAGTCTGGGAATCATTCTTCTGCATTTATTTATAATAATTGATTTAGAAATTGGAATTGGGAAAAATTTCTAGGTTTGTTGAAGAACACTATTATACTATTAACTGCTGTGCACAATTGGCTGCCGCGTTTCGCCCACAAAATATTGCAGTCAATTCACTTTACAGTATATTCTGTGAAGCACTTTGAGAAGTCTCGAAGACGTAATAAGGTGCTATATCAAATGCAAGAATTATCATTAGGGAGTATCCAAACTGCATAGAAAAATGCAGGAAATGGCAGCACAGACATCTTATGAAGAATAGAAATATGGGTGGCAGATGCAGTTAATGTTGAGAAATATGTAGTACATCTCGGTAAAACAAAGTGAGGAAGTACAGAATACCCTGAATGCTACAGTCCTTAATAACGAGGAATAGGGAAATCACACAGATCCTTAAGATAGGCTCCCATATAAAAAAGACCTTAAAGAGGCAAGTGGATTTTGAGTTTTATATACAGAATTGTTGAACACAGCAAATTTGTACATGATATTGGTTAAGTGGTTATCCACCTGACCGCTCGCTCCCGGTCCCCGCGTGCGCAATATGGCTGCCGCTATGACCCGAGCCCCCTCACCCCCTCCCTCCCTCCCTCCTCTCTACCCCCAAACCCTCCCCCCTCTGCATCTCTCCCGCTCTCTCCTCCTCTCTCTCCGTCCCTCTCGCCTTCTATCCCCACTTGACCCTCCCACAACCTCCCTCTGCTCCAGCCTGGGAATCCTCCGCCGGGCTCACCGTGGCACTCGGCGTTGGCTGTCCAGCAGCCAATGACTGCCCCATTCCCCACCACACTCGCCAGCCACCCCGGACACAGACCCAGGGAGCCAACCTCTCCTCCCTTATCCCCATTTCCCCCACCCCTCCCTCCCCACACACCCTTCTGTCAACCGCTCCATCCACATCGGACTACAAAACGTCCGCTCCCTCTGTAACAAGGCCCTGGTCATCAACGATCTCATCCTTGATGAGAACGTTGATATCATGGCCTTAACGGAAACCTGGCTCACCCCAGGCGACACCTTCCCCCTCACGGAGGCCACACCACCCGGCTACACCTCCCACCACATCCCTCGCCCCAACCGCCGTGGCGGCGGTGTTGCCCTTATCTCAAGGACACCACTTGCCCTATCCCCCTACTCCTCTGGCTCTTTCCCCTCTTTTGAGCACCTCACCCTCTCCCACCCCTCCTTCCTCTCACTTAAAATCCTCCTCCTCTACCGGCCCCCTAAAACCTCTCCCACCTTTATCTCTGATATCTTAACACTTCTCACATCTCTCTGCCTCTGCTCTGATCGCCTCATCATCCTGGGCGACTTTAACCTGCACTTCACCCCCTCCTGCTCAATCTCCTCAGATTTCTCTTCCCTGCTCTCCTCGCTCAACCTCTCCCTCCACATCAACTCCCCCACTCACAGTCACGGCCACCCACTCGACTTGGTGATCACCCGGGGCCTCAGTGTCTCGGATGTCACCATCACCAACAAGGCCATCTCCAACCACCACTTCATCTCCGTCACAACCTCCACCCCCCTCCCCACCTCCACTAGACCCACCACCACCATCTTCTACCCCCTCAATCCCTAACCTCTGCCTTGGAGTCCTCTGAATTCCTCTCCCGCTGGGCCTCAACCCTCACCGACCCCTCTTCTGCTCTCACCCTCCTCCACAACACCCTCTCCTCCACACTTGACACTCTTGCCCCATCACCTCCCGTACTGTCTCCTACTCTCGCTCCTCCCCCTGGTTCACCACCCACCTCCGCTCACTGAAGAGCCAGGTGCGGGCCGCTGAACGCACCTGGTCAAATCTGGCCTAACGGTCCACCGACAAATCTGGCTGGACCTCCTCAAAATCTACCGCTCCACTCTAGCCTCGGCCAAATCGTCCTTCTACTCCAGGATAATCCTGGAGGCGAAGGACAACCCCAGGCTACTGTTCTCTACCACATCCCAACTCCTCCGTCCCCCCCGCCACCCCGCGCAGGTCATCTCCTCCAACCTTCACTGCGAGGAGATGCTGGATTTCCTTGAATCCAAGATCAAGGGAATTCGCTCCGCGGTCACTTCCCCTCCAACATCCACCCACCACCCTCCACCCACACTCCGACTCCTACCCAACCTCCACTACACACCTTCGTACCCGTTTCCCCACCCTCTGTCACCAAACTCATCCTATCCCTGAAACCCACCACCTGCTCCCTTGACCCCATCCCCACTCCACTCCTTATCTCCCAGCTCCACCTCCTTGCCCCACATATCACAGACATCATCAACCTGTCCCTCTCCTCTGGCTCTATTCCCATTCCCTTAAAAACTGCCACCATCACTCCCACCTTAAAAAAACCCTCCCTTGATGCGTCGCAGCTATCAAGCTACCGGCCCATCTCCAACCTCCCCTTCCTGTCCAAGGTCCTGGAACGAGTTGTCGCCTCCCAGCTGCGCTCTTTCCTCTCCAACCATTCATTATTCGAACCCCTTCAGTCGGGTTTCCGTGCTGCCCATAGCACAGAAACTGCCCTGGTCAAGGTCACCAATGACATCCTGACCATCTGTGACCAGGGCTCCCTCTGCCTCCTCGTCCTCCTCGACCTATCGGCAGCATTCGATACGGTCGACCACGCTATCCTCCTCCACCGCTTGTCCTCCCACCTAAACCTTCAAGGCCCTGTCCTTGAGTGGTTTAGGTCGTACCTCTCCCAACGTCTTCATTTTGTTTCCACAAACGGCTTATCCTCCACCCCCCGCACTGTCTCGTGCGGTGTCCCTCAGGGCTCTGTCCTCGGTCCCCTCCTCTTCACCCTCTATATGCTCCCCCTTGGTGACATCATCCGCAGACATGGGGTTAACTTCCACATGTATGCGGATGACACCCAACTCTACCTTTCCTCCTCTACCCTCAACTCCACGACCACCGATGTCCTGACAGCTGCCTGTCCGACATCGAGTCCTGGACGAGAGATAACTTTCTTCAGCTCAACGTGCGCAAAACTGAGGCCCTCCTGATTGGCTCACGTCAGCGCCTCCGCACCTCAGGCGCTGACAGCATCAGCATCCAAGGCTGCACTCTCCACCTCTCAAAGCCAGTCAGGAACCTCGGGGTTCTGTTCGACCCTGAGCTGTCCTTTCTCCCTCATATCTGCGCCACAACTGGCACCGCCTTCCATCACCTCCGGAATGTCGCCAGACTACGGCACTACCTCACCCCTCACGCTGCTGAAACTCTGGTCCACGCCTTTATCACCTCAAGGCTGGACTATGGGAACTCTCTCCTCGCCGGCCTTCCCGGCACCTCCCTCCACAAGCTGCAGGTCATTCAGAACTCTGCAGCTCGTGTACTGTCCCGCACCAGGCTTCGGGACCACATCACTCCCACCCTCGCTCGCCTCCACTGGCTCCCCATCCCCCAGAGGATCGAATTCAAGATCCTCATCCTCACCTACAAGGCCATTCACGGCCTTCCTCCCTCCTACCTCTCCGACCTACTATCCCACTACCTACCTGCCCGTACCCTCCGTTCCTCTGGCTCCGGTCTGCTCCACATCCCCCGCCCCAACCGCCCTACATCGGTGGCCGGGCTTTCAGCCTCTCAGCCCCTAGGCTCTGGAACTCTATCCCCCAGTGCCTTCGCCTTGCTTCCTCCCTTTCCTCCTTCAAGGCCGGTCTTAAGATCTTTCTCTTTGACCGTGCCTTCAGCTCCTCTCTCGACTCTCTACCCCCTCCTCGCTCCCTCCCTTCCTTCCCCTCACCCTGACCATTTCCCCCTTGCTCGGGTCCTGACCCAACTGTCCAGCGCCTTGGGACGTCCTCCCGACGTGAAAGGCGCTCAATAAATGGAATCTTGTTGTTGTTGTTGTTGTAGGAGTACAATATGCAATAGCTTGTGGTGACAGAGACCAGGTTTGATCTCCTATGTAGCTAAATGAACAATAATATAATAATAATAATAATCCTTGCATTTGAAATAGCGCTTTTCACGTTTTCTAGACATCCCAAAGCGCTTCACAGAATATACTGTATAATTGTGGGCGAACGCGGCAGCCAATTGCGCACAGCAATGTCCCACAAACAGTCATGGATTGAAAATGACCAATTTATTATTGTTTTGGGTTTTGGAGGGATTATTATCAGGTGTGTGGAGTAAGGAAACTTGCCCAAGGTTTCGCCCTGCCTGGAATTGAACTCAGGTCTCTCGCTTGCAAAGCGAGTGCTCTAACCACTGAGCTACAGGACTCCAATGCAGACAAAAGAGCAGTTTGCAGTTTGCAAAGATAATAATTCATTTTCGGCTCTAAATCGTTTGCTCAGATGCCCAGAAATCAATTATTGAAGACCCCACTCTGCTTTCTAAAATATTAAAATGGGTGTGTTTGTCGTTAGCAATGCAACCAAACTACGGTTTGCATTATCTGATTGGCAATCAAAATCTAGCATTTTGCCCACAAAATATACCATCAATTCAGTTTACAGTATGTTATGTGAAGCGCTTTGAGACATCTCCATGACATGATAAGGCACTGTATCAAATGCAAGGATTATTATTATTAACTCTTTCAATGATTTATTTTCAGTCTGAAGCTTATTATGACGTTCGCCGACTGTATATGATACTGGGTTCCTGTCTGTTTTTCAAGGTGAGGCTGAAAGTGTTAAGAAAATAGTTTGATAAGACATCCAAATTATTTCAGAATCATTAGGGGGAGAGGATTTTTTTTTAGAATTATGTATCAAAGGCTTTCTGGAAGCCAATATTCCAGAAGGGAATCCTGTCAGTGGTCAGATCACTCGCCTCGCAACCGAGACCTGGGTTCGATTCCTGGCAGGGCGAAACCTTGGGCAAGTTTCCTTGCTCCATATGCCTGATAATAATCCCTCAAGAAAAAAATAATAATAATTTGGTCACTCAATCCACGACTGTTTGTAGGACCCTGCTGTGCGCAATTGGCTGCCACGTTTCACCCACAAAATATACACTTTACAGTATGTTAGGTGAAGCGCTTTGAAACTTCTAGAAGACATGAAAAACGCTATATCAAATATCAAAAAATGCAAGGATTATTATTTTTAATATTCAAAACATCCACTGCATTTCTGCACTAGGTTTACTCTGTTTTGATTACTTTAAAAAATGGGTGCAGCCACAAAGCTGATTGTATGATATAATTAATTCCCAATATATACTTCCATCTGTTCTCTTATTACATGCCCCCCCATTCTGTGAACCAGTATGTACGGCATTCTATCAAGATATAACTTCTACTGAGTTTCCCATATTCTGTTATTTTGTCAAAGAACTGCCAATAGATATTGTTATGCTTATCTTACTTCCATTCTCAGCTAATTCCATGCTCAGCTAACTTATCACTCTATTTCTCGAGGCACTTCATTATGCTATCCTATATTTCCTCCACAACAGATTTATAATAATAATAATAATAATCCTTGCATTTGATATAGCGCTTTTCACGTCTTCTAGATGTCCCAAAGCGCTTCACAGAATATACTGTAAAGTGAATTGACTGTATATTTGTGGGCGAATGCGGCAGCCAATTGCGCACAGCAGTGTCGCACAAACAGTCATGGATTGAAAATGACCAATTTATTATTGTTTTCTGTTTTTGGAGGGATTATTATTAGCTGTGTGGAGTAAGGAAACTTGCCCAAGGTTTCGCCCTGCCTGGATTGAACTCAGGTCTCTCACTTGCAATGCGAGTGCTCTAACGACTGAGCTACAGGACAGGATTTCAGGCTGTTTGGCTTGTGCTGTAGTTTTTGGGTTTGTCATTTTTCCTCTTCTTGTAAATTGGTGTGGCATTCCTCAGTCTCTAATCTTCAGTCATCCAAATATACTGAACCTGGGAAAATTTGACTTGTATTATTTGATAGTTTTGCATCCACTCAATCTGAGCCTGGCAGTCAACTCCTCAACATACATAACGTCGACAATTATACACTATAGGCATTTCACTTATACTAAATAGAATGTTTAACCTGCACTGCTATTTTGACAAATTAATTTGAGTTATATTACCTGTTTGTGTGCAAATCTCAGTGCCGGTTTGAGAAGGAACTCAATATGTACCACTAATGTTTCAGTAATGTATATATGGTTTCTTTAGTGTTAGTGTCTACATATTAATGACTTTCTACTGGTAATATTTTGCAGTTGCATTACTGTCCAACATTTTGTGTTGGTAGTGAGGAAATATTTACTAGCCATAATTTATTGTTTACATTTTAAGGGTTACATGATTGGCAATCACTTGCCAAAAGATGATCTCCTTGACATTGCACTTTACTGCCAGCACTACAGCTTACTGCCTCTAGCAGCAGAGCAAAGGATTGGTCAACTGGTCATATGGCGTGAGGTGTTTCCATGGCGGCACCATAAATCAAATCAAGAAGAAATCATTGATGGATACCAAGAGGCAGAAGGAAGATACTTTTTGCTAATTGTTGGTTTGGTAAGCAACATATTTGAAAATTCAATCTCTTCTTCTGATGCGTAGTACAAGTCCAAGGAATAGTAGATTAGAAAACCACAGTAGAAGGACCATAGTAGGTGTTAGGAATACTTAGTTGGTAGAATTCTTGCCTCTGAGTCAACATATTCTTGAGTTTAAGCCCCATTTTGATTTTGAATTCACATTCTAGCCTACACACCAATATATTGCTGAGGTGAATTGAATTACTGGATGTGCTGTCCTTCAGATGATGCATTTAAACTGAGGTCCTGTCTACCTCAGAAGGGAGTTTATCCCAGGGTCCTAGCCAACAATTCCCCCAGATAACATTGATCATTCACTTCAAAGTTTATGGGATATTGCAGGGAGAAAATTTTATGCAGCATTCGCCGACAAGGCACAGTCACTAAATCCTGTGAAACACTTTGAAATGTCCTCTTGACGTGAAAGGTGATATATCAAATGCAACAATTATTAATACTGCACTGATTTCCTGTAATCTTCATTTTAACCAATTTACTTGACACAACAACAAAATTACATTAAATAGCGCCTTTCACGTCAGAAGGACATTCCAATATGGTAGACAGTTAAGGGCTTATACCCAAGCTTGGGGTTGGAATCGAGGAGTAGGTGAGATGGAGGCTGAAAGCACGATCAAAGAGGGCTTTAGAAGGGCCTTGAAGGAGGCTAGGGAGGGGGTGAGGTGGAAGAATTATACGATGGAGTTCTAGTACGTGGGGCAGAAAAACTTAAGGCTCGAATGGCAATGGTGGACACCACCCACATTCAAAATATTTTGAATCCCAATGACTATATTTTATGCACAAGAACTCAAGTTAAAAGACTCAATTTAAATTAAAGAAAAGACCGTAATTGATATTTTTATTATCTCTATATTTTGGTTTTGCTATTGAAGTTCAAACTTTCATTGAATTTTTATTTTCCTCAGAGACATTTCATAGTGTGTGTGCTGATGCAAGCTGGAGGATGTGCAAGCAAGGCAAATGGAAACCCAGGGCCAGATTGTATATATGTTGACCAGGTTAAAGCAACCTTACTTCAGCTTGAGGGACTGGAGGCCTGTATAAAAGACAGATTGACAAGCCCATCCACACCATTCCTATCATGTGCCGATTGGTTCCTTCCTTCTTCACGAGACCGATTGGAAAGTATCAGCAGCTCTCCCATCATCAGCAAGTTGCAAGGTTCATCCAAATCAACATTATCACCAGCAAGTCGGAGGACACTATTTGGAGACTCCAGCCTGAGGACTCGGAAGTCAAGTCCTCCAAGGACCATTGGAATCTCTGATATTAGCATTGAGGAACAGGGGGATGCTGGTTGGCTCAATATGAACTTTAGTCCATATTTCACACCTGACTCAATGAAGAAGCAACCACAAAGAGAATCCCAGGGTTCTGGAAGGTCTGATTGCACTGGAGGAAGTGGAAGTATATTTAAGGTAATGGAAGAAATTCGGAGAGTTTTTTTTTACAAGTGTTAGTTGCACAATTCACTAATCTCCATTGCAAACATTGTAGTAATCTGCAATGTTTGCATTGAAGTATATTCCATATCCATCTGAAAATAAATATTTCATTGTAGTGCAGAGTGTTTTCCCTATTTAAACACAATATTATGAATGCTGTATACTATTCGGAAAATGCTGATGGTATTATTTCTAAATTTAAGCCACTTCTGCTTTTAAACTCAAATGTTTTACTGACTTGAGATCTTGCAGGTGTAAGACAGAACAATATCCTTATCTCTTTCAGCACCCCCCCACCCCCCCAAAAAAAAAAAAAATCACACTTGGTTGTTGTTTGTTTCCAAATTGTGTGGCTGTTCTGACCAACTGCCTGTTAGGCCTGAAGTCCATTGCTAATACTGACTTTTTTAAAATCTGCCTGCTTATTTCAACCCTCCACTTCACCCCATTTACCACTGTTATCCTGATTCCTGCTTTTGTGACCTTCGAGATGCACTTCTCCAATATTCTCCTCTTTGACTTCCTTAACTCCACCATCTATAAGTTTCAACAAACCCAAACCGTATAACTGTATTCCCTCCCACATTAGGTATTGCACACCAATCATTCCTATTATCACCACATAAAATTGCTCTATATCCCCAGAAGACCGATTTTATGATTGTGTCCTGACCTTTAAATCCCTTCAGTCTCATTTTTCTCTAACTCTGAAATTTTCTCCAACCCTATTCTCCTTCTGTTTCCCTCAACTCTCCAATTCGGGTTTATTGCTCACTCCACTTCTTTAGTCACACCCTCTGGAACTTTTCTTCAAAACCTCTGTCTTACTTCCTCTCCCCTGAAAAAAAAACGTTTTAAATATGCTTTTATTCAACGTCAGGTCTGACAAGGTCATCAACTTGGAGTGTTAACTCACTTTCCTCTCTCCATTGATGCTGCCTGACCTGCTGAGTGTTCCCAGCGACTTCTGTTTTTATATTATGTAAATACAAGTTGTCTTGTTTATATCTTCAATAATCTGGTATTACATCAGATTCCCAATGATCTTATGAAGCAACTTTTATTTCAATATACTAAAAGTAACATTTTTATAAATGTGAAGGGCCTTACTCTAACCATTAACCTGCAGAGCTCAAGTACTCTACTCCTGCCTTGGGAAGGCCTCCTGATGTGAAAGGCACTATACAAATGTAAGTTGTTGTTGTTGTTGTAAGACACAGATTTACATTCATATGGTGCCTTTCGCATCGGGAGGATGTCCCAGTGCACTTCGTACTAGCTTGGTCCCAATGATTCTTCCACACTTTTTTCGATCCTAGCATAAATGGCAGATCTGCTAGCTATCACTGTCCTTAACAGTGGCCAATCTCAATGTAGTGATGCAGAGTAAAAGTATTCAAATTTACCAAGCGTAAATGCTTTTGGTAACCAATCAATGGTGTTTATCTGGTACTGACTACTTTGAATATGAAAGTACCTGAGCTATAGAAGTATTGATTGGTTCCATTTCATTAGTTAAAATTATAATTTAATTTCAGAGTAAAAAGAAGCAAGGCACTCCCAATCCATTCTATCTTGGAAGCATGAAGAAGAACCTTTCTGAGACTGAGGCGATGTACCATATTACAAAGTAAGATTAAAATAGTTTAACCCACTTTATTTCACTCTTTTCATTCTGCTGTGCATCTTTTCTTCCATCCACCTTAAAGTTTATTTATTAGTTTCCTTTCCTGTCCACAATAGTTCTTTGTTTACCTGCTCACCAGCTGGGAAAAGGTGGCTGAAGTCATATTCCACATCTATTGATTTTAAGATTTAAAATTTTTAAATAATTCTTTAATCTTTTTGTTTGGTTAGTCGATTTCCATCCATGCACAGGTTCCTAGTTTCATTTCTTTCATTCTCATATATAATCTCAGCAGTTTTTTTTATGTGTGGGGCAGTAGTGAAATCCAATTCTGAACTAATTTCAGTATCTCCACACTGTTCTGTTGTCAATATAGTTTTTCCAAGAAACCTCCATGTACAGAACATAAAAGTAACCACAAGTATTTACTACAATATTGTTCTGAATTTCTATTCATCATTTTTATATCTATTTCATCATATCTTTTAAATGTATTTAATTCAGCAGAGGGTTTTTTTTTCCTTTTAGTTCCATGATAGAAATGTTTATATAATCTGAGGATATGATAAATGTCTGGAAATACAGACCATAAATTTCAGTTATCTTTGAAATATGACTACTGTAATTGTCCCTTAAGTATTTTCCAGTGGATGTAAGTGAACATTCAAAATTGTTGTTAACCGTTTGCTTCATATCCCCCGCCCTAACCTCTCCACCATCGGCGGCCAAGCTTTCAGCCGTTATGCCCCCGGTTTCTGGAACTCCATCCAGGAGTCTCTCCAACTGGCTCCCTTCCTTCTCTTGTTTGAGGCTCATCTCAGGATCTACCTCTTTCATTGCACCTTCAATCATCTTTCCCCTCCCAAACCCAACTCAGGTGCCCAGGCAGCTTTGTTGAGTATTTGGAGACATCCTCCCAATGTAAAAGCTAGTGAAAGTAGATACCTGGGAAAACTGGTATCAAGCTTTTAAAAGTCCACTTGTCCATATTTTTTAGGTTGACATCGGGCTCAGAAAATACTCTGTTCCACTATATTTCTTTGGAAACCATACAGGGGATATTCATCGCTCCCACACATACAGATGTTGCACAACTCGGTGGTTCTATCCACTCTCAGTTAATCAAGAACTTCCATCGTTGTTGCCTATCAATAAGGTCAATCTTCCAACAAAACTCGGACAAACAGGTGTTTTTTTTTCAAAATATTGAAGAAAATTTGCATTGGTCTTCATTGTCATATTTGCATAACACACAAATGTATAACATTGCATGTTTGCAGTAACTTTCATGTAGGGTGTCCACCTTAAAGCCTTTCACAAAGATGATGATAGCCAGTGAGCAGGGAAGAAAGGAGGGGGAGTTGGAGCATATTACCCAAATTCATGGTCAAAGAGAAGCTTTATGAAGATTAGAGAATGCAAAAGGTAAAGGGATTTTGGGAGAGTTACAGAAAGCAGGGGTATATTAGTTGAATGATCAAGCACCAATGGGGAGGGGGGAGCGGGGAAAAGAGGAATGAGAATAGGAATAGGCCAGAGTGAAGAATGACAGTAGGCAGAGTGCGGAGGGCAGAAGGTCCAGGGAGGAAAATAGGGCTGTGGAACATTACAGAATGGTTGAGGTTCAGGATGAGGTTCTTGGATGTGACAGCTGGGAGCCAGTGGAGCCTGGAGTTAGTGGGGATATTGTGTCTGGAGCCAGGAACTGGAGAATATGTCATGAGGTGGAGCTAGGAAGGTAAGTAAGGAGAGCAAAAATATGTTTTGAGAAATTTTGTCTTAAGTTGATGAAAGCATGAATGAAAGTTTCAGCTGTGTTTGGGGTTAGAGGGGCCTCTAGGCAAGCATTGTTCTAGAGATGGAAGAAGGCAGTGTTGGAAAAAGACTACATGTACAACAACGTAGAGTTTGAAGCACAGTTGAGAGATATAATGTAACTCAGAAATAAGACTCAAATAACCTAACTTATTGGTCCAGTGGTTTAGAACTAAACCAAAATAAGTGTGATGGGGTGGAAAGCCTTGCTCTTTACAGGCTTTAAAGATCCAAGGATAATGTGCCACGTAATGGCTATTGTCATGATACACACTTTTTATTTTTAATAGGCAAAAAAATGCCCAGATGGCATCTATAATTCAACTCGGAAAGGTCTGAGGAAAAGTAGCTCAGGACTTGGTCTTGTCAAGGAGCATGGAGTCTTATTCCAGTGTAGTCCTGAAAATTGGACTGAGCAGAAGAAGCTACCTCCTACCATGGCTTATTGGGTTGTCGGGTAAGTCAACTTGATCATTCGCTTTACAGAAATTCCGGATCAATTTTTTATGTCTGTTGTCTTCAAGAATCCAGATAAATCATCATTAGGCTTTTCAACTATTTTTAGATGGTATTTTAGTCAGAATTAGTCAAAAAGAATTGACAAACTTGGGTTATCATCAATGGGTGATGCTGTTTTTCATCGTTGCTAATTAATTTCAATTTGAAGGCCCTATTTACCTTCCCTATTGCTTTTGAAACGTTCTTCACCTTGAAGAAGTCCTATTTCTGTATTTCTACTAAAGCTTCTCTTTGGGAAGCCCTCTGATCTGAAATGCTGTACTCTGTCCAGCGCCTTGGGACGTCCTCCATATGGGAAAGGCGCTATACAAATGTAATCTTGTTGTTGTTGTTATTGATTTTCTCTCCATCCTTCTCTGTGGAGAAGTATCTATTTTGGTCATCATGTAAGGACTACTGATTCTATCCTTAGTGTCAATGTTGTCATTATTTTCATGCACAGGTGTTTAGGGGAAGAGGAAATAATCACCAATAAATTAAAAATTATTGTATTGAACTGTTCACATTTTATTGCAGACTGAAATGTTACTTTAGGTTTTGGGGGAGAGGGAGGAGAAAGAAATCATCTCCGATAATGAAAAATTATTGTATTGAACTGTTCACATTTTATTGCAGACTAAAATGTTACTTTAGGTAAAGCTAGTTAAGAGAAAATGACCACTTATGTAACTTCTTGTAATCTGAGATTTTTATTCTTCTTACAGGAGACTCTTTGTAGATCCTTATCCTCAAGAGGTCTACGTGTGTTTCCATGACTCTGTAGAAGAAGTTGCTGTGGAACTAGCTTTCAAACTCTCATTTGGATTGGTTACATAACATAAATACAACTGCACCAATTTCCAAATAAGGAAAGCTTTGGACCACAATTCATAAATGCAACTGCAGCACAATTCATTGTCCGTACTTGGAAGTGCATGGCAAAATTGGATATTTAATTTTTCTCCGGATAGTCCATCAGCTGGATATTACATCTTGAACATTCAGGAGCAATTTTGATGAACATTCAGTGAACCAAGGATATTAAACAATGCTGATTTAAAATGTTTCAATAATGAAGGGAATCTTTATTTCTTTAAGAACCTGTTCTGCTATCTTACAGGTTAAATGAAAGATAATGGTTGTGATAATCTGTTTATATAATTTTGTAAATTCTTGTCACAGTTTAATGTAATCATTGCACTCAAGAGAGTATAGATTTGTATTGTGTGCATTTCCTATTAGATTTTTGACTATTATGAAGCATGAAGTGCAAATTACTGCTTGAAATGTGCCTTTCAAAGAGAATCTATATGATGAATACAAATTTAAAATTTTTACATGAATATATCTGTTTCAAATTGCCTGAAATGAAAAGGCAATTAAACCACGAAACAATATATTGGCAAACATTTGTTCATAATTATATTTTTCACTTTTGCTTTCTATTACATTTTCCATCAAACATAACTGAAATTAGTGATGTGGATTGTTCCATTTTCTCCCCTGAAGAAGGAAGCTTGGTTGTGATCAGAAAGAAAAAAAAATCATGTTGTGGTTAATATTATGAGGAATATTTAAATTAATATTTAATAATTCTTTGAGGCATATGGGGAGGCCTATGCCACAGCAATGTGATGTCAACTTCTGTTTCTTCCTCCCCCCCCCAAAAAAAAAACTTTCTCAACCAGAAACCTCCAGTACCTCCTCCATTGATGCGATTAGAAAGTAAGTGTCAGCAGAATATTTGACTGAAAATAATAAATAATCCTTGTATTTGGTTACAAGTATTTGGCGTCTTGTATTTGGCGCCTTTCCATGTTAAGAGGATGTACCAAAGCACTTCACAGGATTTTATTGTCAACTGGAGTGTAGGCAAACACAAATTGTGCATAGTAATGTCTCACACAGCCACAAAACAATGACCAATTTTATTTGGGGGATTGTTGGTCTGGACACTGGGAAAAACTCTCCTCTTTTTGATTACTGCCATGGGATCTTTAACTTCCACCTGAAAAGGCATATGGAACCTCGGTTTGTCTCATCTTAAGCACGGCATCTTTGGTCAGCGATGCATTGGAGTTTCAGCTTAGGCTATGTTAGTTCAAGTTAGTTCAAATTCTGACGTGGGACTACAAACCCACAGCCATCTCAGAAAGAGCATCAGCACTAAGCTCAATCCTGTTCTTTTCCAACATTCACACACATGTGCATGTGACAGGCCACCATCCGAGTGGAAAGCCTTTTTTTTTTAACAGCCACTCCCAGATCAGTGGATTCAGAGAACAATGTCTTTATCCAATGGATCAGGCTATCAGGGAAAGCTTCTGGAAAATGATTTTTATCCTGCTTGGTCATTGTTAGACCAAATAAAATGGCCCGACAAATGAATGGACCTGTGAAAAAAGATCGGAATTCTATAATTCTGTTATATGCAAAGTGAAAAAAGTAAAATTCAAAAATGTCTTGAAGAAATAATTGCTGTCTTCAGTTCCAGTCCATGCATTTCCATCAAAACGTTTTGAAGCAGGGAATGGAAAATTTGGGAGAAACTTCAACACTTACAATAGCTAGGGTCTTCAGCAGAATACTAACACAGTATTACTAAAAAAATTACTAACAGAATACCATATATATATAACAATAAACTCTTATTCACTTCTTATAAATACAGTATGATACCCAACGATAGGTGATAGATTTTTTTCTTCCTTGTTGACTTTTTTGCTTTCTGCAAAAAGTTAGTTGAGGAAACATAATTTTAAATTAATTTGTAATTACTTGACCTCTATAACTTAAGCTATCATCCATCACCTGCTGTGAAATAGGCTATTTGGATTTTTAGTCTGTTACTTTAGTTGTTTCATTTGGGAAAATATCATGTTCCAAATTGTTACGGTCATTTTGTTCCATCAGCCGGGTGTCTCTGACACATGCAAGAACCAATCACTACGCTTAAGAGTATTCAAACCAGACATGAGTTCAATGTATACCACCTACATGTGAAAATGTCTGTCTGGAAGGAAATGTGCAATCTCTTCCTGGAGGGTAGAGCCTCCAGGAACTGGTCTAGCTTCCAAGTCTTATCAATGAGCCAGGCTGACTGGGATGGCCTCAGCAATTCTCTGGAATACTGCAGACCCGCCTAGCTCAGGAGCCAGATTATTAAAGGGTTGACTCAATTCCGCTGAAAAGCATGTCATCTTGGAGACAGTTTCTGCTTACCACATTCTGCCCCGATCCTTTCCAGTTGATGATATATATCAGTATCTGGGCTTGGGATGGCCACCAGCTCCTGGCAACCTTTCCGCTGTTTCTCCAAGAAGGCCCATCCTACCTATGAGTAAAATCGACTACCTGCCATCTCGACCCCCTCCCCACCCAGCTGCTGGTCGCTCAACTCCCCCTCCTCTCCCCACTGCTGGTAAGACACCATAAATCAGTCCCTCTCCTCAGGCTCAGTCCCACTCACCCTCAAAACAGCTGTCATCACTCCCCTCCTCAAAAAATCTATTCTTGATCCCTCCAACCTGATGCACTACCATCCCATTTCAAACCTGCCCTTCATTGCCAAAGCCCTGGAACGCATGTTGCCAACCAACTTCACTCACACCTCGCCCTCCACTCCCTTCTCAAACATTTCCAGTCCATTTTCTGCCCAGTACACAGCACAGAGACAGCGCTACTCAAAGTAACAAATAACGTCCTCTCTGCAAGGGTCCCTCTGCCTCATCGTCCTCCTGGACCTCTCCACTGCGTTCGAAACAGTTGACCACGCCATCCTCCACCTTATTGGCACCACACTCACATGGTTCGAGTGCTACTTAACCAACTGCCAGCACTTCATCTCAGCCAATAGTTTTTCCTCTTGCCCCCCCCCGGTCACCTGCGGAGGACCCCAAGGCTCCATCCTTAACCCCCTCCTCTTCCTTATCTACATGCTCCTTCTCGGTGATATCATGCACAGACACGGGGTAAATTTGCACATGTATAGGGATGACACACAAATCTACTCTTCCTCCAACTGTGAATCCCAGTTCTGTCAACTTGTTAAGCATTACAAGACACTTAACAACACTGGCTTGGCACACAAATTTGAGGTGGGAGATGAGGGGATTAGTTAGTGAGGGTAAAGATGAGCAAACGCACTGTACAACGGGGTTCAAAATGGACTGATTGTCTGTGGATGAACCATGCTGGAATGCTTGCAAATGTCCTGAATTATATACAGTAACTGACAAACAAAACAAAATTAGCAGAATCTCTTTGCAATCTTTCCTCAGTGGAGGTTAATTATTGAAATTTGCTGCCGCAAAATATAGTCAGTTCAATTTACAGTATATTCTGTGAAGCATTTTGAGACGTCTTACAACAACAACAACTTGGATTTATATAGTGCTCTCCACGCCGGACGGCATCTCAGAGCGCTTCACAGAACGGATCCTGGGGCCGAGCCAGGTGGAGGGGGAGGAAAGTGACGAAAGGCACGGTCGAAAAGAAGTCTTCAGCAGAGACCTGAAAATAGGAAGAGAGGGGGCGAGGCAAAGGGAGTGAGGAAGGGAGTTCCAGGGCGTAGTGGCTGAAGGCACGGCTACCAATGGTGGAGCGGAGGATTCAGGGGACAAGGAGGAGGCCAGACCCGGTGGAGCGAAGACAACAGACAACAGCATTGTTGTGAGGAGTGAGGAGGTCAGAGAGGTAGGGGGGTGCAGAAGAGTGTAGGGATTTGAAGACGAGTGAGGATCTTGAAGTCGATCCTCTCTGGACAGGCAGCCAGTGCAGTCTGGCAAGGACCGGGGTAATCGGGGAGCGGAGTGTGTTGCAGGTAATAATGCGGGCGGCAGAGTTTTGGATGATCTGGATTTTCTAAATGGTAGTGGAGGGGAGACCGGCGAGGAGAGCATTTGAATAGTCCAGCCGAGAGGTGACAAAGCCATGGACCAGGGTTTCAGCGACTTTCGGAGTGAGGCATTGGCAATGGGCGATGTGTCGGAAGAAGAAAGCGGTACTGGTGAGGAACCGGATGTGGGGGAGGAAGGATAATTGGGGGTTGAACCTGACGCCTAGGTTGCGTACGGGTTCAGAGAATTTTAGGGGGAGGTCGGGTAAGTGGAGGAGGTGAGAACCATGCGATTTTAGAGTTGACGAGAGCCAAAGAGTATGGCTTCTGTCTTGTCAACATTTAGCTGAAGGAAATTCATGTTCATTCAGCTCCTGATGTCTGACAGGCAGGCTGACAGAACATCAGGGGTCTGGGGGTCGCAAAGTGAGGTGGAAAAATGGAGTTGGGTGTCGTCCGCATGCATGTGGAAGTGTACCCCATGTCTGTGGATGACATCCCCAAGAGGGAGCATATAGATTAGGAAGAGGAGGGGGCCAAGGATGGATCCTTGGTACCCCACAGGTGACTGGGTGACAGCGGGAAGAAAAGCCATTTGTGCAGATGTACTGCTGGCAGTTCGTGAGGTAGGACTCAAAACAGGCGAGTGCGGTCCCAGTGAGGTGGATGCCGGAGGAAAGGCAGTGGAGGAGGATAGTGTGATCGACTGTGTCGAAAGTGGCGGAGAGGTCCAGAAGGACAAGGAGGCAGAGGGAGCCCTGGTCATAGATAGAGAGGTTGTCATTTGAGACTTTCACAAGCGCAGTCTCTGTACTGTGGGCAGGGCGGAAACCGGACTGGAGTGTTCCGAAGAGGGAGTGGGAGGAGAGGTGTGCGCGGAGTTGGTTGGCAACAATGCTTTCTAGGACTTTGGCAAGGAAGGGCAGGTTTGAAGTAGGGTGGTAGTGGCTGCGGTTTGATGGATCTAGGGAAGGTTTTTTGAGGAGGTGGGGTGATGATAGCAGTTTTGAGGGGGGCAGGGACTGATCCAGAGGAGAGGGACTGGTTGATGACGTCAGCCAGTAGTGGGCAGAGGAGGGGGAGCTGGGTGACCAGCAAGTTGGGGGGGAGGGGGTCGAAGCAGCAGGTGGTGGGTTTCATTGAAATGATGGTGGGTGAAAGGGAGGAAGGAGAGATGTAGGATGGGGATCGTGGTAGGAGCTGATGATGGGGAGGGTGAGGGGAACAGAGAGCCCGTGGCGGTGGGTGACAAGAGGCAGGAGAATGAGGCTGCCTGGCGGATGTTATGTATTTTGGTTGAAAAAAAGTCCATGACCTCCTTGCACTTGGCATTAGATGTGAAGATTGATGAGGCCTGAGGGGGGGCACGGAGGAGATAGTGGGTGGTGGAAAAAAAGACTTTGGGATTGTTTTTTGCTTCCAAGATGATGTTGGAGTAGAAGGCCGATTTCGCGCATATGAAAGAATGGCGGTAGCTGTGGAGATGCTCGAGCCACAGTTGGTGGTGAACTGTCAGGCCAGTTTTCTGCCATCTGCGCTCGAGCAGCGGAGTTTTTATGGAGCAGAGATGATTGCTATACCAGGGGGATTGGGTGGGTTTGGAGATGGTCCTGGATTTCAGGGGACGAGAGAGTTGAAGGTGGAGGAGAGGCGATCAGGTTCTCTGTGGGTGGAAGGCCAGAGGCATAGGATATTTGAGGATGTGAGGGCCTTTGTGAGGGTCTCAGGGGTTAGCCTTTTCCACGGGCAGTAGAATATGGTGAGGACTTGGTGGAGGAGAGAGGGATGTGAGAGGAGAAGGAGATGAGGAAGTAGTCTGAGATGGCCTTGTCCACCATGCTAAGGCCGAAAATGTCAAGGCCGTGGGTGATGATGAGGTTGAGAGCATGGCCACGGTTGTGGGTCGGTGAATTAATGTGAAGGGTGAGGTTTAGGGAGGAGAGGAGGGCAGTGAAGTCAGAAGAAGTGGTGCAAGGGGAGTTTAGGTGGAGGTTGAAATCGCCCATTATGAGCAGGCATTTGGAGCAGAGAGCCAGGGAAGAGAGGAGAGTAGAGATGTCAGAGAGGAAGGGTGGGGTGGGGGGCTTGGGTGGGGGGGCTTAGAATATGGGGGCAGTAGACCAGAAGGATTTTCAGTGGGAGAGAGGGATGGAAGAGAGTGAGGTGCTCAAAGGAGGGGAAGCAGCCAGAGGAGTAGAGGGAAAGACCAAGGGAGGCTTTGGAGATGAGGGCCACCCCGGCGCCATGTTGGTTTGGACAGGGGGATGTGATGGAAGGAGTAGCCTGGAGGGGAGGCTTCAATAGGGGGACGGGGTCATTGGGGGAGAGCCAGGTTTCTGTGAGCCCAAGAAGGTCGAGGTGCTCATCCAGGATGAAGTCATGGATTGTGAGAGCTTTGTTTGAGAAGGAATGGACATTTTGAAGGGAAATGTGAATGGGTTTGCTGGTGGGAGGAGAGAGTAATGCGGAGAGGATGGCCGGGGGGGGTCAGTGATGGCCGGGGGAGGGGTCAGTGATGGCTGGGGGGGTCAGTGATGGCCGGGGGGGGGGCAGTGATGGCCGAGGGGTGGGGGGGGTGGGCAGTGATGGCCGGGGGGTGGGCAGTGATGGCCGGGGGGGGTCAGTGATGGCCCATGGGGGGTGGTCAGTGATGGCCGGGGGGGGTGGGTCAGGATGGCCGGGGGGGGGGTCAGTGATGGGGGGGGGTTCAGTGATGGCGGGGGGGGGGGTTCAGTGATGGCGGGGGGGGGGTTCAGTGATGGCGGGGGGGGGTGGGTCAGTGATGGCGGGGGGGGGTCAGTGATGGCCGGGGGGGTCAGTGATGGCCGGGGGGGGCAGTGATGGCCGGGGGCGGGGGCAGTGATGGCCGGGGGCAGGGGGGCAGTGATGGCCGGGGGGGGGGGCAGTGATGGCCGGGGGGGGGGGGGCAGTGATGGCCGGAGGGGGGGCAGTGATGGCCGGGGGGGGGCAGTGATGGCCGGGGGGGGGCAGTGATGGCCGGGGGGGGGCAGTGATGGCCGGGGGGGGCAGTGATGGCCGGGGGGGGCAGTGATGGCCGGGGGGGGGGGCAGTGATGGCCGGGGGGGGGCAGTGATGGCCGGGGGGGGGGGCAGTGATGGCCGGGGGGGCAGTGATGGCCGGGGGGGGCAGTGATGGCCGGGGGGGGCAGTGATGGCCGGGGGGGGGGCAGTGATGGCCGGGGGGGGGGCAGTGATGGCCGGGGGGGAATGATGGCCGGGGGGGGGAATGATGGCCGGGGGGGCGGGCAGTGATGGCCGGGGGGGGGGCAGTGATGGCCGGGGGGGGGGCAGTGATGGCCGGGGGGGGGGGGGGGGCAGTGATGGCCGGGGGGGGCAGTGATGGCCGGGGGGGGGGCAGTGATGGCCGCGGGGGGGGGGCAGTGATGGCCGGGGGGGGGGGCAGTGATGGCCGGGGGGGGCAGTGATGGCCGGGGGGCAGTGATGGCCGGGGGCGGGGGGCAGTGATGGCCGGGGGCAGGGGGGCAGTGATGGCCGGGGGGGGGGGGGGCAGTGATGGCCGGGGGGGGGGGGCAGTGATGGCCGGGGGGGGGCAGTGATGGCCGGGGGGGGGGGGCAGTGATGGCCGGGGGGGGGGGGGGGGGAGGGGGGCAGTGATGGCCGGGGGGGGGGGGGGCAGTGATGGCCGGGGGGGGGGGGGGGGGGCAGTGATGGCCGGGGGGGGCAGTGATGGCCGGGGGGGGGCACTTTTTTTTTAATTGTGAGACCCCTTTCCCCCATATACACTGTAATGTTATTATTATTATTATTATAATGTTCCAGGAGCACATGTTGGGGATTTCCCTCAAAAATCAGCACAGCGACAGCGTGAGAACGCTTGCGGGGTGACGTAATCTTACGTACTCACGCGACACGCGGTCCTCGCCTGTCCGTTCACAGCCGCTCCGCAGCCATCTCGTCTCTTCATCTCGCCGCCTGACCCTCGCCATGTCCGGCACCTTTTTCGACCCGGTCTCCTTCGTGACCGACCTGCTGGCCGGAGGCATAGCGGCTGCCATTTCCAAGACGGCGGTGGCGCCCATCGAGCGGGTTAAACTGCTGCTGCAGGTGCAGGCGTCGAGCAAGCAGATCCGCGTCGACCAGCAGTACAAGGGCATCGTGGACTGTGTGATCAGGATACCCCGCGAGCAGGGTAAGCCCGGCCCAGCCCCAGCCCCGCCCCGGCCCAGCCCCAGCCCCAGCCCAGCCCCAGGCCCAGCCCAGCCCCAGCCCAGCCCCAGCCCCGGCCCAGCCCCAGCCCAGCCCCAGGCCCAGCCCAGCCCCAGCCCAGCCCAGCCCCGGCCCAGCCCCAGGCCCAGCCCCAGGCCCAGGCCCAGCACCAGCCCCCCGGCAACACACACCCGGCGCCGGGGGGGAGCACATCATCATCATCATAATTACTATTTTAAAATAAATTTTAAACAAAAATGGGATTTAAGTTATGACGAGGATTTCTTTCCGTTTGAAATCCCCCAACTGTTTATTTTATTATTTTTTCTCTTTTTTTTAAAAAAAAAGGGGATTTGTTTTTTTTAAATATTTGCGCCACCGTTTGTCGGTTTGGGCCCCGCGTGCGGGACTCGGGCGTCTCGTGGGCACGAGGAGGTCACGTGGGGAGAGGGGAGGGGGCGTCAGGGCTGCGCTTTGTCTGCAGCTTCACTCAACCACTGCCAACGGCCCTCCACCCACTGCACTCAAATTGGTCATTCGTGGCTCCGCTGACTCACGTCATGTCATGGCTGTTTGTGGCCCACTGCTCACTGTGTGCACAGCCGCAAACACAGCCACTCCTTACCTCGTGCTGAACCCTGTCGACAACAACGAATTACATTTGTATCCTATTGTAATTTGCATAAGGTTCAAATTATGATTTTGTGTGTATACTACTTTCCTGATTTATGAATAAAATTGTACACTGCTCAGTATTAAGGGGCTTTTACTAAAAATTAGAAATCAGTGGCATCACTTTTTTTCAACTTTGTGGTATACATTGAAAGTTCAGCTTCATCTGCATTCCTTTTGAATGAATATCGGAATGATCTGTTAACTAAAACTTATATGCCGAACTCCAAAATGGAAGATCCAAATTTTAGCTTGTTAGTATCAATTCAGCATACACTCTGACCAATAAACAGAGTTTATGACTGTTGGAATAACACAGATTGCTCTGTGCCAATTGCCAATTGAAAGAAGAAAGTTTGGATTTCTAGTCCATCTTAAACAACAACAAAATTACATTTGTATAGCACCTTTCACGTCGGGAGGACATTCCAATGTGCTGGACGATCAATGTTTCGGACCCGAGCTGGGGATTGGGGAGGGTTGGAGGCCAGGTGAGGAGGAAGGTGACCAAAGGCACGGTTGAAGAGGATGGTCTTGAAGAAGGCAAAGGAAGTGGGGCGAGGTGAAGGGCCTCCAGAGAGTGGGGACAGAGTAGCTGAAGGCCCACCTGCCAATGATGGAACGGGCGAGGCAGGGGAACGTGAAGCAGGCTGGAGCCCACTGAGCGGATGGAGCGAGTAGGTTGGTAGGGAGTTAGGAGGTCACAGAGGTAGGGCGGAGCAAGACCATGGACTTTGAAGGTGAGGACCAGGATCTTGAACTGTAACCTCTGTGTGATCGGAAGCCAGTGGAGTCAGGCGAGGATGGGGGTGATAGGGTTGAAGACCCTGGTGTGGGAGAAGACGCGGGCTGCAGAGGTTGGATGGTCTGTAGCTTATGGAGGGAGGAGTTGGGGAGGCCGACAAAAAGGGAGTTTGGGTAGTCAAGCCTGGATGTTGTGAATGCATGTATGAGGGTCTCGGCAGCCTGTGGTGTGAGACAGTGGCAGAGCCGGGCGATGTTGTGGAGGTGGGGAAAGGCAGAGCGGGTCATGGATATGGGGTAGAAAGGATAGTTTAGGGTCAAACAAGACGTCAAGGTTCCAGACTGGCTCAGTGAGATGCATTGTGCATCCTTGGATGGTGATGCTGTCAGTGCCTGAGGTGTGGAGGTGCGGACGGGAGCCAATCAGGAGAGCCTCAATCTTGTTGACGTTCAACTGTAGAAAGTTAGCTCTCATCAAGGACTTGACATCTGACAGACATTCTGTTAGGACAGCAGTGATCCTGGAGTCGAGGGTGAAGGCAGAGTTGGGTGTCATCCACATACATGTGAAAATTGACCCCATGTCTGCGGATGGTGTCACCAAGAGGGAGCATATAGATGTTGAAAAGGAGGGGACAAAGGACAGAGCCCTGAGGAACTAACTCCTCATGAGACCGTGCGGGGGCGAGAGGAGAATCTGTTTGTGGAGATGGAGTGGAGACGGTGTGATAAGTAGGATCTGAACCATTCAAGGGCAGAACCATGAAGGTTGAGGTAAGAGGAGAGGCGGTAGAGGAGAATAGAGTGCTCAACGTATCGAAGACAGCAGAGAGGTCAAGGAGGGCGAGGAGGCAGAGGAGCCCTGGTCGCAAATGGACAAAATGTTGTTTGTCACTTTGACCAAAGCTGTTTCTGTGCAGTGGGCCACACAAAGCCCAATTGGAAGGGTTCATGAAGGGGGTAGCGGGAGAGGAAGGTGCGAAGCTGGGAAGCAATGACTCATTCCAAGACCTTGGAAAGGAAAGGGAGGTTGGAGATGGGGCAGTAGTTTGAGAGCAGGAATGGGTCCAGGGAAGGTTTTTTAAGGATAGGAGTGAAGACGGCTGTTTTTAAAGGGCTGGGAACGTTACCAGTGGACAGGGAGAGGTTTATGATTGTCGGTGAACAGAAGGGCAAGGAGGTGGAACTAGGAGGTAAGGAGAGGGGTAGGGATGGGGTCGAGGGAGTGGGGGGTTGGCTTCATGTGGTTTATGGTGGTGGTGAGCGAGGTAGGTGTGGAAGGAGGGATGGGAACGGGCCAGGGTGTTAAGGGGAGATGGGGAAGGGGTAGTAGACGGGAGGACAGAGGCAGGGTTGTCCTTGGCCTCCAAGATTGTCTTGGGAGTAGAAGGACGATTTAGCAGAGCCAAGGGCGGAGCGATAAGATTTGATAAGGTCCAGCCAAATCTGCCGATGGACTGTTAAGTTGGATTTGAGCCAAGTACTTTCAGCGGCCCACACCTGAGCCTAACGGAGCAGAGGTGGCTGGTGCACCAGGGTGACTTCTGTGAGTAGTGACGGGAGAAAGGGCATCAAGAGTGGTGGAGAGGGAGTTGTGGAGGACAGTGACCGAGGAAGATAGGTCATTGTCCACAAATATATGGTCAATTCACTTTACAGTATTTTCTGTGAAGCGCTTTGAGACGTCTAGAAGATATGAAACGCGCTGTATCAAATGCAAGGATTATTATTATTATTGCTGGAGGAAGAGAGGAAAAGTCAGAGGAGATAGAGCAGGAGGGAGTGAAGTGCAGGATGAAATCGCCTAGGTTGAGGAGGTGTTCAGAGCAGAGGGAGAGGGAAAATAGGAGGGTGAAAATGTCGGAGAGGAAGGTGGGGAAGGGTTTGGAAGACGATAAACAAGGAGGATTTTGAGGGAAAGGTTGGAGGGATGGTAGAGAGTAAGCTCAAAGGAGGAAAGTTCGGGAGGAGTAAGTGGATAGTCCGAGTGGGAACCGGGAGATGAGAGCCACACCACCACCACGGCAATTAGGTCGTGGAGTATGGTGGATGGGTGGTGTGGCCTCAGTCAGGGGGAAGGTGTCACCTGGTGTCACCTTAAAGCCACGATAAAGATGGAACTATAAAGATACCGCTTCCAAGATGTTATTGCTCACTGAGGGTGTGATGAATTGATGTTTTAATTCTTCTGCCACCACATTTATCAGTCGTCTTTATACTTGTTGACTTTTTTTGGCTTCAATTTTGATGTTTGGTACCAGTTACTATCATGGCCTCCAAGTTGGGATTCAAACATTGGGTAATGTAATAATGTAATTTGTAATTTGTAATCTGTTGTTGTGCAATGTGGAGGGGGCACTCGTTATTGATGATGAGAAATGCTTCCAGTACTTGTCCAACAGTAATATGAATGTTTGCTCAATATGTCTCAGGCAAAATGGGTATTGCTGCAGGCATGCTCCAAGCAAAGTTACAAGAGATAATTCTCTGAATATCCTGCTCCCATCATGTTAGTGCTGCCTACAAATGCTTTGGTAACCATGGACTTAATTCCAGATAGCTTGGAACTATTCAGACTCCCTTCCTCCAGCTTGTCTCTGGTGCTGAATGCTAAAACTGGGAAGATGTTAAGTAAGTGAGCTCCAGTGAGATCCAGAAGCAGATGTCTTCAGCTCATGGAATGCAAGTTGAAAAATTGTATTCAAGCAGAGTTGGGGAAGATGGCAAGGAGGGCATCTTTGAAGTTACCCAGGGACACAATGATTTCTTGCCTAAACTTTTCAAAGAAATGCTGACCAAAGCAAATGTCTTGGTGGGATTGTTTATGCAGATATGTTTACCTATGTAACTGTTACTATTTAAAGTAACTCATGTGACATGCTTTGACACAATTTGTTGTAATAAGTTGCTTTATCGAATGAATATATTTTAGTTATGGTGGACCAACAAAAATGTGTGCTGTGGCTACATGTTTGGCCAATGTGCAAATGTTTCTCTTCGTGCATGAATTTATTTGCATGTGTTTCCAGGTAATTGGTGTTAACTTGTATAGATTTTTCAGATTGGCCATAATATGTTTTTTGTACAGCCTAGGCATTATTCTTTTTATGTGTTATGTAGAGAAATGTACTTGCACAGAGTTGTTGGGATGTGAAATACCGTGGGTGTGGTGGTCAAGGTAAGATCCATATTACCTTATAGTGGGAACTAGATAGATATCTAAGAGGAATAATCTACAGGGATATGGGGAAAGGTATGCAAATGGGAATGAATAGATTGCTTTTTTTTATAAAGAGACCAATTGGAATTGGTCATTCACTTCATAGCTGTTTGTGGGACTTTGCTTGTGCTCAAGTTGGCTTCCATGCTTGCCTACAAAATATCAAGCATCATACTTAACAGGGAAACCTGCAAAGTGCTTTGAAATGTCCTCCCAACATGAAAGGTGCTATATCAACTATAGGAATTATTATATGCAAGACTTTGCATTCATATGTATTGAACTTAATTTACCAGACCATGTGAATAGTATATCAAGCTCTCTTTATAAAATCTTTTATGATTCCAGATTTACCTCTCCCCCTAAAAACGTGGTGTCACCTGCAAATTTAACGATCTTGCATTGAGTTTGCAAATCTAGGTCATTGATCTGGTAAAAGGAACAAGAGGCGTCCCTAAACACTTCCCTCAGACACCCCACTTAATATTTCTCATCAATCTGACCTAACTACAGACCCTTGTTTCCTTCCCTTCATCCAATTTCAAATGAATGTGCATGTCTTACTCCAAAAACCATGTGACATCAGTTTTTGAAGGAGCCTCTCAACCTTTCAATTGATAGTTTGTCAAACACCTTCTAGAGTATGGCTTCCTGCATTCAATTTGGAATGTTACCTTAAAACAAGTCTGAGGTTTGTTGGATAAGACCAAGCCTGATCATGGTTACGTGAGGTTCAGTACAGATAAATGCAGAGAACTACATGTCAGAAGTAAAAAACAATGGACATTTGTACTTCATGAATAGTGTAAAATGTTTTATGGGGGAATCTGAAAGGGATCTGCGGTGGTGGTTGCTTTGCCACCCTCCATGTATGAACAGTATGAGTCAGCAAAAAAAGGTAAAAGGCATGGTTGCTGGGCTGAGGGTGATGGAATGCTATTCTCTGATATAAAAAAATGCATTACAATACAATTTCAACTCAAGTCCAGTAGAATACATTGAATGGAAAGTATTCCCGTGGACTATTCTTTCACGTACTGTTTAGTTCCCCAAAATTATTAGTTTTCAGCAATAGCCTGGGGAATCTGTGATAATGTATATTATACTGTACAAAGATCTTTTGAGCATTACTTCTTATAGTTTTAAAAACTGACAGAAAAATCTTTTCTATTTAGGTTTTCTCAGCTTTTGGCGTGGAAACTTAGCGAATGTGATTAGATATTTCCCAACTCAGGCTCTCAACTTTGCTTTCAAAGACAAATACAAGCAAATATTTATGTCAGGAATTGACAAGAAAACACAGGTATGGTTAGATAGTACAGTATAAGTTTGTATACCTCAAAATAATTTGCAGCACTCTCCCTGTGAGTCAGAAGAACAGCAAGTTCAAGCGCACTAGAGGACTATTCAAAAAGAGAAGGGAATTTCTCTCAGCTTTCTGACAAACAATTCCACCTCCCATACACACATACAAATTGGTCATTTTATCCATAATCATGCCCTGCTTCCTGAACTTCCAGGTCTTCCCAATACAGGCTGCAACCTTTCCAGAACTCTGCAGATTGTATCCTCTCCCACACCTAGCTCTGTGAGTCTACCACCTCCATCCTCGCTCAGCTCATCTGGGTCCTCATCCCTCAACAGATTAGATTCAAGATCTTCATTCTCGCCTTTTATTCCCTCAGCTACCTCCTCCCAACCTACCTCTGCAACTTCCTACCGACCTCGCTGCTCCCTTTGCAAGTCCCTCCAACTTGCTCCCTCCCACTCTTCACCAAGGAGCAACTCACAATGTACCCCTTTTCAGTCTCTTTCCCTTCCCTACCCCCTCGAGATTGGGGTTAACTAAACTGACATGATTGCTGCTACACAAATTAAATTTCCCCAATTTTCAAATGGAGGGAGAGGGAGGATGTTAATCTCTGTTTTGACCGGACTGTTAATTGTGCTGGTACAATTCTGTTAGTTCCTTTTTAAGGAGAAGGAATAGTGTATAATGCCTGAATGTCAGCCTGGCACAGTGGTAGTACTCTCACCTCTGAGTCAGAAGCTTGTGGGTTCATTTTGGGATTTGGAATTACAGCATTTAAGTTGACACTCTAATGCAGTGAGGTGCGGGGGGGGGGGGATTGTGTTGTCGGAGGTGCCGTCCTTCAATTGAGATGTTAAACCGAAGTCCCATCTACCTGTTCAGGTGGATGTTAAAGATCCCATGTCACTATTTGAAAAGAGAATGGAGTTTTTCCTGGCCAACAATTCCTCAAATAAAATTGGTCACTCCGTGGTTGTTTGTGGGACATTGCTGTGCGAAACTGGCTGCAGCGTTTCAACCACAAAATACACAGTATGCAGTATGCACACTTTGCAGTATCCTGTGGAGTGCTTTGAGATGTCAAGACGACGAGATAAGGTGCAATACCAAATGCAATGATTATTAATTTTATTGTTAAATAAACAAAATGATAATTTTAAATTGTTTTACAAACTGTTTATAAAGTTATCCTTCTTCCAAAATGTCCCTACTCATTAGTAGCGGCATAGGAAATTTAGCTTAATTAATTTGAGATTACATGTGGGTAATGTGGGTAAAGCGGAGGAAAAGAAATCTATTGCACAGACCTTCTTCACTGCTTCAAAATCTCTTGCTATTTTGCTGTTTACAGGCTCCAGCGTAGATTTATGAAGGAGGAAACTGTATACACCTAAGAGGATTAGTTAGACTCAATGGCCTGTTTCCGTACCATTTTATTCTATGTAACTTTTTCCGAGAACAGCAGTTTACTTGATTTGTCTACTTGATCGTGTTCAAAATCTAAGTTGTTAAAAATCACAGTTTTTTTTTAAGGAGGCCCTCTGCAATCAGGTATAACAACTTACAGCGCCCTTCACGGAATAGTGCTCGGAGTGCTTAACAGTGGCAGAACTTGATGCCAAGCCAGGGAAAGGGGGCAGTTGGCTAAGGGGAAAGAGGGCATTAAACCAGAGTTTACATGGAAAATATATGCAGCAAATAATAAATTGAGCAAGTATGAGATAAAAAGTAGCATATAATTATTGAGGAATAATTAACTGCTTAATTTAGTTAATTTAATTTCTTAATCTATACCCAGTGCAATTTCATGCTAGAACAGAGTCTATGTATATTACTTTTTACAGAAATATAAACTCCTAATCAAAGCTTGAGTGAAAATCTCTAGAGAAGAAAAATCTAAGTGTGTTTCCAACATAACTTTCAATGTAAAATCAATGTTTCAATGTGAAGTCTGCAGCTGTTTGAAAGGGAGTGGAATATTTGCTTTGCTTTCATACTGCTTATCATTTATTACCTATAGCTTTGTTGAATTTATTTTGAAAATAAATGTAATACTTTGCTTTCATCTAAACTTGTGGTCTAAATTGTAATTTCTGTTCAAACAGTTTGTGGTACTTGACCAAGTAAAATTCAGTATGAATAACATGAAAGCACATATCTCAAACAGTGTTAAATACAGGTTTCATGTTTCCTGGGGATATGGATTCTTACAGAAACTATTGCTAGTCTGCCACAAAAAAGTAGACAATAATGAAAAGGGCCAATATTGTAACAGAATTGTATTGTATTCTATAAAACAGTTGATTGTAATTGTACAGGTAGCTACTTCTTGAATCAACTTGAATGAAGTTCTCCTCCATCTCTGTCCCATCAACAGCATAGATGTTTGGAGCTGTTAACTTGCTTTGACCATCATTATGGTCTTAATTTGAAAATAATAAATTATTTAACTGTGCTCCAACCTGCTCTTGAGTTTAAATCTTAGAGATTCACCTCCAGTTTTTATAACAATATGCTTCCTTATTCTATATAGAGAATGAGTGAATAAGAGAGAATGAATGAGAGAGAATGAAGCAATGAATGAATGAATGAATGAGAAAGAGAGAGAGTAAATGAATGAACGAGAATGAGAGAGAGAGAAGTAAATTAGCTGCTGCATTTGCCTACATCATGGACACTTTATTTCCAAATCGTAGGTAATTTTTCTCAATCTTTGAAATGCAGCCTGGATCTTTTTCTCTTCCTTAGCCCATGAGGGCCATGATATCGCCATAATGGCTGCTTCAGGTTATATCAGTGAACTGGTAAAAGCTTGACCCAATGAATAGTGTCTTTATTTCTCCATCTTCAAAAATGCTGCATGATTTTACTGAGAGGTGGATAAATAATGCTATAATCCACTTTACCACAGTTCGGTCACAATACTAGAAGTGCACTCTACACCGTTCTTTATGGAAGTAATGCAGTTGTTGAGAAAATATACATACACACTGTACACTTCTGTCAGAAGTATCTTTATTTTTTCAATATGATCAACAGTAAAACTTGAAGTCTCCTACCCCCGCCTCCCCCCAGCTCGAAGTCAGGCTCCGCCACTATTAAGCACTCTGAGAAGCTGCCCTGTATGGAGGGCGCTGTATAAGTGCGAGTTGTTGTTGAAGTCAAACTTGTAGCATCACTGAGCAATTTAAAATCTGAAGTGGTATATAAAAATGAAGGATGCATCACACCAGAAGTTTTGAATGAAAGAAGAGTAATTGCCTTTGTCTGTGACTGAGATGATCAACAAGTAATTGCTGCTAGAATTGTTGAAGTCGAATTCAAATGTTAACTCACCTGTATCAACATAATCTTTTCTTTGTTTCAGTTTGGAAAATGGTTTCTAGCAAATTTAGCTTCAGGAGGAGCTGCAGGTGCAACTTCCCTATGTTTTGTATATCCCTTGGACTTTGCACGAACACGTTTAGCTGCTGATGTCGGCAAAGGTAGGAGCTTTGGCACTTTGCTTCTGCTTTGCTTATATTTTTAACCCTCCAAAGAAAGTTAATGTTTTTAGGTAAGCTGCAAATGGCTAATGAGTGGTATGGGCAGGTGAAACAGATGAAGTGTAAAGGATTCCAGGAGGCTGCTTATGCATAATGTACCAAATAACCTTCTTTTCTGAAATGTCTCTAGATTCCAATTCATCTGACTTGTCGTAATACATCTTTCCTGTGTTCTTATAGGCACTATCCTTTCTACCCCACATCTGCGCCATGACCCGCTCTGCCTTCCCCCATCTCCGCAAGGTCGCCCAGCTCTCACACTGCAGGCCACCGAAACCCTCATACACGCCTTCATTACATCGAGGCTCGACTATGCAAACTCATTGCTTGTCGGCCTCCCCAACTCTTCTCTGCACAGGCTGCAGATCATCCAGAACTCTGCAGCCCGTGTCCTCTCCCGCATGAGGCTCCACGACCCTATCAGCCCCATCCTTGCCCAACTCCACTGGCTTCCCATCACACAGGGGATACAGTTTAAGATCCTGGTCCTCACCTTCGAAGTCCTCCATGGTCTTGCTCCCCCCTACCTCTCCGACCTCCTAACCCCCTACCACTCTGTTCGCTCCCTCCGCTCAGGGGGCTCCAGCCTGCTTCACGTCCCCCGCATTGCTTGCCCCACTATTGGCAGGTGGGCCTTCCGCCACTCTGCACCCACCCTCTGGAACTCCGACTCGACCCCTCCCTCGCCACCTCAAGACCCACCTCAAGACCCTCCTTTTCGACCGTGCTTTTGATCTCAATGCTTCCCCCCCGGACCACCACTTCATCTCCCTCAACACCTCCGTACTCCTTTCCCTTTCTCTGGAGTCATCTGAACTCCTACACCTCTCTCCCTCCCTGACCCATCTCGCCTCCTCACTCTCTTTTCTCCACAACTCCCTCTCCTCCATTCTGGAATTCCTTGCACCCTCACATCCCGAAATACTTCACACTCCCGTAAATTCCCCTGGTACACCAGCCATCTCCGTTCCCTCAAGACACAAGTGCGAGCTGCCGAACTCACCTGGACCAATCCAAATTAACCATCCATCAGCAGATTTGGCTTCATCATACCAAGACCTACCGCTGCGCTCTTGCCTCCGCCAAATCCTCCTTCTACTCCAAGGTTATCTTGGAGGCAAAGGAACACCCTCAGGCTTCTCTTTTCCACCACAAACCATCTCCTCCATCCACCTTCGCACACCTCGCCCATCCTCTCCTCCAACTCCAACTGTGAGGAGATGCTGGACTTCCTTGAATCCAAAATCGAGGGGATACATTCAGCCACCTCAGCCCCGTCCACAGCCACCCCCACATCACCTCTCCCTCATGACCCAACCCCTCACCATCCCCCTCCCGTACTCCTTCAAACCTATCTCTCCCTCCTCCCTCAACGCCATCATTCCAAACTCAAACCCACCACCTGCTCCCTCGATCCCATCCCCACCTCTCTCATCCCCCAGCTCCACCTTCTGGCCCCTCTCTTGTCTGACGTCATCAACCTCTCCCTGTTCACCGGTTCAGTTCCCACCCTCCTAAAAACAGCTGTCATCACTCCCATCCTGACAAAACCTTCCCTGGATCCATCCCTCCTCTCCAGCTACCGCCCGATCTCTAACCTCCCATTCCTCTCCAAGGTCCTAGAATGAGTCGTCGCATCCCAGCTCCACACTTTTCTTTCTCACCATTCCCTCTTTGAAACCCTCCAATCCGGCTTCCGCTCTGCTCACAGCACGGAAACAGCCCTGGTCAAAGTCACTAATGACATTCTGAACATCTGTGATCAGGACTCCCTCTGCCTCCTTGTCCTCGACCTCATTGCCGCCTTCGTCACTGTCGACCACTCCATCCTCATACACCGCCTCTCCTCCTTACTTAATCTTCACGGACCTGCCCTTGCCTGGTTCGATTCCTATCTCTCTCACCGTCTCCACTTTGTTGCCTCTAACGGTTTCTCCTTCATTCCCCGCACTGTCACGTCCGGCGTCCCCCAGGGCTCTGTCTTGGTGACATCATCCGCAGACATGGGGTCAGCTTCCCTATGTATGTGGATGACACCCAACTCTATCGTTCGGCCTCCACCCTCAACTCCAGGACCACTGCTGTCCTGACAGACTGTCTGTCGGACATCAAGTCCTGGATGAGGGCAAATTTCCTACAGTTGAATGTGAACAAGACTGAGGCCCTCCTGATTGGCTCACGCCAGCGCCTCAAGCACCTCAGGCTCTGGCAGCATCAACCTCCATGGTGGCACACTTCAGCTCACCAAGCCAGTCAGGAACCTCGGTGTCTTGTTCGACCCTCAACTGTCTTTTCTTCCCCACATCCAAACCATGACCCGCTCTGCCTTCCCTCACCTCTGTAACATTGTGAAATTGGGTTCAAACTTTTGTCAGAAACCACACCAAGGATATTATTAAAACGTTTTATTAGCAATTATAAAACCACACAAGCATAAGCATCACATTACACTAAATGCATTATCATTGCTCATCGCTCTTAAATGACTACTAAAGCACTATCTTAGCAAGATATACTCAATACTAAAATTCTAAACATATATAAAAAAATGTGTTATATGAAATGTGCTTAAATAATTTCTTACTGTTTTGTATGTATGTTGAGTGCGTGTTTTAGTAACTAGGAGAGATACTACCAAGCAGGCAGGAAATCGTGACGAAGTTTTAAGGCTGGCACAAAAGTTAAACACTATCTCTGGTGTGTTGCTGGCTGCAAACGTCTCTGGTGTGCTGCTGGCTACAAACGTCTCTTGGTGGTTCACTCCGGCAAAGGCTAAACTTGTCCTCTTTGCGGTCCACTCCATCGAGAGCTGGACTTGTCTTCTTTCCCTCTCCGTAGAGGTTTGTTCCTTCCTCTCTTCAGAGAATCTCCAAAGGCTCTTCTCGAGGCTCTTCCAAGTCTCCTCTCGAGGCTCTTCCCGAGGCTCTTCTCTCCAGGTTTTTTTTCAAACTAGTATTGGCTATCGATTTTTATACCCCTTTTCACCAGCCATCCGTGTTCTAACTCTTTTTCCTAAGACTTCTTTCTCACACTCTGCACTTTTCCCAGGCATTTTTTCCCTACTTCAAGTTGTTTCTCCTTGTACCAGCTAGTAATATCTTCTGCAAAATAATAATACTCCTCCTATTCCATCTTATCCAGCCTGACCAAACCACCTGACTCCATGTCCCTGAAGTTTCAGTCCTTCTTTCTAACTCTGTCCATGTGACCTGCTCACTTTAAGCTTTTTCTCAGTTTTAATTACTAGTTTGTATCCCAACCATTCTCCTGGTCCAATTATCCTTATATTCCCTTGCCATGGGTCACATTCTAGTGTACTCCTAGTTCAGTGCCTCTTTACTAGGACTGTGTGTGTGTGTCACTTTGCAGTTTTATTTCTTTAATTCATTCTACTTAATTCATCTATTCACTACTTGATCAATACTAGTGATTCTTATACTATAATCCCAACTATTTACACATCGCCGGACTCCGCCACTACCTCCCACTTCAGGCCACTGAAACTCTTGTTCATCACCTCCAGGCTCGACTATGCAAACGCCCGTCGGTCTTCTAAGCTCCTCGATCCACAGGCTGTAGATAATCCAGAAAAGGCTGTAGATAATCCAGAAGTCTGCAGCTCGTGTCCTCTCCCGCACCAAACTCCGTGACCCCATTGCCCCCATTCTCACCTGATTCCATTGGCTCCCTATCCCTATCTAGTTCAAGATCCTGGTCCTCACCTACAAAGCCCTCCATCGCCTCGCCCCACCCTACCTCTGTGACCTCCTAACCCCCTACCAACCCGCCTGATCCCTCCGCTCAGCCGGCTCCGGCCTGCTCCACGTCCCCTGACCCACCCACCCCACCATTAGGGGGGAAAAGCCGTCAGCCACTCTGCCCCCAACCTCTGGAATTCCATCCCCCAGTCACTCCTCCTCATGCCCTCCTTAGCCTCCTTCAAGTCCCGTCTCAAGACCCTTCTCTTCGACCATGCCATCGGTCACACCCCTTCCCCTCCCCCTCCCTGACCCCTGCTTGGGTCGGAAATGCTGTGCACTGTCCAGCGCCTTGGGACGTCCTCCCAACATGAAACGCACTATACCAATGTCATCTTGTTGTTGCCCTCCCCCACCCTCAGCTTGGGTTCGTAACTCTCTGTCCAGCGCCTTGGGATGTCCTCCCGACATGAAATGAGCTATACAAGTGTTATTTTGTTGTTATTGTTGTTGGAGGAGCAGACCAGGGGGGAATTCTTCCACTTGACTCTGTTAATTACAAGCCAAAGCCCTAACTGATAAGTTGGTCCGAGCTTGAGAAGTAGTGGTAGTCTAAGCAGTTTTAGCAGCTTAAACTCCCATCAAGATCCAATGCACACTGAAGTACCCAGCTGTGGAACTTGTCAACTCGCCTAAACCCTCTAGGATTACATAAGAAGGATACATTAGGTATTAGGTCCACTGCTCTTTTTGATATACATAAAAGATTTAGACTTGGGTATAGAGAGCAAAATTTTAAAGTTTGCAGATGACCCAAAACTTGGGAACGTAGTAAACATTTGAGGAGGATGGTAGCAGACTGCAGGAGGACAAAGACAGATTGGTGAAATGGCAGACACATGGCAGATAAAGTTTAATGCAGAGAAGTGTGACTTTTGGAAAGAAGAATGAGGAGAGGTAATATACACTAAAGTAGAACAGTTTTAAAGGGGATTCGGGAGCAAAAAGACCCGAGGGTTCACATATACAGGTCTTTGAAGTTGGCAAGACAGGTTGATGGAGCTGTTAAAAAAGCATATGGGATCCTTGACTTCATAAATAGAGGCATAAAGTACAAAAGCAAGGAAGTTCTGCTAAGTCACTGGTTAGACCTCAGATGGATTATTGTGTTCAATTTTGGTCACCACACTTTAGGAGGGATATCAAGGCCTTGGAGAGAGTGAAGAGATTTACCAGCATGGTACCAGGGATGAGTGACTTTAGTCATGTGGAGAGTCTAGAGAAGCCAGAATTGTTCTCCTTTGAGATAGTTTGTATCTCTACGGTATGGCTTGCTCCCCCCTCGCAGAGTGTACTGGGTGGCTGGCCTCTGTAATCAGTTCTCACTAATTTGTGCAAGAGCTTATCACAAAGTGTTTCCTGCTAATTGAGTTTGTTTCACAACAAGTACTACCAGATTGATCTTTAATCAATGCAAACTGGAAAGCTTCAGTCAGAGGTTTATTTTCGAATACCTCTGTGACCTGGGCTGAACCACTTTATGTTACTCCTTTCTATACTAAAAATTAACAGAGAGCGCAAGTGAGACACGGTTAAGACAACTCAGTGGTATTTTTATTGCAGTTTGTTCAGAATGCTAAACTCAGAAATAGTTATAATAATAAAATAATAATCCTTGCATTTGATATAGCGCTTTTCACGTCGGGAGGACGTCCCAAAGCGCTTCACAGAACATACTGCAAAGTGAATTGACTGTATATTTGTGGGCGAACGCGGCAGCCAATTGCGCACAGCAATGTCCCACAAACAGTCGTAGATTGAAAATGACCAATTAATTATTGTTTTTGGAGGGATTATTATTAGGCATGTGGAGTAAGGAAACTTGCCCAAGGTTTCGCCCTGCCGGGAATTGAACTCAGGTCTCTCACTTGCAAAGCGAGTGCTCTAACCACTGAGCTACAGGACTCCATAGTTCTCAAATAATTTAAAAAAAAACAATGAATTAGAACTAATCAACTTTAACAAATACTAACTAACAGCCTATTAAATATGAGGTTAGTGTATGTACACTGAACCAACTGTTGACTCTGAGCCAGTCCTCTAACCAGTCAAGACACGTACCTTTCTAATGTGCCTCCTGTCAGCAGAAACTATGTCTCTTCCTTTTAAAGGCATTGTGACCGGCCCCCATTTTGGAGTATCCAATCTGAAGTATCGGCCAATAGTCCAATCAGAATCCTCCCCCCAGTTGCCCAATAGGGAACAAGTACACTTTCCAATCCTTCATTTGCATATTAGAATGTTAAGTTACTGCACCAATCTGTTGCAACCGACACCTTTGGAATCTTGATGGCGCGGTCCGTCCGGGTCACACTCTGTTTAAATATTATTTGAATATTACACTAAAAAATGATTTGCGCTTGTGCTAGTTCTTTTCAGAACTTTCGGGGTTTGTACAGATTTACCCGAGCGCATTCGGGTCAGATAATAATAATGTTTAAACAATCAATGCTTTAAACTACATAATAGAAACATTAAACACTTTCAACAGGTTAATGTTTCCAATGCATATTTTAAATAACAGAAAATATAATTATTAAAGACAGACAGGTTATGCAAAAGAGGGGTGACTGTGACACCTTAGAGCCGAGAAGGTTAAGGGGAGATTTAATAGAGGTGTTCAGAATTATGAGAGCTTTTGCTTGAGTAGATAGGGAGAAAATGTTTTCACTGGCAGATAGGTTGGTAACCAGGGAAGAATTGACAAAAGAACCAGAGGGGAGATGAGGAGAAATTGTTTTACACAGAGAGTTGTTATGGTCTGGAATGCACTACCTGAAATGGTGGTGGAAACAGATTCAATAACAACTTTCAAAAGGGAATTGGATAGGTACTTGAAAAGGAAAAATTTGCAAGGATATGGGGAAAAAGCAGTGGAGTGGGACTGATTGGGGAGCTCTTCCAAAGGGCCGGCACGGGCACGATGGTCCAAATGCCCTCCTTCAGTGCTGTAATATTCTACAATTCTATGATATTGCTCTGGGGAGACAGTGCACATTCCATACCAGACAAATGGAAATCGTAGATATGTGACATTCTTAAGTAGTCTGGCCTGGTTTGGGACTTTTAAGCAAGGTGATGGGTTTCATGGATCAGATACGTAACTGGCCAATCAAGACCAATTCTTCCACAGATTATTCAGTTAGATTCTACCCATAAAAGATCCTGATGAAAGTTGTAGGAAGTTTCTCCCTACTCTTCAAATTAAATTAAGGAAAATTATCTATTGGGCCTTGTATCTCACATTTTCCATCCTCTATGTACTGTATCTATGGAGTGAACTTGACCACGAGGTCAACTGTAAGAGAAAGTCAGTATAAGATCACTTTGCAAAGGAAGTGATGTCATCACCACTTCTTGAATTGAGCCTGGTGCAGAATGTGAAGTCAGCTGTAACCTGATGCCTCAACCTATTTTTGTACTTTGTTGAAACGCCGTCTCTGAGATAATGGAACCAGACATGCGCAATATAACGGGATTGCCTTGTATATAGCAAATTTTAGATGGTGCAAGGCTCTTGAAAAATATAATAATAATACTTGCATTTGATATAGCACTTTTCACATCTTCTAGACGTCTCAAAACGCTTCACAGAATATACTGTGAAGTGAATTGACTGTATATTTTGTGGGTGAAACACAGTAGCCAATTGCACACAGCAGTGTCCCACAAACAGTCGTGGATTGAGTGACCAAATTATTAGTTTTTTTGTGGGATTATTATCCCTGGAAAGCCATCCGCCAATCGACTAACAACCAGGTTCCTACTTACTGCTAGAGGCATGTGGAGTAAGGAAACTTGTCCAATATTTCGCCCTGCCGGGAATAGAACCCAGGTCTCTCGCTTGCGAGGCGAGTGGTCTAACCACTGAGCTAATATGCCTGTAGGTAATACTGTTTACCCTATTGGATGACAGAAGTGCCTATCTGTAAGTGGAGATTGATTGTAATTTGAAGTATGAACAATATTGTCACTTATTTAAGGTAGGTGAGCAAATATTTACTGTGCAAACCACTATCTTTATTTCTGGACATGACCACTGTTTATACTTTCCAATAAACTTTTTGTATAGATAAATGCGTTTATTTTAAATTGTAGGCAATGAAGAACGTCAGTTTAAAGGTCTTGCGGATTGCCTTGCCAAAATTGGAAAGCGGGATGGGATTCAGGGACTTTATCAGGGATTTGCTGTTTCGGTGAATGGCATCATAGTATATCGAGCTTCTTATTTTGGATGCTATGATACAATCAAGGTAAGTTACTTTACAATCAGAACGTGTGTAAATTGTCACTCCTGTTTTTTGGTTCTGGGTTGTTCTTCAAATAAATATTGTCCTTCTAGTTAAATGGCTTTGCAGTGCATAATGTTGAAGCTGTAAGGCATAGCACTATGGTGTGCTGGAATGGATCCCAATGATGATTTCTCAGATGGTTTGTTCCTGATCTGTTGATCCAGCTAAAGGAAATTTGATTTTATCCAATTGTTGGAAGGACCTACATCTGTCAGCTAGGTATACCAGAGCTGTGGCCTATGGTCAGGTGGTTTTTGCCTCCTCAGTTGAAATATTGCAAGCAAAAATGAGAAAAAAGTAACTTTAAAAATATTGTTTAGGAATTATGTAGAGGTATTTGTAGCAAAGAGGTTTCTGCATTAAATATACTGCCGTGTAATGCAATCAAGAGGTAAGTACCACTTCAGTCCAGTGGTACAATGATTGTATATAATTTATAGTTTCAAAAAACATCTTTTACCACAGTTATCTTCGGTTGGGTGCTATGACCCTGAAATTTGTTACCATGAGCAAAGATAAAACAGCTGACAAACTATTTGTGATTGAAATATTTCATCTGTTGTTATCAGTGAGTATAGTTATCCTTCTGACAAATTGAATTGCACAATATGCGCCACTGCAATGTATTACAACAATAACAAGATTACATTTGTATAGTGCCTTTCACGTCGGAAGGATGTCCCAAAGCGCTGGACAGAGTACGGAATTTCAGACCTGAGCTGGGATCATGGGGGGAGAGGGGAGGGAAAGGGGGGTGACCGATGGCATGGTTGAAAAGGAGGGTTTGAGGCAGGACTTGAAGGAGGCTAAGGAGGGATGAGGCGGAGTGATTGGGGGATGGAATTCCAGAGGTTGGGGGCAGAGTGGCTGAAGGCTCTCCCCCCAATGGTGGGGCGAGTGGGTCGGGGGACGTGGAGCAGGCCGGAGCCGGCTGAGCGGAGGGAATGGGCAGGTTGGTAGGGGGTTAGGAGGTCGCATAGGTAGGGTGGGGCGAGGCCATGGAGGGCTTTGTAGGTGAGGACCAGGAACTTGAAAACTGAATCCTCTGAAGGATAGGGAGCCAATGGAGTCGGACGAGAATGGGGGAAATGGGGTCACGGAGTTTGGTGCGGGAGAGGACACGGGCTGCAGAGTTCTGGATTATCTGCAGCCTGTGGAGGGAGGAGTTGGGAAGGCCGGCAAGGAGGGCGTAATTTGTTAAAAATAGAAGAGAGCACAAGTGCTAGTACTGATTGCTAGATCATTACACCAGTAAATGCCGGCATAGTATACTTAGCTATGCTCTGAGACAAATATTCCTGCTCTGTTATTAATCTGATCTGTCGAGTGAAATGCCAATAAGAGACTGCAGAAATCAGAAGGAGCTAGCGCCACCTGGTGGCTGGCTCTGCTGGGAGTATTGGAGACTGGAAGCAAACCAATAAGACCTGAAAATGGAACATAATTTAAAAATGTTCTTAAATGTGTAGGTGCGGTAAATGTGTCATTTTAATTTAGTAAAATTCTTCCCTTTTTTTCCTCCAGGGTATTTTGCCAAACCCAAAGAGCACGCCATTCTATGTATCGTTTTTGATTGCCCAGGGTGTGACCTCATTTTCTGGGATATTGTCTTACCCATTTGATACTGTTAGAAGACGCTTGATGATGCAGGTTTGTACTCAAGGATTTCAAATCCTCCAGAATTGCTGGCTTACTAGACTGTACTGAATCTCAATGTGCTCCTATTTGTGGAGGTCAATTGAAACTTACAATTTTCCTCAATCATTCAGCCTCCAAGTAGAATTAGGAAATCATGTTTTTGATTTTGAACAGTTCTTTGCTATATAAATGTAAATTTATATACAATATTCAATGCAAGATTTAGCGATTGTGTGCTAGTAGGCAATTGCGGCAGGCAATTTTGCATACAGTAATGTCCCAGAAACAGCCATGATGTGAATTGTCAGTTTCTATGTGATGGCCAGGACACTAGGAGAAACTCCCTTCTCTTTTTGAATACTACCATGGGATCTCTAACGTCCACCTGAACAGGCAGACATGACCTGAGTTTAACATTTCATTCGAAGGACAGCACCTCCACAGTGCACCGACTTAGCTTAGAGTGAGCTCAAAGTCCCGTAGTGGGACTTGAACTCACAACATTCTGTCTCAGAGGTGAGAGAGCTACCAAGTGAGCCAGGCTGACACCTTTGCTTACTTAATATTCCTTATAATAAGTTTATCATCCATTTTTTCAGTTGTCACTAACTTAGGTCCTCTCTGCCTTGCGATTCACGTGGATATGAAGCAACCCCCATTTTAGAGAGAAAAAAGTTTTTCTTCCTATTCTTTTGGATCATATTCCCTTCCCTCATCTAAATTAACTGACAACTGATCTCATTGTTATTTGTAGGACATTGCTCGAACTAATTTGCTGCCACATTTTTCATATCAACATTCATTCATTCATTCATGCATTCACTCATTCATGCATTCATATATGCATTTCATATTCTACTTACTGTTGAAGCTACCACCATATCTTTTGTTTTATTTAAACAGAGTGGTGAAAAAGAGCGGCAGTACAGTGGAACGGTTGACTGCTTTCAAAAGATCTATCGAATTGAGGGAATGGGTGCTTTCTTTAGAGGAGCCTTTTCAAATGTACTGCGTGGGACTGGTGGTGCATTAGTACTTGTGTTCTATGATGAAATTAAGACACTGATAAGCACCTAAGGAAAAATAACATTGATTTATTGATAATTCAAGTGTGTTTGTTAAATATTGCTGTACATTCATATGCAGGAATTGTCCTCTTAGGGGAACTTAACAATTTTATAACTAGAAGCAAAATCAATTAAAAAACTTTACTTTTTTTTAAGACAACTGGAGTTCTTATCACTCTTTACTTTTCAAGTCCAAGTGGACTTAGCTCAGTGGTTGATTCTCAACCAATATCTTGTGAGTTAAGAGTCCCCGGGCTGCCTGTCACTTAAGCTCATCCACCATATTTTCATAAAGTAGATATTTTCTGACTGCTTGGCTGATCTCTTCAGTTGACCAGACATTTTTATGCTCAAGGAAGAAACCCAACAGTAGTCGGGGAGAACTTGGCTTAGGAATCCTCCTCATAGATGAAGGATGCTGTGTGTTTGGAGTTGGCTAGAAGAGGAAGGGAGAGAGAATACCCTTTTTCAGGGAACATCACTTACTCTTTCAAAGGTAACCAAGCCTCAGAGTTGAAGGATGCTGTATGTTGGAGAAGGCAGAAGAGAATATACCATGTCCATATAAATACCCATATATGTCACTGAACTTTTTCATTGGACTTCAATAGAAAAGTACCATGCAATTAATTGTACACTCTTTCAACCCCTACCCATTTATATGCCTGTCTTATGTGACAATTTTGTTCATGTTATGTTTTATGTTGTGTTAGGGATTTTTTGGCCCCAACCAATTGAAGCCAACAAAATGCTTGGTTCCAGCACATTGCTGTAATGAAGGTAAAGTGTGTCAAAAATATTCTTTAAATCACTCTGAATTAAATTTTGTATACGGTCCAAACATATTTTGTGGATTATTGAACAATTAGAATCTTATAGCTTAGAGCACTTATCTCGCAAGCGAAAAGACCTGGCTTTGATTCCTGGCAGGGTGAAACTTTGGGCAAGTTTCCTTACTCCACACAGCTTTGTTCACCAGCAGTAAGTAGGAACCCGGATGTTAGTATATTGGCGGATTGCTTTCCGGGGATAATAATCCCTTCCAAAAAAAATAATAATAATAACTCGGTCACTTAATCCATGACTGCTTGTGGGACACTGCTATGTGCAATTTGCAAGTTTTTTAAACTCAGTAATTCAAAATACACACTTATTCACTGTATTTACCTCAGTTTGAAGAGGACCGCTTGGGCTGTCAGGTATGTGACGAGTGGTGTTCCAAGGATTGATCCTGGGTTCACAGCTGTTAATAATTTGATATTGTGCTGATAAATTTGAAATCTCAAAGTGCTTTACATTCATTGTATTGTGTATTTGTAGATGACCTGTGGAGTCCTGTAGCTCAGTGGTTAGAGCACTCACTTTGCAAGCGAGAGACCTGAGTTCAATTCCAGGCAGAGGGCGAAACCTTGGGCAAGTTTCCTTACTCCACACAGAGCCTAATAATAATCCCTCCAAAACCAAAAACAATAATAAATTGATAATTTTCAATCTACGACTGTTTGTGGGACATTGCTGTGCGCAATTGGCTGCCACGTTCGTCCACAAATATACAGACACTTCACTTTACAGTGTGTTCTGTGAAACGCTTTGGGACATCCTCCCAACGTGAAAAGCGCTATATCAAATGCAAGGATTATTATTATTATGACCACAGCAACCAATTTGCGCATAGCAGTGTTGCACAACCAGTCAGGGATGTGAATGAACAATTATCTGGAAGATTGCTCTCTAGGACAGCAGGAGAAGCTAGATTCTCTTTTTGAATAATGTCATGGGTTCTTCACATGAACAGTCAGAGGGCCTCAGTTTTGTATCTCATCTGAAGGACAGCACCTATGACAATGCAGGGCTCTCCTAGAACTACACTACTATGCTCCAAGCCCTCTGTGAAGGGCGCTCTATAAATGCAAGTTGTTTGAGCTTGTCCCTGACAGGGCTTGAATCCAAAACCTTCTGACTCGGAGGCAAGCCGATGCATGTTCCCCATATATAAAGTATATTTATACCTGGAGATCCTGTAGCTCAGTGGTTAGAGCACTCGCCTTGCAAGCGAGACACCTGAGTTCAATTCCAGGCAGGGCGAAATCTTGGGCAAGTTTCCTTACTCCACATGCCTAATAATAATCCCTCCAAAACAAAACAATAATAAATTGGTCATTTTCAATGCACGACTGTTTGTGGGACACTGCTGTGCGCAATTGGCTGTAGCGTTTCACCCACAAATATATGGTCAATTAACTTTACAGTCTATTCTGTGAAACGCTTTTCAGACGTTGAGAAGATGTGAAAAGTGCTATATCAAATGCAAGGATTATTGTTATATCAACAATATTGACTTGGATGTAGGAGTGCACCCAAGTTTGCAGATGACAAGCATTTGGAGATGTGGGGAATGTTAAAGAACAATCTATCATTTGGAATACAAGCAGGGCAATCACATTACAATGTGCTTTGGTATAGTGTAGCTTTTCTTACAGTGCATTTGCACAGTGGATCTGCAATACATCATAAGTGCAATACACTTCCAGTGTCCAACACTGACTGGACACCTTCCTGAGTGATACATCACTTCCTGTCTGCATGCTATATGCAGGAAGTGATGCTGGCATTACTTATCGCAAGTGGTTTAAGTCCATAAACCGTGATCCAGTATTGTAAGTGGTTGCCAATGAGCGCTTCTGGATCTCTACTGACATCACTTTCTGAGTGTTGTGCATCATTGCACTCAAAGTGCTGTTAAAGTAATTGCAGGAAGTGATGTCAGCAGTGACCTGGCAACCTGGAAGTGCTAACCGAAGGCCATATTAGTGGGGGCCTGAGTTTATGGACCCAATCCACTGCTTTACAAGAAGATTGGCCTGCAGTAATAGATTAGGTGAGTGGGTGGCAGTGCAGATGATGTAATTCATTGTAGCCAAATAGAAAAATACGCATTTTGGCAGTAAAAGTACAGAGTTGAAAATATGCGTTATTGTAGATATTTTAGGAAAAACAGTTGTACAAAGGGACCTACCCTCCTGTGCTAGTAAATTGGTTGATAAAAGAGTTTGCAGATTCAGATACCTAGCAGCAAGGCATTAGGAATGTCAATGCAAAATGTAAGGAATACAAAAGGAGGAAAATACCGTTACAGGGTCAGTGTCGAGACATGCACTTGCTTTTCAGAGGCAAGCCTGCCTTGCTAAACAACCTGTAAGCAGCCATGTTTTTCAGCACTGTTTCAGATCAATTGCTGCCTCTGCCTAGTGTGTTGAATACAAATAGGATGTGGTGCACATGATAAGAGTAATAATCACATTTAGTTCTTCTTAAATTATTAACTTCTACAGAAATGTACAGTCATTTTCCCTCTCTTTAGCAGGATTCGCTTGGAGTGAAATGAAGGTGGCCACTCTATTCCAAGCACCTTAATCCCAGTAACCATACTCCATTGAACATGGTATTAAAGATAATGCAATTCACAACTAATAAAGCTGTGCTGCAGACCCCACCTCTGCCCCACCAGGCTGTTGAAGAGCAAAGCTAAGAACTTCATTCATTTTGACAGCTTGATTCAACTGGTAGCACTCTGATCTCTGGGTTAGAAAAAGTTGACTGCTATGTTTGCCTACAAAATACGCAGTCACCATTTTTAGTAAATGCTGTGAAGTAAGTACTGTGAAGAGCTTTGAGAATTTAGAAAATATGGTAAGATGATATATAAAATGCAAGGATCATTATTATTAAGAGTGCTACCGGCTGACAAATGATGCTGAAGAAGCTATTTGCTTTCTTTGAGCTCATGATCTTGGCTGACATATCAATGCAATACTGGAGAGTAGTGGTTTCTCAAAGGTGCCATCCTTCATATGAAATATCAAACTAAGTTCCTGTCTGCTTATCCAGGGTTGATGTTAAAGATCCTACAACACTATTCAAAACAAGAAGCGTTTCTCCTGGTCTGGCCAATAATCCCTCATAAATTGGAATCAGATTTTACATTTAACATTTGTGGATTTCTAAATTGGCACTCCTTTTGGCATAATACATGATAACTGGGTGCAATGACACCGCAATTACTGGCTGTACAGGTCAATTACAATGTCACCATTGTACCGTGCAATCCAGATGCGGTTCACCCAGTTTCACGGAATTCTAACGTGCTTAGCAAAGTATTCTGAATTTAAATGTTTAAACTACACTAATATAAAATATATGCACATTCAAAGGCCTCCTCTAAGGTTAAAGCATGTTTGGGGCTTACAGTAGAGCAAGCTTTATTCTGTAACTAACTCATGGTATAATAATAATCATTATTTGATATAGCACCTTATCATGTCTCAACACTTCACAGGATATATTGTAAAGTGGATTGACTATTTTAGTATTATTTGTGGGTGAAATGTGGCAGCCAGTTTGCGCACAGGCATGGAGTGAGTGGTCAATTTTATTTTGGGGGATTTGTTGGCCAGGAGTCTGGGAGAAACTCCTTTCTCTTTTCGAATAGTGTACATCTCAGTTCTGTACGTGTCAATCCTGACATTAGCAACTCAAGACAAGATAATATTTCATTTACTAATATGTCTTTCTTTGAAGTACACAAATGTTCAAAAATAATTTTTACCTTAAAATGTGAATCATAGGAAATTAAATTGTTTTAATTTGTGTTTCTGGATTTGGCCCAATATCCGTTTCAATGAAGAATCACGATAGTTAAAAAGTTAACCTAACTTTCTCTTTCAAATAATGATTCCTATTTCTGTGCATTTCCAGCATTTTCATGTTTTTGTGTTCTTATCTCTTCTCAAATTCTTGTTGTTTTGGTTAGAATTCTGCCAGAGATGAATTAGTGGAATAGATGAAAGGAATACCACAAACATTTTTAGAAAACCATAATGACTATTTACTGCCTACACTGAACTTCCTAGCTCAGTTAGCATTCCCTCCCATGATGGAATTTTGAGCTTGTATACTAGGCTGAAATTCCCATACAATGCTGGAGAAGTGCTGCATTGTCAGTGGACAAACCAAGTTCCATCTGCCTGTTCAATGGGACGTTAAAGATGCCATGCAAAAATAAAATAGAATTACTTGTGCCCTGGACAAGAATTCCCCCAGATAAAAATAGGTCACTATGGCTGTTCTTCATGACTGATTGTGGGACGCTGGCAGCCTACAGGTGTATAATCTCTACATTTTACAAGAAAAACTCTGAAACGCTTTAAGATGTTGTAATACAATAGTCAGAATAATCACATTCAAGGATTATTACTGATTAATATTTTGCTCAAAGAATAAAGTGTAGTGCTACTTACCTGCCACAAGGTGGAGCTAATCACTTCATCATTAAAGTCACTTCTATTTTCTCTGATCCTTTTTCCAATTAACCTTCAGCCAGCATCGACACTGTTGCCAAACCAAAACTATTCTGTCTTGTATTCTCTTGCATGGAGACATGATCTAACTTGTCAAGATATCCAGAAACCATCAATGCCATTCTTAGATCAAATCCTAGTTTGGTTGAGTTAATTTCCCTACATTTAGATAATCTAGTAATTAATACTAGGAAATTCAACTGCAATGAGATAATAACAATAATCCTTGCATTTGATATAGCACCTTATCACTTCATTGAGACATCTCAAAGCACTTTACAGAACATAGTGTAAAGTGAAGTACTGTGTATTTTGTGGGTGTAACGTGGCAGCCAATTGTGCACAGCAGTGTTCCACAAACAGTTGTGGATTGAGATGCTTTAAATGTACATTTTGCAGGATTGTTAAATTAAGGGTTTAAACATGAAACATTTTTATATGAAGTATAACTCTTAAATAAACTCTTCAGATGGCCTAGCAATACAACAAACACTTTTATAGCACCATTCATGTAGGAATGTTTGTAATGGTTCCCAGAGGTGGAGTGGAAGCCCAACCAGCATGGGAGACAGGATAATAATAATAATCCTTGCATTTGATATAGAGATTTCACATCTTCTAAACGTCTCAAAGCACTTCACAGAATAGACTGTAAAGTGAATTGACTGTATATTTTTGGGCGAAACGCTGCAGCCAATTGCGCAGAGCAATGTCCCACGAACAGTCGTGGATTGAAGTGATCAATTTTTTTTTCTTGAGGGATTATTATCAGGCATGTGGAGTAAGGAAGCATGCCCAAGGTTTCACCCTGCCAGGAATCCAACCCAGGTCTCGTGAGGCAAGCGCTCTAACCACTGAGCTATAGAACTCCACATAGGAGGGAAGTGACCTAAAGCAGAGTTTTTAGCAGCAGTGCAGGACCTCAAAGAGGTACAATGGTGTGGAGGCATTGGAAAATTAGTTAAGAGGATTTTAAAGTTAATTCACTAGGAAATAGGGAGATATTTTCTTCAGCCACCATCAACTTATTAGAAATCTTATTAATCAGGATTTATTTGCTTCATTGTACAGTCCAGGTTCAATTTTCCATCATTTAAATTAAATTATTTTCTACATTGTGAATCCCATGCAGTGCTACCAAGTCAACTAAATACAGTAATTTTGCCTACAAAAATACAGTCACTATATAGTAAATCAAGTGAAGCATTTTGAGACATCCTCCCAATACACTATATCAAATGCAAGGATTTTTATTATTGTATAGAAAGAAAGATATTCAGACCATTAAGGCAGTTCCTTGTGTACCTTCCCATTTATGGAGTATTCTGTCCTCCGAAAAAACAATGTCATTTAGAGAAGCTGTTTCATATCTGTTTCTCCTCCACCTTCAAGTCTTCCACTGGTCCCAGCAATACTGACTACCATGGCCATTGGTCTTCTGACCATTCATAACGCTGATATATATTAAATTTCTTTTCACTATTTTTTAAAAAATGGATACATGTAATTGGCTCGAGATTAACTACCGTATCTGCCAACCTTTTCCACATATCCATTATCCAAAACTTTGATCTCACAAGAATTGCAAATTATGCATTTGTGCCTGACAAAACAACAACTTGCATTCATCTAGTGCATTTCACGGTAAGGCAACATCTCAGAGTACTTTACAGTGTGGTGAGTGGGCGTGACTACAGACAGTTGAAAAGATAAATTGAAGCTTTTAAAGACATAGTGGGGGAAGTGGAGGGATTTAAGGAGGTAGTTCCAAAGGGTAGGAGCACAGCAGCTGAAGATCAATAGTTGGGACGTGCGCAGCAGTTCTGAGTTTGTTAAGTGGAAGGGGTGAGGCTGGAGAAAGTCACTGAAGTAATGAAGGAATTTGTAGGTGAAAGTGAGGATCTTAAAGTTGACCTAATGGGAGACAGAGCTGCCTCTGAGCCTAAGGAAGTCAACCATTTCTTCATAATAACAGGATTTGAATGATGCAATTTTGATTTTCTGGTAAGAAAATCGGGATTCACAACCAAATTTTGTATTAAGGAAATCCCCATTACAGTGTAATAATTGGTTACTCCTGCAGTTTGTTTACATCTGTTTCATCTATATTTCTCTACATTGTGAAGGTGCCTCATAACTTCTTGCAGAGTGCTAAGTATTCATTTTGGTTTGAGATTATTTATTTTGATGTATGGTACTCTTAAAATTAAACATTGCTTCATATATTTAAATAGATTTTCACATATTTGTCATGAATGCCATGTACAATTTCATTAGTTGGCAGGACTGAGAACCAGGCAATTAACTACCCCTTGTTATTTTCCAATGTCATCTGAATTGGCTGGGGAAGTACTGTTAGTAGAACACAGTATCTTCAAAAAAGATAGCAGAAGCATAGAAAGAATTAGGAGGTGTCTTGTCAGTCAGTTAGGATTGAAAAGTGGAGTTGAATGAATGTCGTTGAATGAATATTCTGGAGTTTTTCATTGATAACCCTTGGGAATCAGCAGATGTAATGGGGTAAAGCCTATGCTTTATGCATTATGTTAAATATATCACCCAGATATGTAATGATAATAATCCTTGCATTTGATATAGCGCCTTATCACATCGTTGAGACATTTCAAATCACTTCACAGAATATATTATAAAGTGTGTTGTCTGTGTATTTTATGGGCGAAATTTAAGCTCACAAAACACACAGTAATTTGTACTGTGTATTTTGATAGACAGAATAAGTATAAGCAATGTAATTTGAAATTAGCAGAATCTGTACAGAATTAACACAGAACCTTATGTTAACTTTCTGGACCAGAGCTGTAGTACAGTCGAGGAAATATTTTTTTTTGGTTAGCTGGGTGTCTGTCACATGCAGAAACCCATCACCTTGCTTAAGAGTATCCAAACCGAGTTGAGATTTCCATGTATCTCACCTACATATGGAAATCTCAGAGATAGACTGTTGGAACGGTATGCACATTGTCTCCCTGGATGGATGTATCCTACTTATCTAATTAAAAGTATTAGGCACAGGTTGGCAAGAGCCAAGGCTTGGATACCCCAGAGTGCGTTTGGGGTACTGCTGGAGTTTAACCAGCTCAAACCACATAGCTTGCCAATGATATCGCTGTCTGGCAAGCTTACCCATTGCTAGTCCAGCTATGACTACTATACCTGTTAGGGCTTTGGCTTGCAGGGTTAACGACCTAAGCGGGATAACTCCAGCCCCCAGTGACTGGTCTGCCCTTCCAGGTCCTGCCGGTGAGCCAGGCTGGGCTGTGCTGTCATCAGCAGTGCCCTGGAGCACTGAGGACCCGCTTAGCTCAGGAACCGGACTGGAGACCACCACAGAGGTTTGGCTCAATTCTGACATTGCATTGTCAAACGTTCCCTTGGGAGCAGTGCAGCTCCAGGAAGATCCATCGCACTTCAAGGAAAGAAAGAGGGGCGGGGAAGAGGCGGAGTTACGTTTGATTGACATCTCCGAAACGAGGGCGCGCAACGCAACGCAGGTCGTCACGCGTGGCGACCAATCAGCGTGGCCGGGAACAATGGGGGGGGTCACGCAGGCGCACTAGGTCTCCCCACGCGGATTGTTCTGGAGCTTTCTAGCAGTTTCGTTGAATGCGGATATTAGCGGCCGGCGTCAGGGTCAGTCAGTGAGAGGCGGGCGCCGGCAGGAGAGCACCTCACAGCACACACAGGAGAGCCAACTGACAAAGACGAGTGTTATATACAGAAACATACATATTATATTTTGAAAGACGCCACTACCACCCACAGCAGTAGCTAAACACCCAAAACACGCAGCATCATCATCATGTCGGTGGTGGGGATCGATGTGGGTTTCCAGAACTGCTATATCGCCGTGGCCAGGAGCGGAGGCATCGAGACCATCGCCAACGAGTACAGCGACAGGTGCACCCCGTGAGTAGCCTCGACCCCGGGGAGGGCGCTTCAACTTTCTTTATCTCTTGTCCCCTCTTTCCCTTCTCCACACGTTTTTTTCCCCTAATGGGGGGGGAGGGACTCACTGAGCCTGAACCGACCCTCCTTCCAATCCCACTTGTTGGTTCACCGGTTCGTCTCAGTATCGTGGCCTCACAGGCCAAAGGGAGTGGGGGAGTGATGGAGAGGAGGGAGCCGCTGCCCGCACTGGACTGGGGTCGAAGGGAAAGGGATAAGCCCACTCCAAGGCTGGGAGTATCGGCTATTCTTTGCTGCTGTGGTGGCGAGAGAGGAGAGGAGGGTGGGGGTGGGGGGGTGAGAGCAGGAGGTGAGGCCGTTGTGTTAGTCGAATGGGGCCGACCTCTCCCTCTGTTTTGTCTTTCTTGCTCCTCGCCCACAGGCCCAGGCCAGTGTGGGGCCGGGCCGGCGAATGGCGGCTGCTGTACGGCTCAGGAGCGAGCGACGTCGCCCGTGAGAGGCCGCCGTCTCTGCTTTTCATTTCCAGTTTCATTCATTCATTCGTCCGCAGAGCCGACAGTCAGACAGACAGCGTGATATGTTGTGTTCTCTCTCTCTCTATATATGTATATATACACATATTTATATTTAATATTTATATAAAATCCTCTCCGAGTTATACGTTGGTGCTTTTATGGGGTTTGTTTTATACAATGAAAATCACTCCCCCTGTGAGCACCCTGAACACGAGCGGAGTCATGTCGCATCCATTTTGGAGGTGGAAAATATGGTTTAACTGGAGTTAAGAGTTAAAACCGTGCACTTGTTTTTGAAGTGTTTATCTCTCCCCCCCCCCATTAAGAGCTATTCTCCCCGCTTCTCCCACCCCACATACTCTACCAATTAAATCGTTTTATGGCTAACTTTGCTGATACGTCAAGCACGCCTTGAAACCTTCAAAAGTCTGATCCTAATGCATTTTTATCGAGAAATAATATTTGTACGTACTATATTTCGAACAACGCAGTGTGGAAGCAATGCTCTTCATTTAATAATTAGACAGTGTCCATTTGACTAAGTACGTAGGTTGGCGACTGTTGCTAGCGCGATGTGAGAATCTGCCAAAAATGTTTGTCGTTTGAATCACATGTGAGAGAATAGTCGCTTTACTTTTTTAGCTGCCGTTCATCAAAAGCTATTAGTCATCTTCATGCGGCTTAAAAAAAACTGGCATCGCTCCTGCACGCAGTTCCTGCCTGGAAGTTGGAACTGACGTTTGCTGTCACTCTGGTGGTTTCCAAGTATCCTGAGCCAATTGGAATTCAACAGTACAAAATCGCATCGTTTTAATACAGAATAACGTTTTCGCTCCTTTACCACTCGATTCCAAACTGCATTTCTCCTACATTAATCAATGCCACCCTAGTACCCATCAGGTTTCAATTTTTTTGCTGACCCTAAATTAGCAAGCTATGAAATCGTCCATTCAAGATACCTAGGATAGCTCTTGCCTATAATCTACCATATACACTCCCGTTATTTCAGCAATGCATTCACCCAGTTCCCTTTCACTTGTGGAGGATGCTTGGCATCCAAGGTTTGTCTATCAGGATCTGAGTATCCCTGTGGAAGTCAAAAAGTTGCTCTTAAAAATGCTCTGCTTGGTTTCAGCCTACAGCATCAGTGAAAGCTACACATGAGTTGTCTGGCATTTGGCTTGGGTGATCTTTCCTTTTGATCATCAGTTCTGATATTAAGTGTTCTCTCATTTAAAAAAAAAACTTCAGAATTTTCCAGTAATGTCTTGAAGCTGTTCAAACTTGTCCCCGTTTTGCCTGAAAAATGTTGTTAACTAGGGCAATAGTTGTGAGTTAAGAAGAGATTTATGGTGCATCAAACAAATCCTACACAAGAAAACAGATTGTAAAAAATGCCCTGGTGATGAATCTCGTAGTGCAGGAACAACTTGCATTTATGTAGAACAATTTGACAGAGCCCAGACCTTAGCCCAGAGCTTTTATCAGGCAGGGTTGCTATTGCCAAAAAGCGAAGATACTTGACTAATTCCACTGCTGTCTGTGCTTGAAGCAGTTTGTTCTAGGAGAAAGCTTTATCCTGATGCTGAGCAGCACAAATGACACCTTCAATTGATATTCCAATAGACTGATACAGGATAAAATCTTCATTCATCTTGTCTGAATAATCAGCAATTCTTGGACACCTGCAGGACCCAGTGAAAGCATATTACTTGGCACCAGCAATGAAGCAAAGGCAGCAGTAGAGAATCCTCTGAAATGGCACCACTTTATCTTGAAGTCAGTTGTCAAAACTCTCCTCCAATGGCAAGTAACTATCTGGTACCCAATGGTGCCCTATAGATTGAACCTCCTTCTTTGTAGAATTCTGACAATGCCTTGGCAGTGACGTTTGCATTTGATATTATACCTTATCACCTTGTGAAGACAACTCTGAGTGCTTCCCGGGTTTTATTCAAGGGGATAGCAGGTCTTCAACTTATTATTGACCTGGTTTCTATCTTTCACATGCACCTGTATGGCAACCTCTTTATTTTCCCCCTCCAGTCAAAGGCCAATTGGCTACCAAACATTTCATCCTAACTGAGGTCAGGATTCATTCAGGATTTCTCAGCAGTGTCTGTTAACCTTAGCAGGAATTGTTGTTCCCTTTGTACAACTGCTAAAATCTACGGACAGAGTGAGGTAAGAGGCTTCTACTAGTTGTCAGGGTAGATTAGATTTGGTGGCCAAAAACACAGCAAGGGGTGAGGGCAAGGGAGCGAACGAGCAAATAGAAAAAAAACTATGGTGGCATTCCAGAGAGTAAAGACAGAACACCTGAAGGCATGCCCACCATCGGTGGGTTAAACTGGGGTTCTGAAGTGGATTAATATTTACTGAGTACAGGCCAGAGTAGTATTTGCAGAGATGGGGTGGGGCAAGGCCATGGAGGTATTTAAATGTGAGGATGAGAATTTTGAAATCTTATCCACTGAGAGATGGGGTAACTGGGGCAACAGGGTGGGTAGGTGGGGTGTCCAGAGGATGGGGGTAGAGGTGGGTGGAGCTGACAGAAGAATAAGGACATGTACTGCAGAGAGCTGCATTTCAGTAGGCGAGTCTGGAGATTAAGATATGGAAGAGACCCTCCACAACCTTGAAGGGGGTAGTAGCAGAGGTGAGGGAAAGCAGAGCTAGGGGCTTGGATCCACAACCTTGTAGAGCCCAAAAGATGAAGGCCCCGCCATAAAGAGATCGAGATCTTCAAAGTTTTAAAAGCAGAGAAGGATAGAGGCTTTTCAGAAAATTTCAGAGTGTGCGGGCCAACAACAAGAAGTTACATTTGTATAGGTATATTGTATACGTTTCACGTCAAGAGGACATCCCAACTTGCTCGACAATCAGGCATCTGCACCCGAGCTGGTGGTTGGGAACGAGAGATGGAGGGAGGGTAGGGGTAGGAGGATGCTGAAGGCATGGTCGAAGAGGAGGGTCTTGAAGAGGGAAGGGAGGGGTCGAAGCAGAGAGACTGGGAGTGGAGTTCCAGAGGGTGGGGACAGAGAGGCTGAGGGGCAGGCAAGGTGGGGGAAGCGAAGCAGGTCGGAGCCCACTGAGCAGAGGGAGCAGACAGGTTGGAGGTCACAGAAGTAGGGAGGAGCAAGGCCGTGGAGGGCTTTGAAGGTGAAGACCAGGTTCTTGAACTGTATGCTCTGAGTGATGGGGAGCCAGTGGAGCTGGGCAAGTCTGGGGGTGATAGGGTCACGGACCCTGGTGCCGGACAGTTATGGATGGTCTGCAGCCTGTGGAGGGAGGAGTTGGGGTGGCAAGCCGACAAGCAGGGAGTTTGTGTAGTCGATCCTGGATGTGATGAATGCATGGATGAGAGCCTTGGCCACCTGTGGTGAGAGACAGTAGCGGAGCTGAGCAGTGTTACAGAGGTGAGGAAAGGCAGAGCGGGTCATGGCTCGGATGTGGGGGCTAAAGGACAGTTGAGGGTTGAACAGGATGATGAGGTTCTGTATTGGCTTTGTGAGGTGTAGGTGCATCCATGAAGGGTGATGCTGTCATGGCTAGCGTTGGTAGACCTGAGGGATTGGGTTGCAGGAGATGGCAGAGGAACGATGGGGCATTTGAAGGCAAGGATGAAGATTGAAGTCTGATGAAGGTTAGGGAGTGGGGCAAAGATGGGGTTTACGAGCTTATTACAGGAGAGGATGTGGACTGGATGGTCGGGGTTCTGTGATCTAGATCACGTGGAGGATGTAGCTGCGTGTTGGAAGAAATCTGTGTTCAATAATGTGCAGTTTGGTTTTAGCCAATTACCTTACCCTTGCTTTCCCTCTTGCCAACCTGTGCTTAAGCCAGCTTTTCTCAAATGTGGCCACCCATCAGATTTTTGTATGACCACAGCAGCCCCTGGCCTAGGAGGGGGGGCGGGGGGGTGAAGCGCACTTCATTCCAGGCATAGCTTTTGACATATAGGACCTGTGTGCAAACAGTCCTCGTTTATGGATCCGAGCTCCTGGGAATACAGCAGGGAGGTTTCCTCTGACCCATTTATAAAGTCCAGGATCACGCAGTGAGGTGGATTTGTGGCAAACATAGGAAGCGGCTGCAGGAAGAAAGGACTCCGGCCTACACTGACCTGTCACTAAGCACCCTGGAGGTGAGGTAGGTTTCACAGAAGGCACGTCTATTTGCCAAGGCCCTTGCATGAAACTTGGATTAAGCAGCTGGTGCTGAGTAAGCATTGGACTTGAACCTCGAGAACATCAAGGTGGCTGGCACATCACAAGTTGTCCTGCAAAGGATCTCCCACCACGCTGAAGGCAGATGTTTGCTAGACAGTTGATGAGGAATCTCTGAGGTTTGGGGCGACAGCTGCTGGAAGGCATTACCAGGAGTCTTGAGTTTGTGAACACACGTTTGTAAGTCCAGCACTTGTAATCCACCTTGATTGGCTTGCAGAGAGGTAAGCAGCAGCTGCTTAAACTCTGCACTAGTAACTGACGGAACCATCGCTCAATGGGAAGTTGCATATGCCCAAGCTGCGGAGGAAGATAATAATAATAACCTTGCATTTGATATAGCGCCTTATCACGTCTTCGAGATGTCCCAAAGCACTTCACAGGATATACCGTAAAGTGAATTGACTGTATTTTGTGGGCGAAACACGGCAGCCAATTGCGCAAAGAAGTGTCCCACAAACAGTCGTGGATTGAGTGACCACATTAATTTTTTTTGAAGGGTTTATTATATGTTTATCTCTATACATTTCACGCACAGTACAATGGGGAGAGAATAGAGAGACTTAGAGTGCAACAGGAGAGTGAGAGAGTCACAGAGAATAAAGAGAGACAGTCACACAGTATATAATGGGACTCACAGAGTAGAGAGATGGTGGCAATGCTCTCACACCTTTCATGCTGAGCTGTGTTGCCACTGGGAAGCTCGCAGGGAGTTCCTGGTACCTACCATCCACCAAGTGAGGGCACAAACCCGTGCTTGTCAGATGACCAATTAGTGACAAGTGGGGAGGTAACCGGGGTCTCCTTGGAGCTGAGCTGAACTGACTCCAGGAGAATGTTTGTCAACGGAATGTCGGAATATAGCCTCTGGTGGTCTTGGTAGTCTGGTTCCTGAGCCAGGAGGGTCTACAGTACTCCAGGGTACAGCTGATGACAGCACAGCCAGCCTGGCTCATCTGCAAGACTTAGAAGGGCAGACCAATCACTGAGTGCAGGGATTCTTCCCCCTCAGCTCCTGTTAAACCTGCAAGCCAAAGCCCTAATGAGTAGGTGGTCCTAGCTGGACAAGCAGTAGGAAAGCTTGCCAGACAGTGCTATCAATGGCAAGCTATGCGGTTTTAGCTGGTTAGACTCCAGCAATACCCCCAACGTACATTCTGTGGTCCCCAAGCCTTGGCTCTTGCCAATCTGCATCTAATATTTCCGGAATTAGGTAAACAGGATGCATTCCTGCAGCGAGAGAGTACACATTCCGTTCCAACAATCTATTTCTGGGATTTCCATGTGTAAATGGGTTACATGAACCTCTCAGTTTGGTTTGGATACTCTTAAGCATTAAACATGTGTCCGGCATCCAGGTGATCAAAGCAAAGAAAAAAAAATTCCAGACATAGTATGGGACACTCAGGTTTGATTTGCAAATTTATTAGGCTAACCCCCCCATCTCTGTCTTTCTCTTTTCTCTATCTCCCCTTCCTCCCAAAAAAAACTCACCAATGTGCATTTTTCATACCCACTTGCTTTTATATAATAATAATCCTTGTATTTGATACAGAGCTTTATCCCGTCTCAAAGCGCTTCACAGAATGTACTGTAAAGTGAATTGACTGGTTACTTGTAGGCAAATTTTGGGATTCGCAACTATTTGGCAGCAGATCACAAATTTGTGGATCTAAAGAACCATCAGCAGAAAGTACTCATTTCACTTTAAATGTGCCCTCCACCCTCCTCGATCCCGACCCCCAGCTCGGGTCTGAAACACCTTGGAATGTCCTCCTAGTATGATAGGCGCTATACAAATGTAATTTTGTTGTGAAGGTTTAATAATAATAATAATGATCCTTGCATTTGATATAGCGCTTTTTCACTTCTTCTAGACATCCCAAAGCGCTTCACAGAATATACTGTAAAGTGAATTGACTATATATTTGTGGGCGAACGCAGCAGCCAATTGTGCATAGCAATGTCCCACACACAGTCATCGATTGAAAATGACCAATTTATCATTTTGTTTTTTTTGGAGGGATTATTATTAGGTGTGTGGAGTAAGGAAACTTGCCCAAGGTTTCGCCCTGCTGGGAATTGAACCCAGGTCTCTCGCTTGCAAGGCGAGTGCTCTAACCACTGAGCTACAGGACTCCACATTGTTTAGGATTTTATGCTAGATTTTGGTTGAGGTAAAAATGGAAGGAGTTCCTGATATGGATATAGCCTCCCTCCTTATTTCTTCTTCTCCCTCCAAAAAAACTATTGTACACAAACTCACAGAATTTAATATTATTTGAATCAAATACTGACCCTACTGCTCCCTTCGCTCAGCAAGAACTGGCCTGCTTCACTTCTCCGCCTGAATGTAGCTGCCCCACCATTGGGGGTCGGGCTTTCAGCCAATCCGCCCCTACTCTCTGGAAACCCCATCCCAGAATCCCTCCATCTCACTCCGTCCCTCACATCGTTTAACATTTGTCTTGCACAACCTGATGTATATTATAAATTTACGGTGAACTCCTGGTAACTCATCACTCCAAGGGAAAAGGGCTCTCTGATGAGTTATCTGGAGTGGCGAGTTATGCATTTGTATAAACCATAAAGAAATGCAGCTGGGATATTGACAGCATGATGACTTAAGTGGTAGTGCAAGTTAAGCCAGGGTCAAGTTACCAGGAGTTTACTGTATATTTGTATTTTTAGTATATATAATAGAGCTCCATCTGCCTGTTCAAATGGATGTTTTAAAGATTTAATGCACTACAGTATTTGAAAAGAGAATGGTCTTTTTCTCCCTACCCCTCACCAGCAGGTTCCTGGCCAACAATACCCCAGATAAAATTGGTCATTCACTTCACGGCTGTTTGTGGGACATTGTTGTGCACAATTGGATGACGCATTGGCCCACAAAACCCAATCACTGCACTTTTAACTATATCCTGTGAAACACTTTGGGATGTCTTCCCAATGTAAAAGGTACTATGCTAAATATTACTTAAAGTGGAAGCTGCTTTAGCCGGACAAAACGCTTGGCCGATTTGGGATTGTCAAGTCTGGAGCCGCTTGTCAATTACCTTGGAGCCACCGCTAATTGGTCCCTTTCCCGTCCAATGGGAACATCAATGGGTGGGAGGAGGTGTCTCCGCCGCTTCTCTGCTGGGGAAGGGAACTTCAGTTAACCTCGGACACCGCTTAAGTCGAACAAAACCACTTGCCCCGATATGCTTGGCTTAAGCAGCTTTCACTGTATTACGTTTTTCACTATGCTTTTGGTTGCGTTTCCCCTCCCCCAGCCACCTTCATGACTTCTCCACCCAGTTCTGGTGCTCAGTCAGGATTGTTAAGTGCCTTGGGATGCCCTTCCAATGTGAAAGACTATTTAATCCAAGGAAGTTTTTTGTGCAGGCCTTGAAATACCAAGTTTTCATATGTTTAAAAATGATGAATTAACTAGTCATGTAGTTTGGTTTTGAGAACAATGTACAGAAAACTGATAGGTTGTTAAAAATACTATAGGGTTTTAAAATCTTCAAACAGGCTCTTAACATTGCACATAGGTATTAAACAATATATAACATTTGTGTTTTACTGCAGGTCTTGTGTATCACTGGGAGCTAAGAACCGTGCTGTTGGAGCTGCTGCCAAAACTCAGGTAAAGAAAAATGCGGCATTGTGCTTAGATGCCAACTTAACGTTTAGAAGTAGCACCATAACTGCAGTTACTTGACATCCTTCAGATTTGTTTTCAGTAAAATCAAGTGAATTTCCCAGAAATGTAGGTGAGGGTTAAACTCTTACAGTGCCCCAAAAGAGAATTTGATATTTCAAGGAAAGTATTGAAAGCTCTGTTTGTTTGAACTCCGAAAGTCAGTCATTTATTTTGTCCTCAAAATACATATTATCAACTTTACAGTATATTCTGTGAAGCGCGTTGTGACGTCTTGAGACATGATAAGGAGCTATATATCAAATGCAAGATTATTATTCTATTTGATGCAGAAAATGTGATGTATACAGTTAAAAAGAATTTATCCGCCAACCACAATTATTCCAGCATTCCTGCCTCTCTCCACATTTCCTCAGTAACTAATCCCTCCCCAAAAAAAATTTGGGTCACTTAATCCATGACCATTTGTGGGACACTGCTATGCACAATTGGCTGCTGTGTTTCACCCACAAAATACAGTCAATCAACTTTATAATATATTCTGTGAAATGATTTGAGACGTCTCAATGCCGTGATAACGTGCTATATCAAATGCAAGGATTATTATTATAAAAAAACTAATAGTTAATGAATAGTGATGGTACAGTTCTCCATTTGACTGCCTTTCAGTGTAAGCTTAGACCAGGTAGTCCAACTTGGTGGCCTTTAGGCCGCATCCAGCCAGGGGATTGATTGCTTCTGGTCAGCCAACCATTTCTGCACCCAGTACCGGTGGCTCCGTTATTCAGTCACTGCACCACTCCCATTGTCTGGGTTGCCCATAATCAATGGGCCCGGCCCTCAATCTCTATACCCGGGTGCTCAATTTCAGTATCAGCAATCCCACTCGCCATGCTCCTTGTCCCCATGCCGGTGCTACCACATCACGTTGTTGAGTGGCAGCCACCTGGGCCCTAGCACCCGCCTGTACTTGATGCCTTGCAATTCCATAGATTCCATTTGCTGAGTTGATATTTTACAGTTTGTTTATGGATGGGAAACACAAAAATATTGCTTATGTGGTGCAGGGACAATTCTCAAATCTGGCATCTGGCCCTCAGCAGCCAAAAGGTTGCACCCCCCGGCGTACAATGTGAGCTCAAAGTCTTGACTTCAACCAACAACCTTCTGAGTTGGAGACTGGTGCTTATAACTGGGCCGATTGACGCCTATCTCTTAAAATTATTTAATGTGTTTGCCAAGTAGATCTTAATTTGCTTCCTGGTAACTGAGTTTTAAGTGTGCTATAATTTAAGTATGTCGGTAAACTGAGTTATGCTAGGCTCTTTCCAAATCTCCAGAGTTTCTCCTGAAATTACTCATGCCTTTCTAAACCTCCAGAGTTTCTCGAACTAAGCAATCTTGCAGAAATCATTAAAATCTGTACTAATTTTACTTTCCAACTCCTTTCAGACTTGTGAATGCAGGCTGTCTAGATCAGGTATTTCGTAATGATTCCTCTTGCAAGGAACAAGCCCAACTAAGTTCTTCCTTGTGTTGAGAGGAGCATCTCCCAATATTGCGAAGGTTAACTTTTCTTGTAATGTGGGTGGAGTTCACCTTTCCCATATAATTTAACCATTTAACTCTTCTGTTAAATAGTGTAGCTGTGGAACGTGTCTTCCTTTGTTTTAGATTTTTGAACTAAATCGTTATTCTGGCCACAGATCGTGAGTAATGCAAAGAATACTATTCAAGGATTTAAGCGAATGCATGGAAGGACTTTTGAAGACCCATTTCTGCAGACTGAAAAGAACAAACTGTCATATGAGCTTCAGAAAATGCCGAGCGGTGGCGTTGGAATTAAAGTAAGTTCTTCCCCAGGCAATGTACCATTTATAATACATTTGTTGGATTTAAACGTGTTATATGAATAAATGCTTCTTGAACATTTCATGGCTTCAGGCTGTTTACCATTCCATCATGCTTCCTTTCAACCCCTTCCCCTTAATTCTCACTGCAATATTAATCCTGCTGTTTTATTTAGATCTTCAGTTTTCATTCCAAAATACTTATAAGATCTTGTTTTTCATGATATTAGCCAAGTATCATTGAAAGAATTGGATGCTAATTGGATTACTTCATTGTGTTTAAAGCAGCTTCAGATGTCCCTGCCCTTTTTAATCTCTGATTTACTTTCCGCTTGAAGAATCTACTATGGGCAAAATGAAAATTGTCATTCCAGGCACCATTGTCATAATTGTTTATCTAAGTCCATTAGAACATCTATTGATGATAAAGGGACCTTGGTGGAATAATTGTGGCTGGTGGATACATTCTACACTCAAGAGATTTTTGTAGTCTGAAAAGTCCCAGCTGTAGCTTCCTGATGAGACTGTTTTGAATAGCCATAAGCAAAGTCTTGCTCCTAGATTCATTTCACATTTCCTCAGTGGTCCTTTATGTGAATTGAAGGTCTAATTATTTCAGCACAATAGCTTTGTCCAATTGAATGCCATGGTTCTGGGCAAGTAAATTTGGCTTTGAACAGACCACATGGCAGTATGTCAACAAATTAAGTAGGACTGTCCTCAAGTGCAGAGTGCAGCATTATTTGAAAATAAGAGATTTTCTCTTGATGTCCTGGCTAAGAATTCTGCAAATGAAGTTGGTTCACCTTAAAATAGTCATTAATTTATCCTGAGGAATTTGTCTGTCTTGGACCTTGCTCTGTGCAAAATAACTGCCTAATTTGCCTAGAAAAAAAACTTTCGTCACTTGATAATAATTAATATGAAAAACACATTTCAGTGTGGAAAGTTACAAAATTGCATGCTGATTTAAGCAACTTCCGTGAAGCGCTTCGGAATTTCCTTCTCTGCTATATCAAATGAGAATTATTACTTATCCATACTAAACGATATGCTTCCAAAAAATTTAATTTACTCACAGGTGCGTTACATGGATGAAGACCGTGTTTTTGCTATTGAGCAGGTGACTGGAATGTTGATGACTAAACTGAAGGAGACTTCAGAGAGTGCACTGAGGAAACCAGTGGCAGATTGTGTCATTTCGGTAGGTTCGATTGTGCTTGTGGTAGCGATGTTATGCAGCTTCTTTCACTGCGCATTCGGTGTTGTTTCCCTTCCCCAGCCTCATAGCTCTTTACTTCCCACCCCAGTTTGGGTGTCTCCCATCATTGTCAAATCCTTTGAGACGTCCACCTAACGCAGAGGGCACTATGTAATTCATTTGGACTGTGCCTATTAGTCACAAATACTGTACCTAAATTGGAGCAAAGAATTGGGGATTTTTTTCTAGCTGCAAGAAATTGTATATATTACTGACATTTCTCATGAATAAAAACAGATCAACTTAACTACTTTTATACACTATGTGGTGGGTATTTGAAGGATTGTATATTAACTAGCTTCAATTTGGTCTACCTATAAGTCTTAAAAGGACAGGATCCCTGTTTTATTCCTGAGTAGATTGCAAAAATTCAAACTGTATCTGAAGATTGATGAAGGTTATGTACGTGTTACATGATTCTGCAGGTACTGTAGTACATTTTGATCAAATGTACTAAATACATTTTCCCACCTGGCTACGCTTTCCACTACAACTCTTTTTTTCCCTCTCAAGTCCCTCACAAATGCCCTCTCATCCGCAGAACTTGTCTCTCTCTGGCCTTCCACCAACAGTCCTCCTGATGCAGCCATCAACCTGCTAAAAAATCGTATTTCCTCAACTTTAAATTCTCTTGCCCTCCTGAAATACAGAACCATTTTCAAATTACCTGACATAGCAGCCACCTCTGCTCCCATAAATGCCAAATCTGGAGAGCTTTGCATGTCCTTGCCAGATTCCAATGGCATTAGGGCTCCAAAAAGTTGGGGCTGTTGCATCACTCAATTACTATAACATTCACTGAGAGGCTAACCGTTGATTTGTGCAGTTACATTTGGGACCTATGGGAAATGAAGGTACCCTTCTGATCCTATGCATAAGATACACTACTAGTGCACTTTCATAAGCTGCACAGGAAGTGACTTCAACAGCGACCTAGTGATCTGGAAGCATTGACTGGCAGATAGTTTTTATAGTTCTTTGTTATTAAAGTAGGATTTAAGCTTATGGACCCAAGCTTATGGACCCAATCAACAACTTACACGCATGTAATGCCCTTCACACAGGATAGCGTCTTTTGAAGTGCTGGAACACCAGACCACAACATTATAACTAGGTCTACTTGTAACACTCATGGCACTCATTTACATTTTTAAAAGGCGTATTTCAGTATGTATTTCATTGATGGCATATAAAAGTGATGAGATTACCATATCGTGTTGGGAGTATAAATAAATTATGAACATGTTCTGTATTTAACTGTTGGCAGGTTCCTAGCTTTTTCACTGATCTAGAAAGGAGGTCTGTGATTGATGCTGCTCAAGTGGCAGGGCTCAACTGTTTGCGGCTAATGAATGACACCACTGCAGGTAAAAAAAAAAAATCCTAAAAAGTCCTGTTACCAATCTGCTATAAAGATTCTGTAAAACATTTGATTCAATTTCAAGGGTGGTGAGTTGATGTCTCATTAGTTTTGGTTTTCAAATTACTTGTAAATTTGATTGGGGTATGAGGATTTTAATCTCTAATGTACACAATAAAATATTTACTATTACTCTGGAATTTTGACTCAATTTTACTGGTGACTTGATTGATACTTGACTCATTCATCTTTAAGTGATTATGTCTCTGAAGCTCCCTTTGTATGTAAGCTGTTTGGTTTGTTGAAATCCATTACTGAGAAAGTGAAAGAGAGATCTTTGGGACATATTTTAATTACTTGAAATGCACAAGTGTTCTTTAATCACTTAAGCTTCCTTTTTGACTTTTTTTTGTATTCTAAGTGACAATTCTTAAGAGGTGAACAGTTTGACCAGGGAGGCAAGTGGTCAAGCTGTTAGAGCTGATATCTTTGAATGGCATGTGGAGTAGGGTTAAGTGAGATGTGGAGTGATGTTTGAAACTGAGGTCAGACAGACTAAAATGAGCCTTTCTTATCTTTGTTCCTGGGATGTCATCTTTCTCGTATCAAACAAAATTATTACACCATTTTTGTTTTAATAAGTAAAAGGATTAAGAAATAATGATTGCATTTCCTAATATTAAAACCAATTGAGTTCTCTGACCTTAGCAGCAGACTTGATAACATTTGTCAAAAACAGCAACTCAAAGAGGGCTTTAAATATTTTATTCTGTTTCCAGTTGCTCTTGCTTACGGTATCTACAAACAAGATCTACCTACCCCAGAGGAGAAACCAAGGAATGTGGTGTTTGTAGATATGGGACATTCAGCCTATCAAGTTTCCATTTGTGCGTTTAACAAGGGAAAACTTAAGGTCAGTAGCAAAGGAATTATTTTCATTCATTTTTCATAGAAATTTGAAATCCTTGTCTAAGGTATCAAAAGCTTTTAATGTTCAGTTATTTGGAATCTTGCAATATTTTGGTCAGATTAAAAGAATGGTTTGCCATCCATTTGGGAAAAATATTTGACTTGCACTGAGATCCTCAACTCCACATGCACGTGATTCAAGCAAGAAATATAAATGTTAGAACTATTAAACCTTTTTAGTTGTCAGCCTGGCTCAGTTGGTAGCACTGTCATTTGAGTAAGAAAGCTGTAAGTTCAAGGCCTACATTGGGATTTTCAGCTCATAGCCGTCTGACAATCCATTGCAATACTACAACAACTTGCATTTATAATGGCACCCTTCTTGTATGGTAGCATCCTGAAGCGCTTCAAAGTGGTGGAAACTGACAACGAGCCAGAGGGAGTGGGGAGGTGACCGTAAGCAAGATCAAAAAGGAAGATCTTTATGATTTGAAGGTGGGGAGTGAGGGGGCAAGGTGGAGGGATTGAGGGAGAGTGTTCCAGAGTTTCAGAGTGTAGTGGCTTGAAGCACGGCCACCAATGGAGGGACAGAGAGCACAAGAGACATGCAGAAGGCCGGAGCCAGTCGAGCGGAGGCATCGAGCTATGGGTTGGTGGCATGTCAGAGGTAGGTAGATGCCAGGGCATGTAGTGATTTGAAAACGAGTATGAGAATCTTGAAATTGATTCCTTAGGTGATAGGGAGTCTGTGGAGCCTGGCTAGAACAGGTGTGATGGGGGTACAGAGTTCAGTATGAGTGGAGACCGACGAGGAGGGCATTTGAATTGTCGAAACGGGAGGTGACAAACACGTGGCCCTATTTAGAAAAAGGTTCCCCAGCTGTCCTTGCCAAAATCGCCCAGATTTTAAAAATTGGTCGTACTTTCTTCATGGCTGTTGGACAGTGTTGTATGTAAATTGGGTGCCCGCCTACAAAAGGGCACTGCAATTTATAGAAAAACAAGGCCTCTATATACCCCTTTGCGACTTTTTGATGTGAAAAGGCGCTGTAGCAAATGCTACGATTATATCACAATTGGAATCTGTGTCTTAATTGGTTCAGCAATATAAAAAAACATTGATGTAGCAAGCAACAGTCAGGAATAGAAGCTGGGGAGGCAAGCAGCTGTTGCAGAACTCTGTTCATCCAAATGAATGTTAAGTTAACTTATTGGATTTTGATCATACATTGATGGGCCTTTGAACTTGCTCATTGAAGTAGACATTTAATTTTTTTTATTCTCTGCTCATCATAGGGTCATGTTCACAGAGAACCAGATGGTTGGAGATTTCCAAAGGAGCACTACATTTTTCTTTTGAAACCTCCATTATGCTGTATATAAAGTGGCAGTTCCTTGTGCTTCCCCCTTTCTTTCTCCTCCCTTCCACCCCGGTGGATGACCAATAACATATCCCTCATTTGAAAGATTTTATGTAGCAGGATGGAAGATGATTGGGGGTTGAAATCGTGATGACTTGCATTTATGTTTTTATGTAAAAACTTGGGAAGTACTTTGCAAAATGTAATCGAATAGTAATGAGTTTGATTTCTATGCAAACACAGCTGCTAATCTGCATCAGCAACATGCAGCATTATGTAGGCTAAGCCTTCAAAATAGTAAAATTATTGTCATTTTAAGATTCATGGGACAAAATCATGACTGCAGAAATTAACCTATATTCTTTCCAGACTAATAATGAGCATAAAATTCTGGAATAAATCAAAATAGGAAATTGTATTGCGGATATCATTTATGTAGAGTATGGTTCTGGTGAGACACAGACTTATAACATTGTATAAAGTCTTATTACTAAAGAGTCCCATTTGTTTTTTAATGACTTGAAGAAATTATTTTTAATAATTATTAATAATAATTATTTCGCTGAGAAATAATTGCTAAACTAAACCCCTGTCTGGGTAGATGAAGGGACTGTTATTTTGCAGTGTAAAATTGTACACCCAGTTGGCAGCGATCACTCTGCAAGTTCTATAACTATCTTAGGATAATTTCTGGACCATTCTTAAGAGTTTCAATTTGTATTGGCCCAGCCTGTGACCCAGAACAATGTACTTTAACCAAATCATAGTCTTGCTCTCTCAGTATGCATCTAATGCTGATGATGACGTTCAGCTCTTCCTCTGGGTCCCCAAACCTTTAGCATTAAAGTACAACTTTGGAAGTATCTTATGCTGCAAACTATACTTCCAAAGCATGAAAATAAACTGATTATTGTATCCTTAGGAACTTCATTCTTTATTTCAATAATATCCTTCACACAAAGTTTTGTCTACTGCTGGTAATACCTGGGCTAACATTTTTGGTGCTGTTTTGGGAAGTTACAGACCAATGAGTTTTGTGTACTGGTAGACAAAATACTGTGACTCTTCCAAAATAGGCTTCTGTGATATCTGTTAGTTCAAAAAAATGCATTATTATTAAATAATAATTCTTGTATTAATGTAGCATCAGGAAGATGTCTGTATATATGCTGGATATACTATAAAGTCTTAACGACTATTTTGTAGACGAATGTCTCAAATGGTCATGAAATGAATGACCCATTTTATTTGACATTGCTGACCAGGACATCATGAAACTAACTTCCGTTTTAAATTACTGTAAAACTCGCATTCTCAGTTAGGACCATAACATTTAATATGCCACGCGAGAAGTCTAAGTTGCGGGCAAACTGTATAAATCATTAGAAAATCCAGATTTAATCAATCTATACTGCAAATGCATAATTTAATGCATGCAGTAGTTTGTCACTGCAAAGTGGCATGCAGTGATGGATCAAGACTATGTTTCCCGTGATTCAATGCTGCCGGCCAGTAAATGCATCCGTCAACTAGTCAGGAAATTATTTCCGGTGATTTAAGGCAGCCGGTAAGTGCGGGAGTCATGGAGGATAGGGGAGCGGAGTTAAGAGGTGATTAATACGAGTAGTGCAAAGAAATCTAAGTGGTTTTAATAGGAAATTGAATGGGACTCGAGTGACTGTATGACTTAGGTGATTATACGATTTAAAGTTGAGACTTGTGGAGTTTTACTGTAGTGCTGTAGAACCTTTAATGTTCATCTGAACAGACAGCTGGGGCAACTCAGTTTAATGTGTCAGCCTAACAGCACCTCCTAACAATGCAGCACATCTCCTGCACTGTAGCCTAGACTAAGTTCAAAGTCCTGATGTGAGGCTTAAAAGCACAACCTTATGACTTGGAGGCACTCGTGCCACCAATAATAATAATAATCCTTGCATTTGATATAGCGCGTTTCACGTCGGTAGGACGTCCCAAAGCGCTTCACAGAACACACTGTAAAGTGAATTGACTGTATATTTGTGGGCGAATGTGGCAGCCAATTGCGCACATCAATGTCCCGCAAACAGTCGTAGATTGAAAATGACCAATTTATGTGTGGAGTAAGGAAACTGAGCGAGGTAGACACTTGCAGTACATATAAAAACTGATCCTGCTTTAGTGCCTATCAAAACTGATATGCCCATGCCAATTACTTTTTATTTGATGCTTTTGAAAAGGAAGCACGCTCGGTTTGTACCTATAATCGGTTGTTGCTGACGATACTTAAATTATTTGTGGTGTAAATTTTTACATATATGTTTATACTGTAATAATAATCCTTGCATTTGATTTAGTGCTTTTACGTCTTTCAGATGTCACAAAGTGCTTCACAGAACATACTGTAAAGTGAATTGACTGTATATTTTGTGGGTGAAATGCATAAAAATCTAGTATGCTATATTATGTGAACTTCCTTTTTCTTGGACTAATATGGCTTTTGTTTCCTTTTTCTTCAATTGAAGGTTCTTGCAACTGCTTTTGATCCCTATTTGGGGGGTAGGAATTTTGATGAGGTATTAGTAGAATACTTCTGTGAAGAATTTAAGACCAAATACAAGCTGAACGTGAAGAGCAATATCCGAGCAGTACTTCGTCTATATCAAGAGTGTGAGAAATTGAAGAAGCTAATGAGTGCAAATGCTTCTGATCTCCCGATGAATATAGAATGCTTCATGAATGATATTGACGTTTCTGGTAAAATGAACAGGTACATCTTTACCTATTCTATCCGGTCGTGGGAGGAGAGTATAACTTGAATCAATTGCAATCACAAATTGAAAATCAGATAATAATAATAATAATCCTTGCATTTGATATAGAGCTTTTCACATCTTCTAGATGTCTCAAAGCACTTCACAGAATATGCTGAAAAGTGAATTGACTGTATATTTGCGGGCAAAACGCGACAGCCAATTGCGCACAGCATTGTCCCAAAAACAGTCGTGGATTGAAAATGGTTGTTTTTTTGTTTATTGGAGAGATTATTACAACAACAACTTGCATTTATATAGCGCCCTCTACGTCGGATGGGGTCTCAGAGCGCTTAAATACAATTATTATTATACAATTATTATTAGGCGAGTGGAGTAAGAAAACTTGCTCAAGGTTTCGCCCTGTCTGGAATTAAACCCAGGTGTCTTGCTTGCAAGTGTTATCCATAAATCTTTTTAAATTTAAAAGTGTTACTGTACTGATCCTGCCTCCAAGCTCCACCTTCATGGTTCTGTCCTCCACCTACCACAACGTCTCATCTGCACTTTGCCTCCTCAAACAGCTTCTCCTCCTAAGCCCGCACTGTCGTGCAGAATTCCTTAAAGCTCTGTCCTTGCACCTTTCCTTTTTAATATCTATGTAGTCTTACTTGGCAGCGCCATCCACAGACATGGAGTTAACTTCCACATGTATATGAATGACACCCAACTCTGGCTTCACGCGTGATTCCAGGACCACTACTCCCCTGACTGATTGTCTATCAGATATCAAGTCCTGAATTAAGTCTAATATTCTTCAGTTGAACATTGACAAGATAATAATAATAATGGGGGCTCCGCTGCTTTGCTTTCATCAGCGCGTTATCACCTAAGGTGCTGACAGCATCAAACTTTGGAGCCTGTGCAGAACCTCAGTGTGTTCAACTCAGCTGTACTTTAAACCTTACATTTGTGATCTGCTCAGCTTTTCCCCACTTCTTTAACATTGCCCTCCTCCATCACTACTGCATTCAGTCGTCAAAACCGTAATCTATACATTCATTATATCTAGGCTAGATTACCCCAAATCTTGTCACAATACTGGTCTCTTTCCTTCACAAGCTGCAGACTATCCAGGACTCTGCAGCTCGTGTTTTTCGTACATCTGGGTTTAATGTGCACGTGTAAAGTAGAATTAACTATTTCAAGCAAGGTGAATTGTGTGAACATCCATGTACAATTAGTGATTGAGGCAGAGAGAAAGTGAGCAGAGGATCTGCTTGGATCTGACAAAGTTCCAATGTGATTATGCTCGGCTATAGAATGTTGTAAATCAAGTCCACCTGTGGTGGTCCTGGTAGTCCAGTTCCTGAGCCAGGCTGGTGCACAGTACTCCAGGGCACTGCTGATGACAGACCAGCCAGCCTGACTTATTGTTAGGAGTTGGAGGGGAAAACTGGTCATTGGGGCAGTTATTCTTCATTCTTAGCTCCTGTTAATCTTGCAAGCTTTACTGCATACTTGGCCTTGAATTCTAGTTGTCGTTCAATTATTTTACTTTTAGCTGCAATCCATGTACTTATTATTGTGTCAAAGTTTTTGTTCCTACTTTCCTGTCTTAAGTGGAATGTCTGTATAAACCCATGTGACTGTTACTGGTGGTTTTGGTTATTGATTGGACTTTTAAGTTAGTGAAATGTTTCCACTTTCATAACTTGCAAATATCCATATGTTTTAGTTAGCCGTTTGAAATTTATTGGTACTGATTATTCTGGTTTCATTTATATGTAATGTTTTTGGTCTCTTTTCCTCAGACCTCAGTTTGAAGAACTTTGTGCCTCTTTTTTAACCAGAGTGGAGCCACCTTTGAAAAGCATCATGGAACAAGCCAGTAAGTGATCTATTAATGTAAAGGTTCACAAATCTTAGAAAGATAAGGTCATTCTATACTTTATTGATCCAACAGCAGTGCCTTTATTTTGAGCCATCCAATAGTTAATGTTTGTGTTGGATTTCAAATGTTAGATAATATTTACTTTTTCTTGGATTCATGTTAATAATATTAAAAAAATCCTTTGCTATAGCACCTTAACACATTTTCTAGTCTCAAAACACTTCACAAAATACTGTAAAGTATTTTTTTGTTTTGTTTTGTCATCGTCTTCTGGTTTACATTTTTTTTCAAGTGGGTATACTTTCTAATAATGCAGCAAAAACCTTTCAAAATAACATAAGTGTCAAGAGCACCTTGGCTATGATTAACAACAACTTGGATTTATATAGCGTCCTCCACGCCAAAAGGAGTTTTAAAGGAGTTAAAGGAGTATTGATGGGAGTATCCTATTCTCTATACAGTAGCTGACCACTTTGATTTTCAAACCATTTTGATAGACTGTTTATGCTTTAATTCTAAATTTCTTTACTAAATGGAGATGGAGGAACTTTGCCCCGTGAAAACTTAACTCAACGTACAGAAATTATAATGTATTCCATGTTTACTTAAAACAATTATCAGGACTCGTTAATTTTTTCCAGAACTTAACCATTCTTCATGGAAGTTTATTTTAAAAAATCCATATTTTAACAGTTTAATCAATAAAACCATTTACCCCCGTGTAAAATCATTATACTTAAATTTACAGGAAAAGTTTTCTTGTTTAAAGTTTTACTACAGTAGCTATTTTTACTTTTAGAATTACAGTTTGAAGACATTTACTCTATTGAAATTTTGGGTGGAGCCACAAGAATTCCAGCCGTAAAAGAACGAATTGGGAAATTCTTTGGCAAGGACATCAGCACGACCCTTAATGCTGATGAAGCTGTGGCCCGAGGCTGTGCACTACAGGTAAATGTCTGCCTTGTGTTCAATTGTATGTGAATTGGTGAGATTCTTCTGTTTCAACACATTATCAATTGCTGCTGTGATGTTGAGCAGCATGTACACATTTACTCTATATTAAATCATGTCAACTGTTAGTTATGGCAGAACTGGAAAAGTCCACCCAGCACTAAATGGTGAATAACTGATTTGTCGACTGAGCACATTGTTCAAAATGTATTTTCAGAAATTCATTCAAGTTTAGTGACCTGTTTACAAGAGTAAAAAGATGAGGAAATATTGCAAATTGTCAGTTCAAACATTGATGGTCAGTGCAAAATGGGGACCTTTTAACATTCAGTCAATTCTCACCCCCATGAGAAAACTGATCCAACGTGCTGTTTTGCCTAAACCTCATCTTGCTTTATATTCTAAAGACGTATAAAATTACTAATGCTCACATTTGTCTTAGTATCAGAGTTTTTAATTTGGCTACAAAGCTTTTAAGTCTGTACAAATCAAGCCATTTGAATGTTCGTGTAAAACTTGCTTCAGATATGTTGACGTTTTTAATATAATTATACTACATATTACTTCTTTTAAATTCTCCCAGTGTGCAATACTTTCCCCTGCATTCAAAGTGCGTGAATTTTCCATCACTGATGTAGTTCCTTTCCCAATCACTTTGAAATGGAAATCTACAAGTGAGGAAGGATTGGGGTAAGTACATAAGTGATGCACCTTCATTATCGCCATTGGGAATCTTATTTTAAAAACATTATAAAACATTACATCTTGTATTCAGGGAGGGATATTATAATGCTCGTGTATTGCCTTGAGTAGTATTGTCTTAAGCACTCTGGGATGCAACCCTGCATGAGGGCCGCTATATAAATTCAAGGTTATAAGGTGCTTTTTCAGACCTGCAGCGAGATTAGTATTGAAGTTGTTAGTCTCCACTGATCTTCAATCTTCTCAACCTCTCCCAAAGACTATACAATGTTAGCACGTTCCAGTAGCTTTTCAGATTAATTTCTTTGGCTTATATTTTTGATCACTTAAGAGCATAAGAACGTAAGAATTTGCTAGGTGAAAGAAGACCCAAGGTCCATCTAATTCACATTCCACCATCTTTGCTTGACATGTCATGTCCCAAACTATACTGTACCCGAGATATTATTTTCTAGCCGAAATCTATCTAATTTGTTCACTTGCAGCATCTGTAATGAGTGATGCACTTTGTAGACGACGACATATTGGTGGAGCTTGATTTGTTCTCATTGTTGCGTGCCTTCTAACAAAATTCCCTAACTCCAAAACACAAAATACTGCAGATGCTGGAAATCTGAACCAAAAACAAAAATCTCTGGGAACACTCAGCAGGTCAGGCAGCATCTATGGAGAAAGGAAAGTGACTCAACGTTTTGGGGTCCACGACCCTTCGTCAGAACTGGAGCATAGAATCATACAACACAGAAAGAGGCCATTCAGCCCATCGCGTCTGTGCCAGCTCCAAAAAGAGCAATCCAACTCAATCCCACTGGCCCACTTTCTCTCCATAGTCCTGCAATCCTGTCCTCCCCAAATACCCATCTACTTCTCTCTTAAAAGTTGTTATTGAATCGGCTTCCACTACCCTTTCAGGTAATGCATTCCGGATCCGAATAAATCGCTGTTTTTTTTTTTAAAAAAAACAATTCCTAACCTTCCCTGTTTCTTTTAACAACTATCTTAAATCGGTATCCTCGGGTTACTGACCCACATGTCAGTGGAAACAGTTTTTCCCGGTTCAACCTATCAAATCTCTCATAATCTCTATTAAATCCCCTCTTAATCTTCTCTGCTCCAGGGAGAATAAACCTAGTTTCACTAACCTCTCCTCATAACTAAGGTCTTTCATGCCTGGTACCATCCTGGTAAACCTCCTTTGCACTCTCTCCAATGGCCTAACATCTTTCCTAAAGTGCGGTGCCCAGAACTGAATGCAGTACTCCAACTGAGGCCATACCAGCATTTTATAAATATTCAACATAACCTCCTGATTTTTGAATTCTATGCCCCTATTTATAAAACCTAGTATCCCGTAGGCTTTTTTAACAGCTTTATCTGCCTGTCCTGCCACCTTCAGAGATTTGCTTATGTGTACCCCGAGGTCTCTCTGTTCATTTGCCCCCTTTAAGATTGTACCATCTAACTTATGCTGCCTCTCCTCATTCCTCCTACCAAAATGCAACACTTTGCATTTCTCCACATTAAACCTCATCTGCCATGTTTCTGCCCATTTTACCAATCTGTCTAAGTCCTCTTGGAATCTGGTACTATCCTACTCACCATTAACTACTTTTCCTAGCATAGTATCGTCTGCAAATTTGGAAATTGTGCTCCCTATATCCAGGTCCAGATCGTTAATATAGATCAGAAAGAGCAGTGATCCCAATACCAACCCCTGAGGGACACCACTACACACCTCCCTCCAGTCAGAAAAACAACCTTTTACTGCCATTCTCTGCTTTCTGTCTCTTAGCCAGTCCTGGATCCATGTTGCCACAGTCCCTTTAATACCGTGGGCTTCTATTTTGTTTATAAGTCTTCTGTGGCACTTTGTCAAATGCCTTTTGAAAATCTAGATAAACTAACTTCATCCACCCTCTCAGTCACTTCATCAATAAATTCTATAGGTTTGTCAGACACGATCTGCCTTTAACAAATCCGTTTTGACTGTCCTTTATTAAACCATATTTTTCTAAGTGAGAATTTATATTGTCCTGGATTATAGTCTCCAGAAGTTTCCCTATTAATGACGTTAGGCTGATTGGGCTGTAGTTCTCAGGTTTATCCTTCTGCCCCTTTTTGTACAGGGGCGTAACATTTGCAACCTTCCAGTCCTCTGGCACCACTCCAGTGTCCAAAGAGGATTGAAAGATTGCGGCCAGAGCTTCCGCTATTTCCACCTTTGCTTCCCTCAGTAGCCTAGGATGCATCCCGTCCAGACCAGGTGACTTATCTATGTTGAGCACCGACAGTCTTGTTAGTACCTCCTCTCTCTTGATTTTTATCATATCCAATTTCTGTTCACACGCCTGCGATATTGTGGCATTGGTTGCATCGTCTTCTTTTGTGAAGTCAGTTGCAAAGTACATCAGTCTGCCTCAACAAGAAGATTTCCACTTGGGTCCCTCCATATGCCTAATAATAATCTCTTCAAAACAAAAACAATAATAAATAGGTCATTTTCAATCCACGACTGTTTGTGGGACACTGCTGTGCGCAATTGGCTGCCGTGTTTCGCCCACAAATATACAGTCACTACACTATACCATCTATTCTGTGAAGCGCTTTGAGACGTCTAGAAGACGTGAAAAGCGCTGTATCAAATGCAAGTATTATTATTAATTGGACCCACCCTACCATTAACTAACCTTTTACTCTTGATGTGCTTAAAAATACCTTAGGGTTCCCTTTTATGTTTCCTGCTAATCTTTTCTCGTACAATCCCTTCACCCTTCTTATTTCCCTTTTCACTTCTCCTCTGTACTTCCTATATTCTGTTTGATTATCCTGTGTGTTTTGAACCTGACATTTGTCATAAGCCTCCTTTTTTTCTGTTTTATTTTAATCCCAATTTTCTTAGTCATCCAGAGAGGTTTGTCTGTCCTACCTTTCCCCTTTGTGGGGTTGTATTTGCTCTGTCCCCGAACTATCTCCTCCTTGAAGACTTCCCATTGTTCATTTGCTCTCTTACCTGTCAATCTTTCTTTCCAATCTATCTTGGCCAGGTCCCTTTTTAGCTCACTGAAATCAGCCCGTTTCCAGTTGAGGGTCTTTACCTTTGATTGATTGTTGTCCTTTTCCATAACTATTCTAAACCTAATGATATTGTGATCACTGTTATCCAGATGCTCTCCTACTGAAACCTGCTCCACTTGCCCCACTTCATTTCCCAGAACTAAATCCAGCACTGCTTCCTTCCTCGTTGGTCTGGAAACATGCTGATCCAGAAAGTTCTCCTGCACACATTTCAGGAATTCCTCTCCCTCCTTGCCCTTTACACTGTGTGTTTCCCAGTCTATATTAGGATAATTGAAATCCCCCATTATCACCACTCTATTGGTTTTGCATCTCTCTAAAATCTGCTTGCAGATTTGCTCATCTATCTCCTTCCCACTATATGGAGGTCTAAAGTAAATACCTAACAGAGTAACAGTTCCTTTTCTGCTCCGTAACTCTCACCAAATAGATTCAGTTTTTGGACCCTCTAACACATCGTACTTTTTCAGGACCGTGACCATGTCCCTAATGAGTATTGCCACCTCCTCCTTTTTTCCCTTCCCTGTCCCTCCTGAATAGGTTGTAGCCAGGAATATTCAACTCCCATTCCTGTCCTTGCTTGAGCCAAGTCTCTATAATTGCCACTACATTGTACATATGTCAACTTGAGCCACAGCTCACCAAGCTTATTGGTCACGTTTCGTGCATTTACATACAAGCACTCCAAGACCGGCTTAATCCGCTCTACATTTCTCCTCAGTCTCTTTCCACTTTGTGCTGGACTATTCCTTGTTTCATTTCTATTTGTCTCTTCTCATCCACTATGTAACTCGGTTCCCCTCCCTGAAGCTACATTCTGATCCCCATCCCCCCTCGCAATCTGATTTGCCGAACACTTCCGTTCTGTCCGCAAGCACAACCCTGATCTTCCGATTTCTTGCCATTTCAACTCTCACTCTGACCTCTTCATCCACGGACTCCTACACTGAGGAGTTGGGGAGGCCTACAAACAGTGAGTTTGCATTGTCCAGCCTCGATGTAATGATGGCGTGTATGAGGGTTTCGGTGGCCTGCGGCGTGAGACAGTGTCAGAGTTGGGCAAAGTTGCGGAGGTGGGGGAAGCCAGAGCGGATCATGGCGCAGATGTGGGATAGAAAGGATAGTTGAGGGTCAAACAAGACTCCAAGGTTCCGGACTGGCTTAGCAAGATGGAGTGTGTAACCATGGATGGTGATGCTGTCAGCGCCTGAGGTGAGGAGGTGCTGACGGGAGCCAATCAGGAGAGCCTCAGTCTTGTTGACGTTCAACTGTTCAACTCTTATCCAGAACTTGATATCTGACAGACATTCTGTCAGCACAGCAGTGGTCCTGGAGTTCAGGGTGGAGGCAGAGAGGTAGAGTTGGGTGTCATCCACATACATGTGGAAGTTGACCCCATGTCTGTGGATGATGTCACCAAGAGGGAGCATATAGATGTTGAAGAGGAGGTGACCAAGGACAGAGCCCTGAGGAACGCCGCACGAGACGGTCCAGGGGCTACAGGAGAAGCTGTTTGAGGAGATGAAGTGCAGGAGTTGGGAGAGGTACAATCTGAACGAATCAAGGACAGCGCTGTGGAGGTTGTGGTGAAAGAGGTGGTGGGTGAGGATAGAGTGGTCGACAACGTCGAAAGCAGAAGAGAGGTCAAGGAGGACGAGGAGGCAGAGGGAGCCCTGGTCACAGATGGACAGAATGTCATTTGTCACTTTGACCAGGGAAGTTTCTGTTCTGTGGATGGCACAGAAGCCCGATTGGAGGGGTTCGAGAAGGGAATGGCGGGAGAGGAAGGAGCGAAGCTGAGAGGCAACAACTCATTCCAGGACCTTGGGGAGGTTGGAGATGCAGCAGTAATTAGGGAGTAGAGCAACGGAGGGTATTTTTAAGGATAGGAATGATGACAGCAGTTTTTTAAGGGGTGGGAACAGTATCAGAGGACAGGGAAAGGTTAACAACGTCAGTGAGTAGAGGATCAAGGAGGTGAAGCTGGGAAGTAAGGAGTGGGGGGTAGGGATTGGATCGAGGGAGCAGGTGGTTGGTTTCATACAGGTTGTGGTGATGAGAGGAGGGGGAGATGGCTTCAAAGGTGTGGAGGGAGGGGTGGGTAGGGCTGAGGTGGGAAGAGGAGAAGGGGAGGGAGTGGCAGAGGCAGCTGAGCGGATTCCCTTGACTTCGGATTCGAGGAAGTCCAGCATTATCTCGCAGTTGGCATGTGAGATGTGAGAGGGTGGGCGGAGGAGTCAGTTCGTGATGGAGAAGAGGAGCTTGGGGTTGTCCTTAGCCTCTAAGATTGTCTTGGAGTAGAACGATGATTTAGCGGAGGCGAGGGCGGAGCGGTAGGATTTGTCATGGTCCAGCCAAATCTGCCGATGGACAGTTAAGTTTAATTTAAGTCCAGGTGCGCTCAGCGGAACGTGCCTGGGCTTAAGGAGAAAGATGTGGAGGGAGGGGTGGGAGGAAGAGAAGGGGAGGGGGTAGCAGTTGCAGAGGTAGCTGAGCGGATAACAGCTCACCTCCCCCCTCCCCCTCTTCTGTGACCATTACCACATCATCTGGGTCCCAGACATTCCTTTTTTCTCTCTCTAGTCTGCCTATTTTGTTGCAATTTTTCCCTCCCTTTGCCTCCTTCAAGTCCCACCTCAAAACCCTCGTCTTCAACCAAGCCATCGGCCGCCACCCCTCGCCTCCCATCTCCCCCCCCCCCCCCCGACCCCAGCTCGGGTCTCAAATGCTGTACTCTGTTCAGCACCTTGGGACGTCCTCCCTACGTGAAAGGCGCTAAACAAATGTAATCTTGTTGTTATTAACACTTCTATTCCCCTGTTTTGTTGCAAACCCCCCCCCCCACCTTTGTTTTGCATCATTTAACACCTCTTTAACCCATCTTCTCCTTTGTTTTCCTTGTCCTGCCTCCCCTCTCTCTGTTAGCCCATAAAAGCCTCTCGCTCCTAACATGCCCCAGTTCTGCCGAAAGGTCATGAACCTGAAACATTGACTCACTTTCCTTTCTCCATAGATGCTACCTGACCTGCTCAGTGTTCCCAGTGACTTGTTTTTGTTCCCTAACTCTAGTTGTTTTAGATATCATTTGAAATGGAGTATATTATTTTTAAATTTGAACTTTCATCCCCCTCCCCTGGAGGTTTATGGTTTTCTTTTCCTTCAAATAATTTAACATCACGGTTATAGATCTAGCCCTGCCCCATTCTCTTGTCTGTATGTACACTTACCTGGAGTGCCTCACCAGATAGACATCTGAATTTAAATCTCGTCTTTCCTGAAAGGGAGCACTATGATTGTAGCATTACCATTGTCATTCTAACATGAGATAAGTAAGCACTGAGCAGCTATCCAACCTGGGATATTCATGATCTTTGTTCACAGGATCATTGGAGAAGTTTATACTTGTTCTGTTACAAAGACTTGTGTTTGTATGTGAAGAGATTAGGGTCCTGAGGCACGCACACATTTATTCCACATCTCTTGATGAATAGATGAGGAATACATTTGCAGAAGTAGCAAGGTTGGCAAGTGATTGAAATGCAGGGCCACTTGTTTCTAAATTTCTCCACTCTTTACAGGGAGTGTGAAGTTTTCAACAAAAACCACGCAGCACCATTCTCTAAAGTCATCACCTTCTACAAAAAGGAACCATTTGACCTTGAAGCATATTACAGTTCTCCACAGGAATTACCGTATCCAGATTCTAGAATAGGTAAGATCTTCTACAGAATGTCAAAACTCTTGGTTTAAAATGTGACTGTATCAGTATGGTTGTCATATGATGCAGTGTCATACTGCACACTAGTCTGATTGACATTTTTTAATTGGGAAAAATTAGTTGGTTGTAAAAGGAATCTTACTAATTAGCACTGGAAGGAAACATTGATTTGACAGACCTAACTAGATGGGCCACAAAGCTAAACTTCAAGGAGGTCATCTTGTTTGGTTTTCACCACACTGGTCAGAGTGCTTCCAGTGGCATGCTCTGGTTTTAGCTGGTTGAACTCAAGCAATACCTCAATCCGCACTGTAGAGGCCCCCAAGCCTTGGATCTTGACAACCTGTCTAATGAGTTCAAATGAGGTGAGCAGGATGCATTTATATAAATGATCCGGATTCTAGTATAAGGAGCACAATTTCCAAGTTTACAAATAACACAAAAATAGTTACCATATCTTGAAATAGCTTCACTAGCAGAAACTTCAGAGAGACATTGATTATTTGATTGGGTAGAGAAGTGGCAAATTAAATTTAATGCGGACAAATGTAAAGTTATATATGTTTGGAGGAAGAATGAGAGCAAGTGTATCTTATCTACTCCCTGAAGCTCTGGAACTCCCTCCCTCAATCCCTCCACCTTGCCCCCTTCCTCCCCACTTTCAAACCTCACTTAAAGACCTTCGTTTTTTTATCTTGCTTACAGTCACCTCCCCCTCCCTCTCCCCCTGCTCAGGGTCAGACTCCGCCACTGTCAAGGGCTCCGAGACACGATTGCATGAAGGGCGCTGTATAAATGCAAGTTGTTGTATGTGGGCCTTCTGTGCTGTACATTTCTGACATCTATGGATGCATCCCTACAGGGAGAGTGGTTACTACGTTCTGGAAACTGGGTAATTTCCTTGTGTAGTTAGCATACATATGTGGAACACTGGTTTGGATACTCTTAAACATGATTTCTGCATTTGATACGTCTGGCTGACCCTAAAAAAGAACGGATGCTAACTTGCCTTAGTTCTTGCAGTTGACTTTTTAGTGATTCCCCCTTTCAGGTCGCTTTACTATTCAAAATGTGACTCCTCAAACTGATGGTGAAAACTCCAAAGTGAAAGTCAAAGTCCGTGTGAATGTCCATGGCATTTTCAGTGTCTCTAGTGCATCGCTGATTGAGAAACTAAAAGAGGGAGGCCAGGGTGAAGAGGTTCCCATGGAAACAGACCACACTCAGCGTGTGGCTAATACAAAACTGGATGACCAGGTATCGTCAAGTACTTTATTTCTCCCATCTATAATTATATTTTGTACCTTAGGTTTGTTTTTATAACCGCTGAATGATGCTGTTAAGCAAGATCAGTTCATGCTATAAACGAGGATACTTGTTAAGACGAGATGTTTCCTAAACTGAAAGATAGGAGAGGAAATCAACCTAAGAGGGAAAAAGAATTCTGTCACCCTTGTGGATGTGGGCTAGAATTAATTTAAATTGATTAAACTGATTGGTCTTAATTTTCTATCACTCGTATAGTTCTGAGTATATTAATGTGTACATCTGAAATGTTCAGGCCATTATAAAAGGGAAAATTAGTTACAATTTCTGAAGTATTTTGTAATTGTATTTGTCTAAATGAGATGAGCACCAGTTTACTTTTTTAATACTAGTTTAATATATTATGAGTTATGAACTAGTTGCAGAGAAGTATATTTCTATCCGAAACCAATAATAGCTGATGATTTTTTAAATCTGTCTAGAACTAGGCTGGAGGATTGGTTTAACCATTTTCTTCTTTTCCTGTAAAATGTTGTTCTAACATTTTTTAAATTTCCAACAATTTGTTTCTGTTGCTGTATGCCAGCCTTGCTCTTTCATTGAAGATGACGTATTTAGTTCTAAGGAGGTGTGTTGATGATATCACACTAAGGTTTAACACTACCTGTGATTGTCTAGTGTGCTTGTAAATTTTTATCATCTTAAAACCTTTGCTATAACTTGTCATTTTCTGCATGTAGTGAATAGTAATAACTAGTATGGCTCAACAAATTCCTGTTGGGCATAGAGCTTTCTTGCGCTATAGGTTTATTCTATAGCAATTCTTGTGTAATGTACTACTTTGTTTGTAATTGTCTTTGTGCTTATGTGACCAATAAGGCGATGCTCAGAAATATCACTCAAACCTGTTCTGATTAGGCACATATGTACTTGTTTGTATTTCAAATTTGCTTCAAGACTCCAAAAGCAGATTGCATAAACACTCAATCCATGACTGTTTGTGGAACACTGCTGTGCGCAATTGGCTGCCACGTTTCGGCCACAAAACAAAGTCAGTACATCTTACAGTGAAGTGCTTTGAGACGTACTTAACATGCACAGTTCCTCAGTGTAACAATGATAAAACTGGAAAAGTGTCATCATAAAGTTGTACAGATCATGTCTTCAAGTGTGATCTGAAAAAAGGGGAAGGAGGGGGCAAGCAGAGGGATTGAGGGAGAGAGATTCCAAAGTTTTGGAGCGTGGTAGTGGCTGAAAGCACAGCTGCCGATGGTGGAGCGGAGAGGACAAAAGGCAAGTAGGAGGCAGTGGGTGAGGAGTAAGCAACTTGGAAAGGTAGGGAGGTGCCAGGGTGTGAAAGGATTTGTGGACGAGTGTGAGGATGTTGAAGTCAATCTGTTCTATGAGAGGGAACCAGTGGAGCCTGGTGAGGACTGCTGTGATGGGGGTACGGAGTATAGAGTAGCTGAATATATGGGCGGCAGAGTTCTGGATTAGTTTTTTTTTAAAAAAGGTGGTAAAATACTGGTACTGGCATTGCAATTACACTCCAGGCCGGACCTCCCTCCGTTGGTCTGGCTAGCCAGGATTTTAGAATGTTAGGATTAGGAATGAAGTTTCACCAGAAAATCCAAACGATCTCGTCCCTACTAGTTAAGTTAGCTGGGGGTTGACTGTCCAGCTAAAATTTATGTTGCTGAAGTGAATATTTAGAAAATCTGGTTTAACAGAAAAAATCCTTTTATTAAAGGTTATAATTGTGGCTGTCATTTGTGGAATGTTGATGTGATTTGAGACCTGTCTAATTTGATCAAAAAAAGTTAGCAATTCAGATGACCCAGTGCCTCTACTGATAAAGAATAAATTTCCTTTTGAGGCCTGGTGTCATTCAAAATTGGATTACCTGTATGAATTACCACTAAGCAATCTGGGATTTAATTTCTGGGAGGAAAGTCCAGTTTCTGTTTGACATTTCTCTAAAGCACTTAGATTTTTGGTAACTAGATCCACATACATTGTGAAGGAGTTTGAAGAATACATTTTGTTGAACATTGTGAAAACCATTGGCTTCCTGTTATGTAGTCAATACCTGCAAGCCTAATGGAATTGCTTATTGAATCATTTTGGCTTTGTATTCTTTTGAAAACTTTCTTGCTTGTCTCGTGCCTCTCTGTGGACTTTAAACTAGTTTGACTGTTGTACTATTCATTTTGTGTTTGAGAAATGCAGTAATTTATGTCCATTTTGTGATTAAACTAAGGTGCTCCGTACCTGCATCACACCAGTTCTTGCCAGGCTCCACTGGCTCCCTATCACTGAACAAATTGATTTCAAGATCCTTACACTTGTCTTCAAATCCTTTCATGCCCTGGCACCTCCCTACCTCTCCGACCTGACTACTCCCCAACCCACTACCCGTCCCCTCCGCTTGACTGGCTCCGGCTTTGTGCTTGTCCCTTGCGCTCTACATTCCACCATTGGCGGCTGCGCTTTCAGCCACTACGCCCCGAAACTCTGGAACCCTTTCCATCGGTCTCCAAGCCTTGCACCCTCCTTCCCTATCGTCAGATTGCTTGCTCTTTGACTGTTTGACCATGCTTATAGTCACCCCCACCCCCCCCCCCCCCCCCCCCCGCATCCTTGTGTGTGTCTGAGGGGGTGTAAAAGGCTGTATTTATTAAAACCTTCTTCATGTACACTTTGACAATTTAAGGTCAATATGCAGGTTGATCAGGAAGATGTGCCTCCACAGCAAAAAGACCAGGAAGAGCAAAATCCAACTTCTCAGGAGATCCCAAAAGCTGGTTCTGAAGCAAAGGTTTGTAAAAACCATAATAATAATAATCCTTGCACCAATTCACAAAAGTAAATGGATCAATTTCTGTGAATTGTATTTCATAATTCCCTACTTCCCAATTATTTGTAGAGTGAGACTACTGGAGAAAATAAACCAGACAGTACAAAACCCAAGATAAAGGTGAAGAGTGTGGACTTGCCGATAAAATGTGAACTCCTCCAACAGCTTGGCCAGGATCTCCTCAACAACTTTGTTGAAAATGAGGTGTGTAATAAGGTTTTACAGCACTTAATAAGAGCAAAATAGATTAATTAATAAGATGTTCATTGAAATTCGCAGTATACAGATCAGAGTAATCCACTGGAATATTTTTATATTATAGTGTGTTCTCATCTTTTTTTTCACATAGTAAAGGACAGTTGGTTTAATGTTGACGTCTTGATTTCAGTGGTTTTCAGTCAATATTTAACCTTGAAATCCCTCCAAGGCCTTGCCCCACCCTACCTCTGCAATTTTCTCAATCCATATCGCTCAGCAGACACTGGCTTGCTTCACATTGCCTGCCCTACCCACCCACCATCAGCAGTGTGGAGCTTTCAGTCTGCCTGCCCTCGTCTCTGGAACTCCATTCTAGACACCCCCTGACTCCCCACCACCACCACTTTCCCTCTTTTTCTTCAAGGCCTGCCTCAAGACCTTCCTCTTTGCCTATACCTTTGGTCATCTTTCTCTTCCCCCCCCCCCACACACACACACACACCTTCATCTCCCACCCCCAGCTCAAGTGTAAACCCTGGACTTCCAGCATCTTGGCATGCCTTCCTAATATGAAAGCGCTGAATAAATATAAATTTGTTATTTGTTCTGCCTAATTGTTCCACAATTTAGTGTATTTTTCTACTCTTATCCCTCCATTCTTGAAGCAATAATTTGTACTGGGATACAAGATCTGTGTGCTACTTTGTCAAGTGGTTGCTCATATCTCAGTGAGCCTCAGGAGCCTATTCAGCAGTAGGTGTATCATAGCCAAGCCTGCACCCATTCTTAACTGCTGTGGATATACAAATATTTATCGACGGGTAAATGGATGGTGATTGCCCCCCTCCTCCCTCTGCACAGTGTGTTGGAGTCAAGTGTCCTATTCAAACCAATTCATAGCTCAGACTAACCATATCTGTATAAGACTTATCAAATCTAGAATGTCCTGTCTTTAAGTCAGTACCATGTAAAATCACATTCCATTTACATCCATACATCAATTATGCAACTAGTCCCGTTGAAATACTGCTGCCAGTCAGCATCAATGGGTTGTTGATGCCAATGAACCATGCTGTGTGCCTCGAATAGAACACCAGGAGGCTTTTGCTCCTGCTCGCTATGCCCTGGAATCCAAAGTATAAAGCACTTCTGGAATTCTGTGACTCTATGGTGCTTTTTTTTGTGCATCTGTACATATCTTTACTATAACTGTCTGATTCTGCAGTGGATTTAACCACTGAGCTAGCCATTAGGGGAAAGCCTTATTTAAATGTTTGTGTACACATTCAGTGTATCTTTTCAGGAAGTGGGAAGAATGGCTGAGTGCCAGGTTGTTAGGTTTCTGCTGTTGTCACTTTGTGGTAACTTCATGACAAGGAAATCAGATTTTTGATTCAGGAGCTGACCAATACAGTGAATGGCATACACACCTCACTCATGTTGTAAACAAACTAGGCTGCACTGTAATTAGCAGCTCTATATGATTGTTCAAATATATTGTGGAGAAGGTCACTTGCTTGCCTTTTCTGCCAGCAATATAGAGATGAGCCTCTGAGTACTAACCTTTTCAATGGAGATGATCTCAGAGCCACAAGAAGTTTAATGAATACATTTTGTAAATAGAATATTTTATCAACATGTTCCATCTTGAAATGGCACCAGTAAATGTGAATTCTAACCAGTGTGTTATTCCTCAGGGGAAGATGATTATGCAAGACAAGCTAGAAAAGGAGAGAAATGATGCTAAAAATGCAGTTGAAGAATATGTGTATGAAATCAGAGACAAATTGTGTGGAATTTATGAGAAATTCATCAGTGAAGAGGTAAGTCAAATATTCCATGTTCATCTGACAAGCTGAGAACCATAAGCAGCTCAGTTAGTTGACTTTGTTATGGGTTTGAGTCATAATGTGTCCTTTGTTTTGAGTAGTTTTTTCCCCCAAAAGAGTAGTTACTCTCGATTCGCCAGCCCATGATACACCAGCACATGCAGAATTTGTGTAAATGGTACACTAGATGTTTTGCACTACTTCTCAACTTGAAACAATTTAAAATTGTATTGATTGCCAAAACAAATGAAGCTGATACAGAATGTTCTAGACACAAAATATAATAGAGTACAGAGATATATTTGGTACAAAGAGAAAGTGAAAGTCTCAGGAATGGCAACAAACGAGTTGTGGTCCATGTTGAAAATGGATATACACTTCATCTGTCACTATGAGATTTTCAAATTGCGGTGTAATGAATTGGGTAATGGTATTAAGTGCATTGTGGTTTGACTTATTGTTTTCAGACCAAAGTTTGCTTTGCCATCTAATAGCCATTGTGAATTCAGCTAAAAACGGCACCGATCTGCTGCAATAATATTGATGTAAGAAAACAAGATTGAATTCCACTAGTTTGTTCAGTATCCAATGGATATAATTTGTATTAGTTGTCAGAAATATGACCAGTAATCGTTGAAAGTGGGCTGCAATAAGAAAGTGGAAACTAATGAAGGGAGTGAGAGATTCTATTTTTAGTACAATTAAAAATTGAGCAAAAAATTCTTAATTTTTAGGCACCCACTATTATGATGCTGCTTATTGCCTTTAGCAAATCTAGTAAACCTAAGGGTTTTGACAATGTTTGGGAATCTGCTCTGATGTCAGTATTTTACTTGCTGTGAACATCTCGTCTTTACTGTGTCACATACATGACTATCTGACCATGCCCCAGATTAAATTAGGTAGTTGTTCAGTTCATTGATGGCTGCCCTGGTTATTAGGCAATCCTGCCTTTCCTAATAGAAACTAATAATAATTATTAATTACTATTGATAATAATAATTGCTGAAACCGTCATACGTGCTTTCATTACATCGAGGCTTGACTATGCAAACTCCTTCCTTGTTGGCCTTCCCAACTTCTCCTCCACAGGCTGCAGATCTTCCAGAATGCTGCAGCCCGTGTCCTCTCCCACACCAGGCTCCGCAACCCTATCATCCCATATCCTCGACCGACTCCACTGGCTTCCCATCACACAGAGGATACAGTTCAAGATCCTGGTCCTCACCTTCAAAGCCCTCCATGGTTTTTCTCCCGCCTATCTCTGCAATCTTTTAACCCCCTCCCATCCTGCCCGCTCCCACCACTCAGCGGGCTACAGCCTGCTTCACGTCCCCCACCTCGCTCGCCCCACCATTGGCAGGTGGGCCTTCTGCCACTCTGCCCCCACCGCCTGGAAATTCATCCTGCAGTCCCTCCGCCTCAACCCCTCCCTTGCCTCCTTCAAGACCCATCTCAAGACCCTCCCCTTCGACCGTGCTTTCAATCACCCTGCTTCCCCCCTGCCCTCCACCCTCCCCGACCCCCAGCTCGGGTCCGAAACTCTTTATCTGTCCAGCACCTTGGGAACTGAGATAGTTCAAGAAGTATTTCTGCTGTTGAAATGGGTTTGTCATTGGGTAAAGCTACTGGTATGGTTGACTTTATTTTAAAGCAAATGCACATAGGAGTTTGTATCAATTTAGTACTTTGTTGCTTCATGGATTGTGTATTGGACAATTTCTCTATGTTGTATAAATGCAATCTTGTCAATTTTGCATTGTATTCATTAACTATCTCCCACCTGTGAATAACTATTCTTGGGATGATAGACTGGCTTCTTTCAGCCATGAGATATTCACACTATTTGCAGTACGTTGTGAACCTGTGAAGATTCCACTTAAACATATTTCCCATGACCCAAAAGAATTTTCACAGAAGTATTTGTTTTAACTGTTCAGGTACCATAGCCTAATGAACACAGCAGAGAACTGCTTTTCTGATCCCTTGTACACAAGGGGGGGAAGCGAGAAAAGAAACAAGTTAAAGTACAGTAATTCTTGTTTTTTAGGACAAAAGTAAATTTTCATTACTGCTGGAGGACACTGAAAATTGGCTTTATGAAGATGGAGAGGACCAGCCCAAACAAGTGTATCTTGATAAACTGGAGGAGCTAAAGGTACAGCTATTAGCCTGGTTGAGTATTAATCCAGTGAACTCATGACTGGTTATAAAGTTTGAAATGGGTGATTGGTTATAAATCAATAACCTGGATATTTCAGTATGCGTTTTGCCTACAAATACTATACAGTATATTCTGTGAAGAACTTTAAGATTTTCTTCTGGTGCGAAAGGTGCTATTCCAAATTCTAATTTAACTTCTGCTTTATTTCCTTTTTTCATTTGGTTCATTGGATTTGTGTGACACTGTCCAGCATAGAGGGCGCTATATAAATCCAAGTTGTTGTTGTCGTGTGCCAGTTACAACTGATGGCTGACATGTCGTCTGCTCTGACTGTTGCCATTGTTTCTCTGTTGGTGCTCAGAGCGTGAAACAGCAGCAGGGGAGGAAGGAACCCACCTCTCTATCTCCCAAATTATTCAATTGGCAACTAAATATGCAGCACAAAAACTTGCCTACTAATAACCAGTTTTTGCTTTGAGACCAAAAGAAACTGATGTGGAAGAAGCTGCTGCAATATCCATCATTAGGGAAGATCTCTCCCACTGTCTTCTGCGTTGCAACATCTAGTGTTGGTAGACAGAAAGGGTCCATAAAATCCCAAACCAAGTTTGTAACTGAGTAGGCTTCCCACATGCTTAGATATGCTGACTTCAAGGTCAAGTGGTTGCCATCCTACAGTGCTTCATTTACACTTCATGCAGGAAGTGATGTCACAAATTTCATGATCTGAGTTAGTAGCCAGAAGCCCAAATGGCCGCTGTCCAAGTCAGTGATCTAATGATAAAGCACTAGATCGACTGGCTGCAGCCTTGCACAGTAAATGGAGTCCACGTGTTATCAACACGATGAGTGTACCCATATTATAACAAGATTCTACTGCATTCTCACAGGCTCTGTCCTCGGTCCCCTCCTCTTCACCCTCTATATGCTCCCCCTTGGTGACATCATCCGCAGACATGGGGTTAACTTCCACATGTATGCGGATGACACCCAACTCTACCTTTCCTCCTCTACCCTCAACTCCACGACCACCGATGTCCTGACAGTCTATCTGTCCGACATCGAGTCCTGGACGAGAGACAACTTTCTTCAGCTCAACGTGCGAAAACCCGAGGCCCTCCTGATTGGCTCACGTCAGCGCCTCCGCACCTCAGGCGCTGACAGCATCAGCATCCAAGGCTGCACTCTCCACCTCTCAAAGCCAATCAGGAACCTCGGGGTTCTGTTCGACCCTGAGCTGTCCTTTCTCCCTCATATCTGCGCCACAACCGGCACCGCCTTCCATCACCTCCGGAATGTCGCCAGACTACGGCACTACCTCACCCCTCACGCTGCTGAAACTCTGGTCCACGCCTTTATCACCTCAAGGCTGGACTATGGGAACTCTCTCCTCGCCGGCCTTCCCGGCACCTCCCTCCACAAGCTGCAGGTCATTCAGAACTCTGCAGCTCGTGTACTGACCCGCACCAGGCTTCGGGACCACATCACTCCCACCCTCGCTCGCCTCCACTGGCTCCCCATCCCCCAGAGGATCGATTTCAAGATCCTCATCCTCACCTACAAGGCCATTCACGGCCTTGCTCCCTCCTACCTCTCCGACCTACTATCCCCCTCCTTACCTGCCCGTACACTCCGTTTCTCTGGCTCCGGTCCCCGCCCCAGCCACCCTACCATCAGTGGCCGGGCCTTCAGCCTCTCAGCCCCTAGGCTGTGGAACTCTATCCCCCAGTGCCTTCGCCGCCTCCTCCCTTTCCTCTTTCAAGGCTGGTCTCAAGACCTTTCTCTTTGACCGAGCCTTCAGCTCCCCTCTCAACTCTCTACCCCCTCCTCGCTCCCTTCCTTCCCTCCCCTCACCCTGACCATTTCCTCCCCCAATGCTCAGGTCCTGACCCAACTGTACAGCGCCTTGGGACGTCCTCCAGACGTGAAAGGCGCTCTATAAATGGAATCTTGTTGTTGTTGTTCTGCTTTTGGACATCTTCATTGAAATATTTATTTGATTCAGTCTAACCCTATCTGCATCAGTATACAGCAGGTTCAGATATGATGTAATAAGTTATAAGCACAATGTTGTTTTCTGTTTCCTGTAATCACAGAATAATCCCAAGGGAGAGTTGCCACTGACTCACATGCAAGCATAGCAGGTCTTGGTTGACATTGGTAGCAACCAGGCAAGTGGGTGCAAACAGCTGCACTATATTGTACCCTAGCTATGTTACAGATTCATCATTGGATTTCCCCACACCCAATTCCCAGCTACAGTGTACACTAGGCTGGGCTGCAGTAATGTACCAGTATATTGGAAATAATGGAAGCCAACTGCATAATATTGTAAACAAAAACAGAAGTTGCTGGGAACAGTCAGCAGGTCAGGCAGTATCTATGGAGAAAGGAAAGTGAGTCAATGTTTCAGGTCCACGATCCTTCATCAGAACTGACCGTTCTGACGAAGGATCGTGGACCCGTAACATTGACTCACTTTCCTTTCTCCATTGATGCTGCTTGACCTGCTGAGTGTTCCCAGCAACTTGTGTTTTTGTTTCAGATTTCCAGCATCTGCAGTATCTTGCATTTTACATAATATTTTAGTCTAAGAAATTGGCCTTCCTCTCCCCTCCCCTCCCATTGGTACATAAAATTTTAAAAACAAATCTCTTTAAAAAAATGTGCATTCTTTTACAGAGACTTGGGCAACCAGTTCAGAACAGATTTAAGGAGCATGAGGAGAGGCCAAAGGCATTTGACGAGTTGGGCAAAAAGATCCAACTGTTTATGAAGGTTGCTGAATCGTATAAAAATAAGGTATGCATTGTCCTGTGGCTAATTTTTTTTACAAAAAATTGCCAAATTCCTTATCTGGATAAATACTTTATTACACTTTAAAGTTTGATTATATCCATGCAAAAATATTACACTGCTCAATTGCTACTCCATTGTGGCTTGTACTTCATGCAATTAATTACTTTTGCCTACACAACAGCTACTACATTTCAATCTTTGCAGCAGATCTTCCCACAAACATCAATGAAGTGAATGGCCCCTTTTTTTAAAATTTGGCCAGGTCCCTGGGACAACATAGGAATATACAGAACTAAAAAGATCCTGCTTTACTTATGGGATCTTAACATCCACTTGATTAGCCAGAGCAGGCAGATGGGACAGTAGTTTTTCTCATTGGGAGAGTGAGATTTCCAATACTACAATATCATCTTAAATTATGAGCTTCAAATCCAGCAGTGGGGTTTCAACTCTCAACTGACAGTTGCAGTGTGAGCGCTCCTAAGCTGAACATTGATTTTTTTTGCCTAGTGAACAGCAAATTTGTTAGGTTGGTGTAGATGCTGATCCTGGCTGGATTACTTTTCTAGCCACTTGAGCTAGGTTCCATTATGTATGCTGGATGCTTTCTGGGACTTAGCCCGTGGCTTGCTTCATGTGTGCACCAAGACGGTGAGTTGTTAGCTTATTCATCAAGTGTGCTCCGCTTATCTTTCTGATTGTTTTTATAATCTTAGGATGAGAAATATGATCATATTGAACCAACTGCAATGGACAGTATGGAGAAAAATATCACCAGTTCTATGGATTGGATGAACTGTCGAATGATTGCACAAAATAAGCAGTCGCTAGCTGAAGATCCAGTTGTGAAGGTGGCTGAGATAAGGAGCAAGATTAAGGTAAGTAGAAGAAAAACAGCTTTTCGTAGCTTTCAAATGTATTGAAAAACAGTTTAGCGTATAGTTGCTAATTTTAATTGGTATCAATAATTTGTAAATCTCAAGATTTATTTTGAAGAAATTTTGAGATCGTGCCAGTTTTAAATCTTTGGAATATAGGACTGTCAAGATGTTGATTAAGGAAGTACTACTTATTCTTTTACAAAAACTGTTTTTGGTGATTTGTCATTTCTAACTTGTTTAAATTCCTCCAGGAAATGGAAACCTTTTGTGACCCTATTGTTAACAAACCAAAGCCTAAAGTTGAGTCACCTCCAGAAAAGGAGGAAGGAAAGACCAATGGACCAGTTAATGGGCAGAATGGGACTGAACCAAAGTCTGAACCAACTGGCGCAGCTGGTGACAACCCCAAGCAAACCAAGCAGCAAAATCCAACAGAGACCCAGACCACAGAAATGGAAGTAGACTGAATATTGCTGCCTCCTTTCCAAAAGAGTCCTTTGTGTCTGTCATCTCAGGCACTACAATTTTTGTTGTATGTCTAGCTTTTCATGGCACAAATTCAGTTATTCTCAAATGTAACTAGCTCAGTGGTTCAATGTCATTAGTATTAAAATAGTGAAAATAAGTAGCCTCTCAGATTGGCTAAATAGTTTAAATGTGGTAATGGTGTCTGTTAGCTGCAGGTCTATATTCTACAATCTTTTCATGGAGAGTACTTTTCATACCCAATTTACAAACGCCGGATTTCTGAAAATAAAGGAGGCATTTCAGTACTGAGAATTTTTAGCTTTTTGAAGGACTTTTGCTTTCTTCCCTGACAAACCTGTTTTTTAAAAAAAACTTGTGCAAGAAAGTCATACCACTCTTGCATCCCTCTCATCCCTCTATACACTGAACTGCATTAGCCATCTTATTATAAAGTGATAAATGGTCCTGTGTAATCTAGTGTAAGCTCTTCAAGCCTTAACTTGCAGATTTCTGTTTTACAGCTTGACATTTGCATCCTTCAAATATTTCCACTTTGAACTAGCTTCAAATACTGAGTCATATACGTTGCATTCAGTTTAAAAACTTGGACTGGGGTTGTTGAAACATTGCTGTTCAATAGGCTGCAAAAGTATTGGATAGTGGCTAAATCTGACCTTGATTGTTTTGGATCTTACACTACCAAATGTATCACAACAATGAGTAAATGAAATGTACAGTCAAGAATCCTTTTCATATGGAGGGTGAATGAAATCCCTCCCTAGTATGTTGCATGTCAGTGAATTTCTGTTTGGATAACCAGTACCTCAGAACAGTGAAAAGTATTGATCTGCATCAAAGGATGCTATCTGTAGCTGAGTCATACTGAGCTGTGCTTAGCAACCTGAGTAAAAGACACAACATTGCACATTAAAGAGAATAGTTCAAATCTTGCGTAGTGTAAACCCTGAGCTTCTATTCTAATTGGAAAAGGATGAAGAAATTTACTCATTCAGATTATATTAAAAAATTTGCCTCAGCTATTAGCAGACAATGCAAAAATGTGCTGCATGTGCTCGGGACATGGTTTGATGCTCACACATTTACCTTTAGCTTGACATTTACCAGTGAGTGCTAATGTCGCAGCAGCAGACTGGCAACAGTGACGTGGTATGGATACTATCAGCAAATTGGCTGTACTTTAAAATTTGTGAAACTTTGTAGCACTTATGCAGGAATTTATTTGCTCTTCAAATATTTAGTCATGAATGTAAATCCTTTTAAGGGTCATTCTGTGGTAACCATTATGATTAGTTTTGCTAATACTGTCTATGTGGCTGGCTGCATAATTAGGTGATGTTTTGATGGACAGTGTCCAAGGCAGAAAACCACAGCACTCCCAAGAGATTTCTTCAGATTCCACAATTCAACTCTGCAGGTATGTAAAATTAAATGCCTACAGAGTATTTTTTTTAGATCTACTAAAATGTGTGTGTTCCTTGTTTTGCGAAGGGTCAACACAAAGGTAGCAACTTTGGGCTTAGATATTGGTGTTCGAATGTTGCAGTCTCAAAGGGTTAACTTCATGTATTTCCATCTGTTAGACTTCTATATTAATAGTTGAGAATGAGAGGATGGTACTCCATTTCATTTGAGTTTTTTGGTGTATTATCTTCATGCTGATTTTACTATTTCGGAGTCCTGTAGCTTAGCGGTTAGAGCATTCGCAAGCGAGAGGACCTGGGTTCAATTCTTGGCAGGGTGAAACATTGGGCAAGTTTCCTTACTTCACAAGCCTCTACTTAACTAGCAGTAAATAGGAACCCAGTTGTTAGTCGATTGGCAAATCACTTTTCCGGGAGTAATAATTCCTTCAAAATAAACAAAAATTTGGTCACTCAATCCATGTCTGTTTGTGGGACACTGTTGTGCGCAATTGGCTGCTGTGTTTCTCCCACAAAATTCACTGTGAAGCGCTTTGAGGTGTCTTGAAGACATGCTAAGGTGCTATATCAAATACAAGGATTATTATTTAAGGTTCTATCCTGTGCACTGAATAACATTCAAGCAAGTGCAAGACCAGAGGACAGATGTTATTGTACACCAACTACACTGTACATTAACAGCTTAAGCATTTGATTAAGTGTAACTTGCCTATCCACTGATCAGTGTATGACCTGATACACAAATCCAGTGTAATCCACTTGATATTTATACTGTGGAAACTCTTAGGATAATCTTGGTTAAGATTAAAAGTTCAAAATCCAAAATTCTCCTATGTTCTACTAGGTGAAACATAGGAATTAGGAGCAGGAGTAGATCATTCAGCACCTCAAGCCTACACCCTCATTCAATAAGATCATGGCTGATCTTCTAAACTAACTCCATCCGCCCGCCTTATCCCCATATCCCTTAATCCCTCTATCCTTTAGAAATCTATCAATCTCAGTCTTGAATATGTTCAAGGACTGAGCATCTACAGCCTACTGGGGTAGAGAATTCCATAAATTCACTAGCCTCTGAGTGAAGAAGTGTTTCCTCAACTCTGTTCAAAAACCCTTAATCTTAAGACTGTGACCTCTAGTTATAGATTAACTGATCAATTATTATCGTTATTCATGATATGATTATAGATCAAGCACAGTTGGAGGGCTAGGTTTCTAATATAACCTCATAGTAATATTTTTGGGAATATAGGAAAGAAATCAGGTCAGCATCGGACGCGATTCCAAGTGTGCTGGATTTCCCTCTTTGGTGAGACCAGTTGCATCCCCTCAACTAGTCGAAGTGGCATTGATGGCTATGGAAGACTAATTTCTTGGCCTAATATATAACGAATACAAGGATTGGGGGCATCACCACAAAAATGTGAGCAGAGAGGTGGAAAGTAAAGGTTCAAGGATTTTAATATTAATTCGGAAGGAAACAGCAAGGATGAGGATTGTTCTGAGCCAAACTACATCTGAAGAATTTTGTTGAATCTACCTCTTGCATGTGTCACTCATTCCCACTGAACCCAGAAACATTTTGCTAACACTGCAATGAGGGTGCAGTACAATAAAACCACACTTAATTCCCAATTCCAGTTGGCTAAAAGTTTTAATGTATAACGGGGTGAGAAAATGTCATCTTACTGTATTTTCTCACCACTTGTAAATGAAGTTAAATGAAGGTATGTAAAGTCATAACTTAATATTGAACATTTAATTTGTAATGGGGTGGGTGAAGGGGGAGAGGGAAAGGGGCATATCGAAGTATGCAATGCATAGAGCAAAATTGGAGCAGCTACTTAGGACAGACCTGGAAATAATAAGCGTGTCAGTTTTCAAGGCTAGACAATGGGGGAATTAAAAACTCAATTAGTATCTGGAAGCTGCAGATGGTGACTGGAAATTCTGCTTTGGAATTAAATTGTCAAAAAGGTGTTCCCATGGGTTGGTGAGACAAGGATGTATTGTCTACTCCCCTACTATCAATTCAAGTGAAATATTGGAAATTAGCTGTGCCTCCCCAATATGCATATGGGAGAAATGTTGGACCAAAGGAGGCAGAACCTAATCCTGGGAAATTTTTCTGCTCTTCACCCAAGTGTGTTTAAATGTGCACTTATATGAGAGAATTTAATGTACACAACAACATTACACTTGTACAGTGCACTCAAAGTAGACCCAGGCCAATCACCAACAGAAACTTGCATTTATATAGCGCCCTTCATGCGGGGCAGCGTCCTGGAGTGCTTGACAGTGATGGAGTCTGAGCCAGAGGAAGGGGGGAGGTGACCTTAAGCACGATCAAAAAGCAAGGTCTTTAGGCAGAATTTGAAAGTGAGAGGGAGGTGGCAAGGTGAAGGGATTGAGGAAGAGTTCCAGTTTTGGTGCGTAGTGGCTGAAGGCATAGCCATCGATGGTGATGGGGACGAGTGACAAACAGGAGGCCGGAGGCAGCGGGTGGGGGAGTGGGATGTACGGTAAGCAGATTAGATAGGTAGGGAGCTGCAAGGGCATGAAAGTATTTGAAAACAAAGTGAGAGGATCTTGAAATCGATCCGTTCAGTAATTGGGAGCCCGTAGAGCTTGGCAAGAACCGGTGTAATGGGGCACAGAGTTTTGTGCGGGTGAGAATCTGGTTCTATTAGTAGTATTTTGTGTACTGTGGGTGACAATCGGGTTTTGGACCCAAACTGAGAGTTGGGGTCAGGAGGGTGGAGGACGGGGGGGGGGGTGGGAAGGTGGTCAAAGGCGCAGTCGAAGAGGAAGATCTTTAGACAGGAAGAAGGCAAGGGGGTGAGGTGGAGGGATTGCGGGAGGGAATTCCAGATTGTGGGGGAGAGATGCTGAATGCCCAACCACCAATAATGGGGTGGGGGACCTGGAGCAGGCCGGTGCCCTCTGAGTAGAGGGAGTGGACAGGCTGATATGGGAGCTGACTGATTCAACTGATTGGAACAGCAGCATACTGAGAGTAATGGCATGAGGTTTCTTGTTTTTACTCTAGTGGTTAGAAAAGACTGAGGGAAGATCAAGAGAGATCATCCCCTACACTGCCCCCAAGCAACAACGTTAATAACTGTCTAGAAGCCCAGGGATCCCAGAGAAAAATATAATCTCATCAAAACCAAGAGCCAGTGTGTAAACAGTAGATTGGTGTCTCGTTGAAGCAAGATGTTATAACATGTTTTTTCATGAGATTTTTGAACAGAATAAGTAAACTGCACTGTAATGGACTTGACAAATTATACAACCTGATTTATGAAATTGAAGGCTTACACATTAACCTAATGTTATGAGTTAATTTGGATTTTGCTTACCTGTGGGAGGATGGCTGTCTGGGGAAACAAAAGGAGGGGAAGTGGGAAATCAAATATGGGGGTTATGTTGTCTTCAGGGATAAATTAGTAATTGGAGCATTTGGTTAGAAAGCCTAATCAGGAAATGTAACTTTATTGTTGGATGTTCTAAGAGGTTATTTACAATTTTAAATATCAAAAAGAAAAAACCTTGATGTGGAATTAAACCAATTTACTTTGGGGCCAAAAGACTGACGGAGCACAACTGTACTTGGGAATGTAGTAATCATATCCACATCTTCTCAACTTGATGCTGGAGTTCAGATTTTCATAGTTGGCTTTATAAGGATTTTTAAACAGTGATATCAAATGGATCATTGAGCTCTCCTGCTGGACTGGGTACATGAATGTCCATGGAGATGTGAGCCAACTCATGATATGGCAATGATTGATAAGCTGTCAGTCGTCCGTACATCTTCTATTTTTCAATGCATTTCAGCTTTGTTGAATCAATCTGCAAACAACAATT